ATCAGTCCGAAAAGCTGCATGATACAAAATAGCACTCCAATTAAAATGTGTGCTAAACCATAAAAATTAGAAAATATCAGCCTCATACTATACCTTACCCAGTCATACAAAACGGTTTGTTTCTTTATCCTGTTTTGTATGTAATATTTCCATCCACACCTGGGGATGTTGGGGGTTGAATCTGGGAACTCTTGCATGCAAATCAAATGCTCTACAACTGACCTACAGCCCTTCCCTGAACTTTGGAGAGGATTGGGCTGCAATAAAACTTGTGGCTGACCAGGAATCTAGAGCAGGGGTCTTCAAACTAAGGTCTGCGGGCCGGATCCGGCCAACCAGGGTCTTAAATCCGGCCCGCTCAGTCATTGCAGAACCCGCCACAAAGCTGTTGAGGAGGAGACTCAACACGCTTTGGAGAGCTTGCACCACAGTGCCTTTAAGCAGAGCGGGCAGGAGGGCAAGAGGCGGGTCAGGATTTGGCCACCTCCCTCGATCCCCAGACACCATGCTGCTTGCTCGCGCACTGCGCTCCACCGCCCTCTCCGCCACGGTGTGCCGCCCAATCCAGCCCCGGCCGCTATTGTCCTTGCAGCCCAGTTCGACGGCCCCAGTCACCTCCTCCTCCAGCCGGGCTCGCCCTCCATCACCTGTGCCTGTGGTGGCCTCCACACTGACGGTGAGCTACACACGAAGGGCAGGGAAAGGGGGAAGAAGGTTGCTTGCAAGGAACACAGGGCTCTGGAGCGTACCCGTGAGGAAAACCCCTTGGGGTCACTGGGTATCGCGTCCAAGGAAAAAGACGGTCGCCATCATCCTAGCGAGTTTTTGTCCTGGGAAAAGTGCTTGGGGGCTGGGCTGCGATCCAAGGAGCACTTGCTTGCGAGGAATCCCCCTTGGCATCGGGTTGCCCGCGAGTAAACATCTTCCTGCCATCCAAGAGGAGCCCAGGCGGAGGCAGGCTTTGAAAAGAAAATAAAAAATGAATGCGGTGGAAGTCTTTTATAATATTTTAACTAGGATTTATATATTGTAAGGTTTGAAGCATGAATTTGGTAATATTATCGGTTATGAAAAGTATTTTTTTTCTTGTCTTTTGTCCTTTTTTTAGTTTGCATTTTGGAAAACGTGTATAAATGTGTTTACAGTGTTATGTATTGTTCTTTGCTTCTCTTTCTCTTTCCTTTTTTTTATAAAATTCAATAAAAATCTAAATAAAATAAAATAAAATAAGAAATGGGTGTGGGTTCATCCGAATCCCCCCAACCCCAGAAGTGGGACTGAGCAGTTACTGAATTTCCATCCCACATTTTTTCTCCCAGGAGCTCAAGGTCTGTGGTTTTCACCCTTCACATTTATTCCCCACAACCCCCAATGAGATGCATTCAAATCAAGCAGCCTCAGTAATTTCTATGCATCTCTCCCCTCTGAGACATATCTTAATCTCAGAAACCATGCACTGAAAATTACAACCATCTTTGGCAGCACCTATGTCTCTGAGCAGACTTTTTCCCAAATGGAACATCTGAAATCTCCAACCAGATCCAGACTAACTGGTGGACACTTGCATCACTTGCTAAGACTAGCAGTGACAAATATGGAACCGGATATTGACGATCTTATTAGCCAAACACCGGCCCATACTTCCCATTGAAATACTTATAAGTTTATGATTCAAATAGGTAGCCGTGTTGGTCTGACGCAGTCGAAATTTTTTAAAAATAATAATTTTATTTTAAATTTTATAAGTTTATGTTGATTAAAATCATTCTTCATTTTAAATATTGTATTGTTTTTCCTGTTTTCGTTCACTAAAAATATTTTTTTCAAACTATAGTCTGGCCCCCAACAGTATCTGAGGGACAGTGAACCGGCCCCATTTAAAAAGTTTGAGGACCCCTGATCAGTCTTAATGAAGGTTGGTGTCCTTAAATTTTTATGGTGTACAAGAATCTGTCCAGAATCTTATTTGGTGACTCCTCCTCGAGGCTTCACCTTCTTTTGCAGGATGCCAGAGTAGGGTTCCCTTGCTGTTTTGGGTTTTTTTTGCACAGTTCCTTTAACTGGGATTACTTTAAAGTGATAACAAAGGATGGGCCGATCAAAGATTGGATTGAAACAAAACAAAGAAAATGCAATTTCCTTTCCGAAGGAGAAATCAAAGCTGGACAAGTTTAGATTTCCAAACAAAACGGTTTCATTGGGAGATTTCCTGACATGAGTGAATTACCGGTATGCAAAACAAACAAGACTCCTGTCAGTATAAAAAAAAGTCACATGGGAAGTATTCCCCAAACTAGTGGAAATATTAAGTAACAAATTGGTTAATATTAACATGTGTGTTAGTTAGTAATTGGTTTATTACTAATTTTGAGTTGCTAATTAAGAATATGGAATTTGGTGTACATTTCACTTTTAAAAACCAATTATTATTTCTAGAGCTGTGATAGTAACTAGTCTCTACATGTTAAGTCACAAATGCAAGCTTTTCTGACGTGTACTACAGAAATTCCCATTTCTCTCTCCAACAATATCACTCTAATTTTTGTGTATTATACTTATTTTGTTTACAAAACCTTTTCTCACACACCCAGGAGGCAATATTCTGTGTTAACCTTGGCATTTATACATGTTTGTAATGTATTCCGAGAACTCATTAAGACTCATGCTTGGCATTATCTCATTTTAAGTGGTATAGTTGTTAAGCAACTTTACAATTTAATTAGAAACCTCTACTGCATTTCATTAGAAGGTTATTCAGTAATTACTCAGCAGGTCTTGGGTGTTTACAAATGGAGAAGTGACAGTACATAACACTCTTAAATTATAACTGCACAGCGGGAGAAGATGCTTTAAAATGAGGAATACATTGTTTTAAAAGCAGCATAGGAAAATTCAGTGTCAAATATAATCACCTTTTCCTAGCTATAGTTCCCTTATCAGACAGATGCTTCCATATTCAGAAAATGGAAGTTACTGTATAATTTGCCAATGCCTGCTTTAAATGTACCTCTACAGCAGAACTGATACTAGCCGCCAGGAGCTGCCAGCCACAGGATTTTGGTACCACACGGGTTGGGCATGTCTCCAGATACCACATGATAAATCCGTCATCACAGAACTGGTTATATCATTGCTTTTGATATCTGAGAAGTTGAACAAATAACATTCTGTCCATGCCATTGTGATAAGACTGGACCTAAAACCAAAGGTATCCCATTGACCTATTTGAAAAAGTACATTGAAAACAATGTTGCAAGTAGAAGATGCTATTAGGACTCCAGACACTTGTTGGATATTTCATATCCCTACTTCAATGTGAGGGTCTAGGGCAGGGGTCTGCAACCCACGGCTCCGGAGCCGCATGTGGCTCTTTTACACCTTTGCCGCGGCTCCGGGGCGGATATTAGCAAGGGGAGGAGGTGCATTGTGCGCCCCGACACTCCCCACTGTGGCGGGCGCTGTACTGGCTGTGACGTCGCATGGGGGCGGTGCATGCGTTAGTCACGCACCGTCCCGACGTCACCTTCCTGCCCGCTGTCAGATCGCGGCTCCGGAGATATATTTGTTTTAAATGTCGCAATGGTTTTGCGACTCCCAGTTGTTGTTTTCTTCGGAAACGGGTTCAAGTGGCTCTTTTTGTCTTAAAGGTTGCAGACCCCTGGTCTAGGACAAGTAGGTAAAGGTAAAGGGACCCCTGACCGTTAGGTCCAGTCACGGACGACTCTGGGGTTGTGGCACTCATCTCGCTTTACTGGCCGAGGGAGCTGACGTTTGTCCGCAGACAGCTTCCAGGTCATGTGGCCAGCATGACTAAGCCACTTCTGGCGAAACCAGAGCAGCGCACGGAAATGCCGTTTACCTTCCCGCCAGAGTGGTACCTATTTATCTACTTGCACTTTGACGTGCTTTCGAACTGCTAGGTTGGCAAGAGCAGGGACCGAGCAGCGGGAGCTCACCCCATCGTGGGGATTCGAACTGCTGACCTTCCGATCGGCAAGCCTTAGACTTTGTGGTTTACACCACAGCGCCACCCGCGTCCCTGGGCAAGTAGTTACTCTGCCCTAATAAATTAGCACATTCCCAGCACATTAATTACCTGGGGTTGCCATATGTCCGAAATTTCCCAGACACTGCCGGGATTTGGCTGGCGGAAAGTGTCCGGGTGGAAATTGCTGGAATAGCTGGGGAAGTCTGGCTATATGGTGGCTCAGGTCGCGGGTGGCGGCGGCTTCATGGCCTCTCTGGTCCTTCCTGGGTTTTCCCATCCGATGTGGCTTGAGCAGCCGTTGGGGCACTGTGCTGCCACTGGGGAAGGGTCAAGCAGGACCAGAGAGGCCGCGGAGAGATGAGCCTCCCTGCCTGGGCCTGATCCCAGGCTCAACCTTGCCAATGGCCACTTGGAGGCCGAAGGCCTGAGAGGGAGAGGTGCCTCCATAGTGGAGTCCGCTCAGTGGCTCAGAGTGACCCCCCAGTACTGGCAAGCAGGAGCCCTGTTGCAAACCACGAAACTTGAGCAGGTGCAGGAAAGGAGTCGGGCAACAAGAGAAAAAAAACCTCCGCTTGGCTGCGGCCTTCACGTCAAGGGTAGGTCTGTCCGGGAAGGCCATTTTCAAAATATGGCAACTCTAGAATTACCCAGTAAGAACTGTGGTATTAGTTGGAAAGTAGTCTTGAATCCCAATCCCTATAGCTTTGTGTTGAGACAATCAATGTGGCTGATAACATCTTGTCTCTAGCTTTGGGTATTTTCCTGAGGGTCTCCCTGTCAGTCATTCAAATTTACAATTCTTCCAAGTTTCTGTGTTTTCATTGCTTCTCTTATGGCAAGGTTGGGAACCATTTTCAGTCTGAGGGCCACATTCAGTGGTGGGCACTGATATATATATATATGTTTTTAAAAACTGCTCCTTTTCCCTTATGGGGTATCCAAGAGCCCATATAGGGTCCTTTTGTAGGTTCTCTATTGGTAGGAGAAAATAACAGACCAACCAGAGAATATTGAGAAGCAAAGCTGCTAGTAAGCCTAATCTTTATTAACTGTTGCAACAGGGTGCTCCCCCCACACGCAGGAGAGAGGAGGACCCAGAACAAAGGTGTGCCTGCCCTTATATAGACATTTTAAATTTCCTGCCCTGGAGTCCAAGACCACCCCCAGAAACATCATACATACATCACAGAAAAGGCAGTCTACAACAGAAATCGGAGTGTGTTGTTTTTACCCTGCCTGCCAGGTTACCTGTTAATGATCACTTGACTGGATTACCTGGGGAGCCTGGCCATCCTTTTGTAATGATAATAATTCCTGAGCCAGGTCACAGGCTCACCCTATTCACACCTTAAATGTGCCCTTAAGGCAGGATTTGTGAGGACAGAGACAATGGGGAGGTTTCTGCATTTCCTTTAACCTTGTAGAGAAATATTTGAGGTGACTGAAAAGAGTCAGAATGGCTTTAGGACTTTTCCAGTGGGTTTTGGACATGTGATTTATATATTTATATATGTTTGCTTGGTACATTTATGAACATTTATTATATATAAGACCTAAAAATTCTCATAACACACACACACACACATATCTGGGAACAGTTAGGGCCAGAGGCAACAGCAATTGTGGGGGGGACATTATGTTGTCCTGATATCATGCGTGTGGGTTTCATACTTCCCTCCTTAAGCTGGGCAGAAGCTCCCCTGACTTTGGGAAGGAGGTTCCAAGGCTCTTACAGGATGCTGGAGCCCTCTTCCCAAAGCTGTGTGGGCTTTGGGGAGGTGGCGGGAGGGCTCCTGGACCCCTCAGAGCATCACACCTCCCTCCCTAAACTGAGCAGAAGCTTCACTGGCTTTGGAAAGGGGGCACCAGGGGAACATTTAGGGGACTAGCCTAGCCCCCCTAATCCACGGATCGCATGCCACAAGCCACATTTCTTTCTTGACAACATTCTAGGGGCCGCACGGCAGTGGTGGCTGAGGCCTGAAAAAGCAGGCTGAGCAATTAATGTGAATTTCATGTTAGTGCAGCAGGATAGCGTCTACACACTTACACATCCCTCTCTATTCTCCATTCAGACAAGCAAGAGTTATTATCAGAGTTCAAGGACACGTTTTCTTCTGAGGTTTTAATTTGTTTTAAATTTTATATAATGCGCATTTTATTTAAGCTCCTTTGAGACCTAGATGATGTGAAAATTTTAAAGAAATGGATTTTCCTGAAGTCAGGAATGCAGGTTTCATATATTGTTCTGCAGAGCAGTTCCAAAAGTCAAAAGGTCCCCTCCCCACCCACTCTTGATTATTTCAGTCAATCTCCCTTCCTTTTTGGAGATTTTGTGTAGGAAGTGGCTGCACCCAAAGGCCAATCTGCCTTTTGGAGATTCTTATTTTTTAAGGGTATATGTACCAACTCCCTGGGGCCCTGGGCTCCCAGAAAAAGGGAGTGGACACTCGCACATTTCAGTGCCAGAACCATGCACACTGCATGCCACCCACGGCCCTGGGCACCCACAGTTGCTGAGCCAAGCTGGTTTGGGGGCAAAAAACAGCCATGCGAGGTTACTGACCCAAGGTAGGAAGTGAGCAAAGAAAATGAGTTAAGTGCATGTGCTCATAGTATTTTCTTTTGTTTATTAAGGCCATTTGTGATTCAAATTCTCCACCAATCTATTCAGCATTCCTCAGCATGCCCTCTCTTTTTTTCTTTACGAGGCAGATTAGCAAGAACAGTTTTTTTGCCACAGCACTGGGGATGCCTGGGACCTTTCTCTCAGGCTATGGAGCATGAGGTCCTCAGAATACAATGGCCTGTCAGCTGACTTTCCTGTTAGCTTAGAATAACTCGGTAAAGGTTCAGACCTAGAATGTATCTTGAACTACAATCTGCAATCTAATTTTTTTACTCATATGTGACCATTTTCTTGTCTTTCTCTTTGTTGAGCAGGTGTAAGAAAAGACAGGGCTCCTATAGTGGAATCTGTTGTATAGGAGCAGGATTTGGGGCAGGTATTGGTTATCATACAGAGGGTGTCTGCAGAAATTCCCTTCTATAAAACTACTGTATTAAAAGGTATAAGGTAGAAGTTGCTTCTGGAAATCTTTTCTTTTTTCCTAAATCAAAGATTGAAAATGGTGAAGACGCCACCACTACAACCCACTTTAGGTCAGTGTGACTCATTTGTTGCTCCCAGTGCACCAGCTGAAAAAGCAGTATTCCAAAAGTATTAGGATCAACCAACCCAATTAATTATGACTTTGACAAGCTTACAAAATAATGCAAGCACTCAGTGTGAAGAACTTACATATTTTATCACTAAAGGTATGATAAACCTGAATGATGGGGGATATGCAAAATATGTGCGTCAGAAATGCCATCCTGAGAGATGCCTGGATCTCCCGACAACAAATGATCACAACCTGCAATTATTGCACAAAAAATAATTGCCTAAAATGTTTTGGATCCAACTGGGTTGACTCACAATGGATGATTAAATAAACTCAACTATCAGCTATTTTAAGATTCTAGATACAGTGGTGCCTCGCAAGACGAAATTAATTCGTTCCGCGAGTTTTGTCATCTTGCGATTTTTTCGTCTTGCAAAGCACGGTGTCGGGAGTTTTGGAAAAGCGTCAAAAATCACCAAAGTCTTTAAAAACCTCAAAAAAGGCTACCACACCGCGTTCTATGAGTTGCTCCTCGAAGTCAAGTCGCAACTGTATTAACGGTGTTAAGAAAAAGGAAACAAACTTGCAAGACGTTTCCGTCTTGCGAAGCAAGTCCATAGGGAAAATCGTCTTGCGAAGCAGCTCAAAAAACAAAAAACCCTTTCGTCTAGCAAGTTTGTCTTGCGAGGCATTCGTCTTGCGAGGTACCACTGTATTATCTGAGCTGTTTGACTAATCAGTGTTTATAAATAAGATCTGCTAAAGGCACATAAGTCCTAACACTGTTGCCACGAAGATTTTAACAACCTTAGCAAAGAGGGAGATCAGGTAGCAATGGTTTATCCTGCTAGTTCCTTCTGCTTTCTCTACTCCTAGGGCAGTAGTGTCCAAACTTTTTTCTGAGAGGGCCAGATTTGATGAAGTGAAGGCCTGTGAGGGCCGACCAAAGTTCAAAGTTGTTGATTTTTTTTAGGATTGAAGTTGTTGAGGTTTTTTTAGGATTTTACCCCAGGAAATAAACTGCCACAGGGGCCATATTAAATTGACCAGCGAGCCAGATTAGGCCCCCAAAGTGGACTTTGAACATGCCTGTCCTAGGGGAGCCAGACGGAAGAAAATAGGGCTCTTACACCTCGAATAGTTGTGTAGAAAAGGGAATTTCTATAGGTGCAGATTGTGCAAATTATACCCACTGAAATTAAAGGCACAGGAGCCTAGTCCTCTGTTCCAGGCTAGCTTGGCTGTCTTTTGTGTTTCAGCTCAAGACATTGGTCTACTAGGCTTACAAATAGTTTTATTTCAGGTTTTTCAAAATGAGTAAGATAGAAATGACATGATGCACAAATACCTTAAAAGTAGCAGAAAAACACATTGCAAATTGAACATTCTGACTTGCCCATCACAACAGTTTAAGCATCAATTTATTTTCAGAAAGCTTATAAAGTCTTAGAAATGAGCTCCGGTAATACTGGATTTTCACTTACAGTATTTCCAAAACCTTCAGTTATGTCCAACAGTGTCGCTTAGCCGATAGTAAGGCTCTCATCAACAGAACAGGAGGTAAGCAATTTTGAGTGATTCCCCCTCCCTCTTGCAGCCCCCACCACCTAAATCCACTCCAGAATTTTGAAGGACCCTCCAAGGCATATGTGGGGTGAGAGCATAGCTGAATATTGCTTCACACTGTTATCACTGGCTATAACTCGTTTTTTCCTGATAGCATGAGAAAGTATTTTTGAAAAAACCAGCACAAACCTTTGTTAAAATAGACAAGTACCAATGAAAACATGCCACAGTACTAAAGTATTTTCCTATCCCACTGATTTTTTCTGAATTCAAGCACCCACAAAATGACATTTCACCTAATAACTAAATATGATTTGTCATTTAACAACTTTATGGGATCGCAAACAAGAGTTTTACTTAAATGCAGCATGTATTTAGGCGTTCTTTTAAATTACTGAAATCATTTGCATTAATGTCTTGCAAAACTATTACTGTTGCTTTTGTCTGAGAAGGGTTAAATTTGATGGTCATCAAACAACAGAGGTCTATTAGTGCTCGTTGGCAATTCTGTAAACCTTCCTTAATTCTGGGGCCTAGGACAGGATCTTTCTTTAGTTGTTTCATTTCAGGTGCTGAAAACCCGATCAAGCTTGTTAGAATCTCATCAGCAAAATCAACTTCTAAATAAGCTGTACCATCAGATATTTTTGCTGATAAACTTGAAAAGCCACCACTGCTTGTTAGATTTCTGGTAAGAGTTACTATAAATGCTCTAATTTTCAGAGTTGTAATAGCCTTGGGCTTGTTACTTAATAAAACTGATAAATATGTGAAGGGAAGGGCATTTAAATCAACTTTGTGGCACTTATTTTGTATTCTGCAAGTCTGTTCAGGTTGAGGATATTGTTGAAGTTCTACATTAATATCTGTTAGTCTACTGTTAGAATTATTGGAGGGCCTTTCATTGTTTTTCTCTTGTACCATCATATTTCCAAAACGGCCTTCTATGTTTTTGGTTCTCTGGGCATTATGTTTTATTAAAAAATCTCCTGTGCTTTCTTCATGTATATCACACACTATTGTTTCACCAGATTCCCCTTCTTTGATAAGGTAACTATTTATGCTAGGGCTTCTATTCAGAACCTGTATCTGTTCTTGCATGATCTCTTCTTCTAAAAGTAAATCATCCTCCAATGGAAACTCATCGAAATCTCCTTCCATGTTTCCCAGAACTGGAATACTTTGTTCTTCATTTTCTGCAATGAATGCTGCAGGATCTTGCTGCAAGCCGCTTTCAGTCGTGGGAAGCAGAGATGTGGTGGAATTTAATCTGGTACTTCTGGTGGAGCATCTACTTTCAAAGGGGGCCTCATTTATCATTAATTCTTCATTTCCCCCAAGACTTGCCAGAAGCTCTTCATCAGAAGGGCCCACGTCATCAACAGGTATTGAAATGTCACATTCAGCAGCATTTGATTTCTCAGCATTAGGATTTCTGTCTTCTTCTCTAATAAGCCTAGCAAGAACTCTTTCCTCAGAGTTTTCCTCTACAAGGCTATCCACTTCACCCCCCAACAATCTTACATTTTCTGGTTTAAGCAAAAGAACACCTAAGCGATATGCAACTTTCCCCTGTATCATAACCTTTGTCCCTGGAGGAAGATTGCTATGGAGAACAGGAATAGGCTGGTATTCCATGCCCTGGATGTCATGTATGCCATCTGTCAGTTGCAGCATCAGCATTCGAGTAGGCTTTGCTTCCCAGGGCCTCAATGTTCCCTGTGTATTAGCAGTTATTTCCTCATTTACAGTATTTTTCTTTCTTATCTTTTGCAGTTGGGAATAAGCAGGCTGACTCACATCAACAAGTGAATCAATCTGTATGGAATAAAAGCTGTTCAATTCTCCCTTTGGATTGTTTGAAATGCAGTCAGGCAGAACTGGGTATTCGAGATCTCTGAGATCTGTAAGAAGCCACTGCTCAAAAACTTGCTTGTTAATAGAAGCCTGAGCCAAACTGCCACTGCCATTTTCTTGTTGAATCCAATCAATACATGCTTCTAGCCATGGTGCAGGAACCTTCACATGCCATGTAGATGAAAGCCAAGTTTCCACTCTTGCTGCCAGACCTGATGCAGTCATTTTCTTTTGAGGTGAAAGGAAAACTGCTAATGCCCTGGAATGAAACAAAATAGGTTTGCTGACTTAACTAAGTTTTTACTAAATGTCTGATTAAACAACCTATTGCCTGTGGAAACTCATGCAGCAAAATTTAACCAATCGCAACCTATCTGGTATGCTAGCCAAGTAATTTGCCAGCTCTACCTGTTCATTTAGTGAAAGTAAGTTGTCCGTAGGTCAGCAACTGAGCAGCTAAAAGTCCCCCCCCCCAACTATCATATGATTACTACATTTACTGGACTAGAAAAAAACAGAGTTATGGTACCCAAAGACCATCTCTTTCTCACAATTTATTGCCAGGATTTTAGGAAGTGTCTATCAGCCCAGCCCTATGCATACTTTCCTCAGAATTTACTCCTTTAGTGCAGAACTATACTTCTCCAACACCCAATGCTAATTCTAGACAACAGAGATAGTTGGTTGGCCACTGTCGTAATCCAGCACTGCAGAACAGAGAAGGAATGAAGAAGCAAGGGATAGAAAACGGAGAAGCAAAAGACAGAAAGAAGAGCAGGGCTTATGAAACCATCTGAATATGTATAGTTCTATCCTAAATATATTCTGATGTAACCCCAACTGAATTAAGGGGTTCGGGCCTATCAGCAAGACTGTGTGAAGCATTAGAGAAATCAATCCACAAAGCATTTACTTTGAGGTAGAGGCAGTCACTTAACTAAAATCACAGCAAGATGAATGATGTGTGAATGACTAGGTCACCGTGTGCACATGTGCAAATCTTATGCAAATAACTGAACCATGAACTGAAAATGCGCACAACAAAAATTCTAAAGGAACCAAAGCAATGGAAAATTGGGGTGGGGACATAAAAATTGTTGAAACGATGGACACGTTTTGTTGATTTGAAAACCCTTCCTAGCATTGTATTAGAAAGTAGAGGTTTTCTAACTTTTTTTAAAACTCTTTTTTTGCCTTCCACAGCAGTCTGGATTGCAGAAATTAAGCACATGAGGTGAAAGTTCCCCTCAGAGAATTAAAGGCTGATGGAGTTGTTTTTTGCAGGCTGTTGTTCCACAAATCATCTGAAAGGCAAGCTAAGGAAAGGTGGTGGTTGTCCCCCCCCCCCTTAGTTCCTTTTTGTTAACAAATTTGCGAGAATGGGCTAAATATTATTACAGGGGAGGTTCTCAGACCTCCGTGGCCTTTGCAGACTGCGATACGGATTCCCCACAGCCAACATTTCCATAAACGGGTGAAGACTGCACTACTTCCAACAAGCGAACATTTGATGACAGCGCAACTCTTTTTGTTTTCTAAGCTCAGCTATTTATTTATTATTATTATTATTATTCTTAAGAAAGCTTAGCCCATGGGGTGGGTCATCCTCTCATTCCGGCGCCCTCTCTCCTCCCGCTCCCCGGACTCCGCGGGACCCGAGAGAAACGGGAGACGAGAAACCCAAAGCTGCCCCTTTCCCCCGCCCTCCCGCGACTTACGTGAGAAGCGCTCGACTCGCGTCCTGCCGCCACACGCGGGTCCTCGGGAGCCCTCCGCCCTCCCCCGCTTTTGTTTTAAGCGCCAAAGCGAACTTCCCAGGCTCGCGAGAAGTCCGCCCCGACGGCTACCCGGCGGGAGGACGAGACGGAGTTTGCGCCGGCGCCATTTTGTTTCGCTCCGTCTCTCTCTCGCTCCCTTTCCCCTCACGCGCGCGCGCGCGACCTCGGATCAGTTCCGTTCTCCTTGAAGCCCTTCGCCCCCTTGTCATTACCGTAACGAGATTCGGACTGATCGGACTGGTTTTTGTTTTGTAATATATATCTTAAATGTAAGTACCAAGCAAGTATGTGAGCAGGGAAAATGGAAACGGCCGGGGGATAAGAGGACTGGGATGACGCCTCAGGCGCCCGGCCGGCCCAGAGCCCCGTTTGCGAGGTTGGCGCCGCGGCAGCCGCCACGGAGGGCGGGCCCCGACGGCACAGCGTGCCTCGCTTCGAGAAGGGCGGCGCCGTCAGCCAATAGGGGTGCGGCGGCGGGGCCGGCGAGCCAATAAGCGGGCGGCCGTGGCGTGTGTGAGTGTGTGCGCGCGCTACGGCTGCTTTCGGCTCTTTTCTCTCGCACTCCTTAGCGACGGATACGGCGGAGTTAGTGCGCTGCGCGGTAAGGAGCCGAGGGGGCTTTTTCCCCCCTCAGAGATTTGCCGTTTGCGCCCGTGGCGGTGGCGGGGTGTGTGTTTCAAAATATTTCCTTATGCTGGGTCTCCGCCGCGTCGGGCCTAGGAGGTTTTCGGGGCGCTTGTGCCTGAGGGGCGGGTGAGCCTGTGGGGGAGGGGCGACAGGCGGCCCCGCTAATGGCGGCGAAGGGGGGGGGAGGCCGTTTCGGCCGTTGCGCTACGTGGCGCCGCCCGCTCAGCGCCACGGCGTCCGCAGCCGCCCGGGGAAAGGGAGGCGGCGCGAGGAAACAAAGCTCCCCGGGTTTTGCAGCGGCGGCGGCTGCTGCAGAAATCATGGCGGCCGCGATGGGTGGAGAGGCGGCGGGAGGCGTTTCCTTCCCCTGGCGGAGCCCAGCAGCCCCGGCGCTCCCTGTAGGCTTTTCCCGCTTGAACGAAGCGAGGCGGCGCCGGGCCTCTTTTGTGTGTCTTCCCTGTCGGGCGGGTGGGCCCTTCGCTCGGGGCCGCCGCCGCGTGGCGTTACTCCTTCCGCTCCCGGCTCCTCCTCGCAGCTCGTGGTCGCCATTACAGCCGAAGCTGCTCTTGAGAGCCGCCATTTTTAGTCGCGTTGCTCTCCAGTAAAGGCAGATCAAGCTTATGCAACTAGAGGGAATCTTCCTTCGCTCCCCGCGCGACCCGTTTATTGCGGGTTTGTTAGCTTTATTTTGACGGGTTGTTGCGGTTAAATTGGGCCCTCCTGAAGCCTCGAGGTCCCTAACGGAAGTACTTGAGTGTCTTGTGCTGTGGGCCGCCTTGTCCGCAGCGCGACGGGGAGGAGAACGGGGCAATCCTTTTTGTTGAAAGCTGTTTATGAGGGGTTTGTGACACCTTCCACCACCCCCTGCTTTCCACCTAGAGCCAGTGTTCATAGATCGTGTTCTTGCTTGGTACTGCCTACCTGGTACAATAGCTCCTTCCCTCTTGCTAACACCGTTAAATCGCTTTAATTGAACTCTACGTTATGGTAGATCCCGAAATCCGTTTGTATATTGCGATTGTATGTGTTGGGGTTTATCTTGTTTTCCTCAAATCAAATGACTTGCACCAAACACAAAGATGAAATAGTAAACCAAGGTGCAGTGGTAGTGAGGGGTTTTTTGTTTGTTTGTTTCGTTTTTTAAAGCAATAGCCAATTTATGGAAGTAAAGCCACTTCTTCCCAACGATCGCAACTATTTTCTGCAGTTTATCACACTTTGCAATTATTCATCAGTTGCAGTGCCATGAAAATGAATTCAGTTTCTTTCACTTTGGTATAGGAGTCCCTGGCTTATATTGAGCTGTATTCTCTGTTGCGTTGCTTTAAGAAGAAATAACACCTTTCAAAAAATTCGATAAAGGGCATGTTTTTCATGTGAAAATAAGTTCTGAAGTTTTCTAGGATAGAAGTTGCAACTAGCAAAAAATTTGAAGGTGGCATTAATTAGCTGAGAAAACTAATCAGATCTGAGAAATCATTCAGAGGAATTGCTTTAGTTCCTGAAACTGAGAGAACTTGGCTTCGGTAAGAAAAGTGAACGGGCATTAGTGTGTTTTCCTGTAAAACTAGAGTGAAGTCAAGATTTTGCATGAGATGCAATTCATGACTGGGCTGCAAATAAAGATATTTGATATAGTATGTACTCTTAAACAATTCTTCAGAGAGATTAACTTAGGAGAAAAGAGGCATTGTTGGACAGACATTTGATATGTTTAAATTTTTTTTCTGTATTCTGGAATACTGAACTGTAAAATAATGAACAAGACCAAAATGGCTGTATGTTGCTTTTCATAGGCTGGCTGATCTTTGATCCCGCCCAGAACGTTTAAGGTTTGCTTGGCGAAGCTATATAATATTGGTAAGTGCTGGAAACCAAATGTCACTTCATTTCTTTAGCAAGCTGCAGAGTTGGCTGCTCTCTTCTAAGCACTTATGGGGTTTTATTTATTTTTATTTGACAGGTTGTATCTGCGAGGCTAAAAATAATGGAGACTGAACAGCAAGAAGAGACCTTCACTAATACAGAAACTAATGGTAAGCTATCTTGTATGTAATCAGAAATTACAGCTCTTATATGTGAAAGTAGTAACTGTATGGAATATCTGTCAAGGGTTCAGAATTTATAAATGCCAGGTCCAGGCGTGAATAAAAATCTCGTTTACAATCTGCACTGCAGCCACCGTAGACAATGGATGTTGGTTTAATAAAAACCTAAATTAAATGCTGCAACCAGGTCCTATTCATTGGTCATTTTAACATGTGGATCGCTCAGATTTCTGAAGGCATTTGAATCGCCTGAGGGTTTTGATTTCCAAATGTTGTATGGGCTGAATACATTTCCAGTGTAGATACTTAAAATTATTACATAAATGATGAAAAAAACCTTGGTGTACTTAAAATGGTAACCATAGTGAGTTATTTTACATTCCATAATTGATAATCCCAATATAAGCATTTTGATGGGTTAGATGCTAATTGGTATTGTTACTGTTAATGTGACTAAAAAGCGTAACTTCACAAACATACAGACTTATAGTTGGGTTTTTTAGAGCTTTCAGTAGAAACGGAAAATAAGGTCGCTTTGTTGTCTCTTCTATTGCACTTACTGTCTGGCTGTTCATTAAAGCTAAAAATAGTACTGAACAATATGGATTTGCCAAGCTTACTTTTATTAATGCTGTTAGGATAGTAATTGTTTATACCTAATTCACCTCGGCTTAAACTTTGAAATCCCCACATTTAAAAGACTCCTTATTCCATTTAATAAAATGACTTGTGCCCTACAGCTTGTAGAAGCTAAAAATTTGGATTGTTAATCCTCTGTTTTCTAAAATATTAGGCAAACGTCCAGCTGAAGATATTGAAGAGGAACAGGCCTTCAAAAGATCAAGGAACACGGATGAGATGGTGGAACTACGCATTCTGCTTCAGAGCAAAGTATGTTCTGTTTCATAATTGCAAAAAAAGTTAATGAGTATGTGGTATTTTGTTGTAATAATTTTACTATCCACAGTTGAGGATGAATAGTGTTCAGAATAAAGAGAATACCTGATAATCAGTTTAAGCATACCAGGGGTTATATCACAGAACTCTTAACAGATTTCTGTTTGGAGAAACAGCAAAATGTTTCTGCCATGTGAGACAATAAACCTGATTTTAAGAAGGACCTGACATTTTTTAAAGAAAAGATTAAGCTGTATGACATATCTGCTTTTCTGAATTTTGAGGAACGGCAGCTCATTTGTAGGGTTGAAAGCTGGTTCCTAGTTAAGCATTACAATATTCTGTCATAACTTGTACCGTATTAAAACATATCATTAGTATTTAAATTTGAGCAAATCTGCATTAATTGTTTGAATTTATTTTTTATCAGGAAACCAAAGGCAAGTCTCTTATGTTTGCTATAATAAAGCTCTGTGTTTAGGTTGGATTTATTTGCCTTACCCACTTTTAAAAATCTATCTGAGAGGTTTACTAAAAGGAGTGTTAGTGTCAGCTTCCATGTCCAATCACAGCCTTATTATCATAATTGTATTTGTGAAAATCAATTTCAATATTGACTTTTTTTTTTTTATAGAATGCTGGAGCAGTGATTGGCAAAGGTGGCAAAAACATTAAGGCACTTCGTACAGACGTGAGTATTTACAAGTTAAACACTAATAATTTTGCATAGCTATTGTGAAAATTTTATATAGGTGTCTAGTACAAGCCACTTGTATAGATTTTTAAAAAAATCTTAAGTGTCAGGATATTCCATTCATATAATTAAAACACAGAATAATTCATATGGAAAAATTCCTGTCCCTTATTTTACAAAGCATTAAACTAAACTGTATTTCATTGCTTTGGCTTGCAATACCAGAGAGCTTAAGCTTCCAATTAAAATAATTCAAACCTGGATGGCCATTCTTTATCCAGCTATAGAATTAACTTTGCTTAAACAGTCTATCTCTTCAGGAGAGAAGTGTTCAGACTGGCATGATACTATGTACAGAACCGTTTAGCTGCATTTAATCTGGAATGAATTTTTCATGAACATCACAGTAAATATACCTACCTTTTTATAGTGGGTTGACTCCTGTGAATAGACACTTTCAGTATTAAGTCTCAATAGTTAAACACTATGCTTTGTAAAAAGCAATTTTTTATATTGTGCATAGTCTTCAGTTTTTGAAAGTATGATATTGGTATTTAATGAAATATTTGGCACGATATCATTTCACATTGTGTTTGATATTTTCATTATATTGTAAAACGCCTGCAGAATGTTATAACTGTCAACTTTGGTTACTAGATCTGAGGTATAAGAATGAACTTGGGTAGTAATCACATGTGCATTAACTGACCTTTCTGAAGCTAGTGTACTTAAAAATTCACCTGCCTAAATCTAGATTCCATACATATAATTCATGGATTAGTGGCTTTCCCAATTTTCCCAGGATTTCAGTAATCTGAATCTCTACAGATTTTGTGTCTACCCTCACGAGCCAGCCTGCTACTGCAACTTCTAATGTTAAAAGTAGTTTAGGCCAAGTAACTCATTTTTACGGTCCATAACTGTTAAGCCACAGTCAATGTAGCTATCCGTTATTGTGTTAGTCTTCAGAACAACTTAAGCTTGTTTCATTGAGAGTAATGAGTATAGTTTGTATTAAATTTAAATTTATTGCTTTTCCCCCTCTTCCCTCTCCTTGTTTTTTTGGCCATATATCTCTCCGTTGCCCATGTACTGGATCGACATGCCCCTGCGTTGCCCACCATGACGTTGGCCCATCCGCCCCTGAACGCCCATGTGAAAACCCTGGTTGGCTATGCCCAAAAATGTGCTCGTTGCCAAACGGGTGCCTTACTTGACAACTTCTGATTGAATGCCCATGCCCAATGCCAACATCCACGAACGCCAATGACCAATGCAGTACAATGCCAGTGTTTCAGTCCCAGACAGCAGTGGCCCCGAGCGGTATGTCCCAACAGTTTATGCCTCACTGCCTGATTAGAAAGAGAGAAATGTATATTATTACCTGCCTTTTATATAATTAAATAGTATCCCCTTAGACGGTGTATTGTTTTTTTTAAGTTTTCTGTCTTATTTTCCCCATTAAGTCTTTTTTGTCACTGAACTTTTACGTGAGTTGCCCACCCAACAATCCACTAATTTTATTTCAATGGAAGGAGCACAGCTTCAATTGTTGTATATTTGCTGCATTGTAAATCAGATTGTTTCAAAATAGTCTCTCGCTCTGCTCTGTCTTTGTGGTCCACCTTGCTCCCCCAGCATTGCCTGTTCATAATTTTTTCTGATGAAATGCTAACTCCTGGTTCACTCTCCTTCACTTCTCATTTGTGTTGTCTTTTTTGTCTTGCATTTGTATTCGTTTTCTTGCAGAGCCCATTAGTAACCTAATTTCTAACTGGTCTCATAACCCTATTCCAAATATAATGTTCACCACTTGCATATTCCCATGTTTCCTATGAGAAGGTGTGCCAGTTTAACAATGTAATAGTGAGAGTATCCTAAATTAGTGGTGGCGGGGAACATGAGTATTCACTCCTGCTTTCAGTTCTTCGTTAATTTCTTGTCCACTTAATCTGACTCCTTCCAAGAAACTCATTCTCTTATCTCCAAAACCTTATTTTAAACTTGTATCATTTATATTATTGGGCATAAACAAAGGTGCATGTGCTGTATCTTCAGTAAAAGGTTTACTTAAGTGGGGAATATTAACTCATAAGTTCAGCTCTGTAAAGTTGACTTATAACACATAAAATTATGAATACACAACTTATTTTACCTTTCCCCCTATCTTATTTGTGATACCTGATGCTTAATGCTATTTGACAGCATACTGAGTATAAGTGCAGATATCGAAACAATTGGAGAAATCTTGAAGAAAATTATCCCTACTTTGGAAGAGGTAAGTGTATTTGGGTGTATACATCTGAATGGTGAGCTTCAAATGCTCTTGTTTTCTGTCGCTAACTTGCCCTCTATTTAAAATACAGGTATATGTCCTAATTGGAGTGTCAGCAAGAGTTATTTGTGTATAGCACACCAAATAAAATTAAGTTTGAAATTTTAATGCACTGAGGCAGGCCATAGGTCCATGTAACTCAGTATTGTTTTGTATTTTGATTTTATTGTGTGAACCGCCTTGTCATCTCTGGGTATAGGGTGGTATATATATTCAGTTAATAATAATAATAATAATAAATCATCATCACCTTGTCTACACTGATAGCAGCTCTCCAAGGTTTAAGAGGGGACTTTGTCAGCCCTTTCTGAAGATGCCAAGGCTTGAACCTGGGAGCTTTTTATATACAAATTCTATCACTGAGCTGTGGCCCCTTATTTTCTTGGGGTGCGTTATCAATAGCAAGGTCACTGTGTGTGGTCATAGACCTTGATAGTAGGGGGTGATTTTATTTTTCCTATATGCTGAATATTCCTTGACTTAAATAAAACCCACTAAGAATGGTAATCTCTGGCTGGGAAAGTATTTTAGGCTGGTCTACTTACATATGCACTCCTTCCAGTGAGATTTTCTACTTGGAACATTAGGAACCCCCGCCCCCCCCCACTACAATATCACAGCTGTGTTTGAAACACCTTTTAGATTTTTAAAAGCAGCTGGCTGGACTGCATAAACTTGTGTTAGAGTAAAATCAGGCCCCTGAACTCTTGGATAATGGTACTGCTTTAACATTTAAATCGTAATATATAAACTGTTTGGAGAATGATGTCTGGATTTAGTGGGTGATAGGTACTGGAAGTTGGAAATCAGAAAAAGTAACAGTATGGTACTGTACTGGGTAGTAAATGGGTACTTATTCATCTTACTGACTGTTTTTCTTATTCTTCACCCTGAATATGTCTATAGTATCAACATTACAAGGGAAGTGACTTCGACTGTGAGTTAAGACTGTTGATTCACCAGAGTTTGGCTGGAGGAATTATTGGTGTCAAGGGTGCTAAAATCAAAGAACTCAGAGAGGTAACATAATTTTTGTCTTTTGATATAAGCATAGTTACCTTAAAAATAATCACTTTCTTGAAGATGATGTTCAGTTCATAGTTGTTACTAGTCATTAGGTGGCAAGAATGCCTCAACCTTACTAGAATTTATTCATCTTGTGCTGCTAAAGAATTAGAAACCCAAATATGTGATTAATTTACAAACAGAGTTTCCTTTCTGTAAAAGAAAGTGTAGAGAAAGAGATCAGTTTTATTCTGGTTTTAACTTTGGTTACTGAAATTGGTGACAGTTTCTAATACTTCTGTATTGTCTGAAGCTGTTTCTCATTGTACAGCTGAAATGGCTAGCGCAAAAGGTTTGTGAGTGCCTGATCCCCTGATGGAACTTGTACTCCAGAGATTCTAGAGAAACAATTTCTTAGCAGTTACTGCAAAGGTGGTGGTTTCCACATAATTTGTACACCGTAGTTGGAGGTTCACCAAAATCTGAGCCTGTGTAGTAGCGTCACTAAGTGTAAAAATGGAATACGAAATCTATAGAGTGAAAACATAGCCTAATAATTGTCAAGCACTTCACAGTGGTCTTTGTTAATCACATTTCACTCCTGGTATAAGGAACCAACTTGGGCTGCTGACAAAATAGCTCCTTAGAGATTCACTCAGTTTCTGGAGTGCAGGCCTCTCTATAAATTAGGGTTCCGAGGCTAAAAAGTCTGTCTTTGATTTGAGCGCTCATGGGGGAATACTGGGACAAATCCAACTACAGTGGTACCTCGGCTTCAGGTTACAGACACTTCAGGCTACAGACTCTGCTAACCCAGAAATAGTGCCCTGGGTTAAGAATTTTGCTTCAGGATGAGAACAGAAATCATGTGGTGGCGGCGGGAGGCCCCATTAGCTAAAGTGGCCCCTCAGGTTAAGAACAGTTTCAGGTTAAGAACGGACCTCCAGAACGAATTAAGTTCTTAACTCAAGCTACCACCGTAAACATGACTTGTATACAACTTACAAATGTGTTTAAAGTTGATGATAAAAGCAAGTAGGACTGCCACAAGTGTGTCTGCACAGTTTTGCTTAGCAGACCTTTTTATGACTGTTGAAGTGCTTTTGCAGCCTGGTGATCTTTCACTGGAAAATTTTGAACCTTTAGACTCATTGTGAAGACTTTCTTTTATTCATTTTATTAAGAAAGGACATTGTTTCATCTACTCTTAGAGGCAATAGTAAGACCAGTGTTGCAGAAGCTCGCTTGATCCCCAATTAATTAAATACTTAAAGTCAAACCATTTGCTAGCTGTGGTGGCTGAGCACTCAATTATTTAGACATTTAAAGACCAGGGTTTGGTGCTGGGACTTCTTTGGCTTCATCTTCTTTCTGCATCTTTGTAGGAGAGAAATTGAATGTGGCCCTGTTGAGTGTCTTGCACGCTTTGAGGTTATTGAGAATATTAAAAAATCACCACACTTTATTTCAACCCTGAGTTAGAGGTTTTTTGCAAGGGTTCCTTCTGTTTTGTTGGGACGTTAATGTACTTCTCGTCGTTGGCTCTTGTGGACTTCTGCCGGGGTTTGTTCTAACTAAAACTGCTGAAAAAGTTCATCTTGGATTTTGGAGCGGATTCATGATGGTCCAGCTCAATTTATTCTGAAACATTTGTGGCAATATTCCTTGAATCACTTAGCATAATGTAGCATGCTAGCATTACTTTGTAAATAGTAATACAGGCGTACCTTGGTTCTTGAACGCCTTGCTGCTTGAACATTTTGGTTCCCAAATACTGCAAACCTGGAAGTGAGTGTTCCAGTTTGCAAACCTTTTTTGGAAGCCAAACGTCTGACACAGCTTCTGTGGCTTCCAATTGAGTGCAGGAAGCTCCTACAGCCGATCCGAAGCTGCACCTTGGTTTTTGAACATTTTCGGAAGTCGAAAGGACTTCCTGAACAGATTCCGTTCAAGAACCAAGATACGACTATACTTAGCATGATGTCAGCAAAAAGTCCAATTTAGAAGAACAGGGTTTGTTGGTAGCCCCAGAAGTAGTTCAGGAAAACTGCTTTGTGATGTGGTCATGTTACACTTAAAAGAGCAGATACGGAGTGTTCCTATGTCCAGACCTCCTATATCAGGTGGAGTTGGTAGCCAGGAGTGTTTGTCTACTGACTTTGGCTAATGTACCAATGGTTTAAATGCCTGCTAAAGAAGGATTGTGCAGGCCCTAATACCTTCTTGACTGGACCACAGTAATGTGCGGGCTTTGGGGCTGCAGCAACTTGACAGCTTGGAAACTTTACTTGGTTGGTTAGATATGTCAGCTGACAGAAGCTTATAATAATTTGCTGGCGCTCTTCTGGCAATATTTTTTCCCCCAGACCAAATTTAAGCCCAGATATCAAGCTGTAATGCAGTTAATATCATAAATGGTTAAATTTAAGGAATAACCTTTGGAGGGAGTATGTGACATGTGTAGCCCCTCATTTGGGTTTGATGTAAGTTGTGGAAGATGTAAGATGTGAAAAAGCATCAGTTCTGCTTTTAAATGCATTTTACAAATTTCTATTTTGAATTACGGAGGGAGGGAGGAAACTCAATAGGGGTGGGACCATAAATCATTCCTGTATTGTTGAATTTTAAAGATATCAAACAGTGAAAAGTAGGTGAACCATAACTAGTGTAATTATATGGTTTGTATGTACAAGCCATGAGAGTGCATTTTGAGAATGGAGTTGTCTTAGCTTCCAGTTTGTATTGTTTGTGCCGCTACTTGTTCAGCATACAAATCTCAAAAACAAGCTATGTTAAATAGTTTTCAGCTTTCTTATTGGTTAGAGTGGATTCTAAATAATTTTTTACTTAAAATTTTCTTGGCAGAACACTCAGACCACCATTAAGCTTTTCCAAGAATGCTGTCCTCATTCTTCTGACAGAGTGGTGCTAATTGGTGGAAAGCCTGATAGAGTTGTGGAATGCATCAAAATAATACTGGATCTTATATCAGAGGTAATTTAATCTTTACAATAATTTGTTTTCATACCCCCCACGCCTTTTTTGTGCAAAGATAGTTGCATTTTTTGCTTGAAATAAGTTATACATGTAACTTCAATAATTGGTAGTCTTTTAATATATGTGTTAAATTATAATTGTGGGAAATGTTCAGAAGACTAAAGTTGTTTTCCGTTTTTTATTAGTCACCAATCAAAGGACGTGCACAGCCTTATGATCCAAACTTTTATGATGAAACGTACGACTATGGTGGATTTACAATGATGTTTGATGACAGAAGGGGGCGTCCTGTGGGATTTCCAATGCGTGGCAGAGGAGGCTTTGATCGAATGCCTCCAGGTCGTGGTCGTCCAATGCCTCCACGAAGAGATTATGATGACATGAGCCCTCGCAGAGGACCTCCTCCCCCTCCTCCAGGCCGTGGTGGTAGAGGTGGCAGCAGAGCTCGCAATCTTCCTCTTCCTCCACCTCCTCCTCCCAGAGGCGGGTACGTCAACATTGTAATGATTCCGAGTGCTTTTATAGAGCAGTATTGAGCTAACAGCTGCTTAGAGTAAGGTTTGTGCTTGGGGGAGAACATAGTAGTTAATAAATGGAACTGGATTTTATGTTTTAAGTGGGAGTGTGATGGATAGATTTATAAAACATGAATTTGTGACATAAAAGTAAAAAAACCCTGATTGCTTTATCTTCACCAAATCAATTTGCTTATTTATGTATTTGACAATGTCTTTATGTGAGACTTTAACTTGTAAACACTCTAAATTATATCATTTGCTTTCTTAAGGGACCTTATGTCTTACGACCGAAGGGGCAGACCTGGTGATCGCTACGATGGAATGGTAAGTTATGTTCAATAGGAGAACTCCAAATACAGTTTTTCGGTAATTGGGTATCTTGAAAGCATTGTTTTATGTATGACTTAGGATATCAATGACCTTTTACAATTTTACCTTTCACAGTTAACTTTCAGTTTTCTTTAAGAAAGTGTTCATGAATCTTGAGTATTTGGAGACTTTAATAGTATTGTAGTCCAAGTTTTTCTCTTCACTGGCACTTGTGTACTTAGAACAGAGCTTTGAAACTGTCACGACAGGTTAATGTGTTGGCTGCAGTCTGTAGGCTTTTCTGGGGCTGGAAAGGGGTTAGTTTAACCTCCAGTTTGCTAGTAAAACTGAATTACTGTGTCACGAAATGATGCATGTCTAAAAAGTGTGTGGCCAGCATGAGAAGTCTGGAAAACTCTGACTTACAGGATCTTAATCTTCAGGGTTAGGAACATGATTCTAATTGTGGGTCATCTTTTTCAAAATGAGTAACGGTTCTGATGAGGAAGAAATGTACTTTGACCAAGTTATTTAGGTCAGATTCATGTAGGGCTGTAGTTCCATAGTATTTTATGTTTGCAGTATGAAAGGAATATAAAGTTATATTTTACTGCTACCAGTTACCTGGGAAAAAGACCCATTGACTTCAGTAGGATTATATCTAGGTGGGCAGGTATAGAATTGCACTGCAAGGCTCTTAGCGTATACAAGATTTCAGCCTAATTTACTGTGTACAGAATGCTTGCTTTCCTGCATGCCTAAATCAGAATTTACACTTCCTTAGGAATTACCAGAGGGGAAATGAACTCAGTAACAGCCCATAACACAAGTTCATTGAGTGACTCAGAAGCAAATGTATTACAGTATAAATTTTAATATACGTAGTAATAGAGTACAAATTAAATCAAACCCCAAACTGTATTTTAACTTAAAACATGTAATAACTGTTTGATACATTGAACCAAGTCAGGCTTATTTATTTTATGTTACTTTATTTGGGGCGTTGTGAGAGAATTTATGTAGGTAATTGAAAAAATAAGAGCCTGTGATATATAAAGCAGTATCCAATATTGTGTGCGTACAGGGCCTGCCACTTACATGAGGGTTCAGCTCCTGGTGTCCATATGCAAAGGCAAAACCACGTAAAGCCAGGAAACCCCCAGAACTACTCCCTCACCCACCCTGCACAATCATCCAAACTTGTACAGAGCAGCCCTGGCCTCTGCCTTGCTTACTGAGCTCTGGGAAGGCTGTGCAAGGTCCTGGCGGCATCCCATAACCCTTGAACATCCTTCCCAGAGGCTGGTAAGCAGTGAGTTTTCCCTGCCCTCCTTTGATTTCTTTTTTGACTGTCTGCCCAAGGTCACAATTGTGTAAGTAAATTATGCATAAGTGGTGGCCACTGCACACTTCTCACACAGTGGGATTTTCCCTGCACCCCCCACCAAATCTCTAGGGATTCTCAACCTTTGTAACAGAATGGGGTGGTCTGCATGGGGAAGGTATGGAAAAAGGAGCATTCTCTGCATCTGATTGAAGTCAGTTCTGCTTGCATATGGACTTCACTCACGTTGCTTAAGAGCTGCACTTGGCTGCAGAATAATATAAATAGTGCATATGGAAATTGCCTTAAATTGTCACCTATCCAGCTTGTTTTGCATATATTCTAACATGCAAACTGGTTTATGCAGTCTGTATCACATAAATTTACAGGCACATAAGCTTTATGAGTCTATAAAGTCCCAAATAACTTGTTTCAAATGTATTTTTTCTTTCTTCTCTTTGGCAAGATGATGCAATGTCATGTCAATGCTTGCGATGACATAGAAACGCCAGAAATGGTGAGTACACTAATTAAAAAGCCTGCTTTGATTGGTGTTCTTGATGGTAGGAGAAAGGCAATAAGGAATTGGTTTTGCGCATAAACTGCCATTGCTAAAAGCTTCCATTTGGGGGATTGCTGGATTTTAAGCAAGTAATACTTTTAGCAACAACTTTCTCCTACATCTTCTCCTAGAAGCTTGTAGTTGAAATGGATATATTTAGATTAAACTCAAATACTTGTAGAGGCAAAGGAAACAGTTGCCTTAAGTATGGATGATGCAAAATTTCCCACCTACTGCTTAATTTGTACTGTGGAATTCCTTCCCATATACTCTTTCAATCCCAGAAATGTATAGTTAAGTAATATGGGATGAATGAAACATTAAAATACCTGAAGCAGTGATTTGAGTTCCTTATCTTAATGTCTCCTGAAATGTGTGTGCCTCTAAGTTGGCAATTTAAGACCTGAAAGATTCAAAAATGTTTTTTTCTCTTAATATGTTGTGTGTTTGATAGGCCTTAACTGAAAATGTTCAAAAACTTTTATAAACCTGTGTGCGCACACCAACATGAAGAATGTATGCATACCCATGTGTATGCATAAGCTGCTTAAGCTGGGTGGGGACAGGGAGAGCTTGCCAGTGCACCAGGAAGGCATTCCATCACATGTTAAATTAGCGGAGCTGAATTTGTAACATACCATATTTTTTGCTCTATAAGACTCACTTTTTCCCTCCTAAAAAGTAAGGGGAAATGTGTGTGCATCTTATGGAGCGAAAAATACAGTACCTATGACTAGAACTGAGAATGTTTTGAGTGTTGATGGGAATGTAATTAACATTACTGTCTACCTTTTTTGTACAAGGTTGTCAGAATGTTAAATAGGGTTCAGGGGTAATAGACTATTATTGAGGGCTATATAGTTTAGTCATTATCTGGTATTGGAATATAAACATTTCCACTAGAATTGTTATCGCTGACTTTGCATGAATCATGCTGCATAAAATACGCCTGGTCAGTTACTGATTTGGTGTTCTGCATTGGAAAGTACAGTGGTACCTCGGGTTACAAACACTTCCAGTTGCAGACTCCGCTAACCTCAGGTTAAGAACTTAAACTCAGGATGAGAACAGAAATCACGCAGCAGCGGGAGGCCCCATGAGCTAAAGTGGTACCTCAGGTTAAGAACAGACCTCTGGAACAAATTAAGTTCGTAACCAGAGGTACCACTGTATTTTGAGATTGTTGAGATACCTAGAATCATTGGGGAAGGAGTTCCACAATGCTGGTGCTTTGGTGGTGAAAAGCCCTTGTTCTCTTTTGAAATCCAGAAATGCACAGATTTTACCTATGGGTTTATGGCAGAGGTCCAGTTATATATAGGTGGAGCTATATAGATATATATAAAGGTAAAGGGACCCCTGACCATTTGGTCCAGTCGTGACCGACTCTGGGGTTGCGGCACTCATCTCGCTTTATTGGCCGAGGGAGCCAGCGTACAGCTTCCGGGTCATGTGGCCAGCATGACTAAGCCGCTTCTGGTGAACCAGAGCAGCACACGGAAACGCCATTTACCTTCCCGCCAGAGCGGTACCCATTTATCTACTTGCCCTTTTGCGTGCTTTCGAACTGCTAGGTTGGCAGGAGATAGATAGATATAGATACAGATAAAGATATCAGCTGTGTAGAATACTTTTGTTAGCTTCCATGTTACATGAAACAAAAGCTGCTAAGACTTTTTCTTTTTGTTTCCTTTTTGCTAGTTCGAGGGTGGATCAGGATATGGTAAGCTTTAATGCATGTGTACTATATACAATTTACTGTTCAGTCATTAAAAGAGCAAGATGCATACGTTTTAAATCAGACTATTCTTATGCAGGGGGTCGTGGCTCTTACGGTGATCTTGGTGGACCCATAATTACAACACAAGTAACAATACCCAAAGATGTAAGTATATTTCCTGTAGTTAAAATATTTTCAAATAAACCTTGTGACATATGGTTTTTAAATTTTTGTGCAGTATGTTAGACTTACTGTTATCTTCAGTGTTATATGTTAAGCTTGTATTCTGCTTTGAAGGAAATGGGTTAAAAATTTCCTCCCCAACTTGTTATTGAACATACTATCCAGGAGTGCTGCCTAATAAATTGTCGTATTGTGTAATGGTATGTTTTTGTACTCTGGTAATAACTTTGTATGTTGTAATATTGCAATTACTAGCTGTTGGTAAAAAAAAAACCTCACTTTTTTTCTAGCTGGCTGGTTCCATTATTGGAAAAGGAGGCCAGAGGATCAAACAGATACGCCATGAATCAGGAGCTTCAATCAAAATTGATGAACCCTTAGAGGGCTCAGAAGATCGGATAATAACTATCACAGGCACACAGGACCAGATTCAAAATGCACAGTATTTACTGCAAAACAGGCAAGTTGCATAGAACTGCAGCTGTAAACTAAATGTGTAAATCATTACTGAACTTTGTCTCTTGTATGGTGTGCCTTTTTAAAGAAAGCTATTTTTAAAACAAAACACCTTTATGCTGGTAGTGTATACTAACTTCTGCACTTCGTAGTATGCCTTTCTCTTCTGTTTTCCATTCTTACTCTATGAAGACACCCTCAAAACTAATCTTGCTGGAAGTGACCTTAACCAAGCAGTCCTCATTTCTCTGGTGAAAACTGCTGCAAAAAACCTACTTGTAATCTATTACATAGAGCCTGTAGAAAATATAGAAGATTTCAGTGGATGTTGGTCTAGTTCTGTGTGGAAGACTAGTGATTTTGTTGTTTTTAGATAACCAAATCGACAACAAATCGCAGTCTGCCATATGGCACAGACCATGCCTCTACAGGACAAGTTGAAAACTATTGGTGCTGTTAATGCAGCATTTCACACCTCACTGGCATTGCTTCCTTTTCTGCCATGTATAACAGCTCTAGGTTGTACTTGCTTTATTTCCTCTAACATCAGCTGTCTAGTGAGCATTTTGCAATGTGTAACTTGTCTTTTTGAAAGTAGATAGCTACTAATTACAAACTGTAAAATTTTAACCAGTATGTATTGTCTAATATTTATAATTGTGTAAAATGTATTTGCAAATATTGATTCAAGTTGTTTGTTCAACCATTCTAATACATGCCTTTTTTTTTCTTTTTCCTTATAGTGTGAAGCAGTATGCAGATGTTGAAGGATTCTAATGCAAGATATTTTTTCTTTTTTATAGTGTGAAGCAGTATTCTGGAAAGTTTTTCTAAGACTAGTGAAGAACTGAAGGAGTCCTGCATCTTTTTTTTTTCTTAAATCTGCTTCTGTTTAAAAAGCCAACATTCCTCTGCTTCATAGGTGTTCTGCATTTGAGGTGTAGTGAATTTTTTTTGCTGTCACCAGATGTAATGTTTTTAGTTCTCTACATATAGGTGGGTGGGAGTGGGGTGGCTTGCAAAACTAACATTGGTATTTTGAAACAGCAGCAGAGAAGGTGGATTTTATTTTTGTTCTATGTTGGTTGTAAACTGTAATGTTTTTTCTGTCACTTGTGAACCATCTGCTTTATACCTTTTTTGTTTTGAAGAGGGAGAAGAGTACTGGTAGTTCACTTACCTATCCCTGGCATCCATTCAAAGCAGTGTGCAGAATGTAATGCTCTTTTGTAAGATGTTTTATGATTTTAAAAATAAATTTAGTGAACCAATTCTTGCAGTCATTTTTTTAATGCATACTTCTGTAGCTAAAATACACTCTCTACACCATTAATTGAGCTTGGCTTTTTCCCTATACCAGAGAAGCAGAACACCCAATTTCATTGTTTTGGCAAATTGGGAGTATTGATAATGCACTGACTCCAAAGTTTGATGTGTGAAGAAACTGAAAAATATTGAAACAGTTTTACGTTCTTGTTACTCCAAATGTATGCCCCTAATTATTGTACTGCAACTTGTTGGTTTGAATAAAATTTCACAAAACTTGGTTTGTCATGGAATAGCAATTAACTGTAGAGGCTGTTGGAATTTTAGTCATTTCTAGCATTGGCAATCTTGCCCATATCCAACTGTAACTTGTTTAAAATGTTTCTATTGTATAAAAACTGAATGACAAAACAATTGTATCTCACTGTTTAAGTTGCATAGAAAATGTGTGTGGAATCAAAAGAACCTGGATATTTTCATGTAAAAATCTCAGCATTTGTATTAATAGTTTACAAGTTTATTTGTCTCGAATAAACATTGTAATAACATCCAGCTGCATGTAACTTCGAGGTTTCAATATTTACTCTAGGTCTAATTCTCTACAGACTTAAAATATTTTCCTCTTTGTGTTTCACAATAAATTAAAAGATAAATTGAAATCTACCATGCCCTTCTTTCTTAGCTCTGAATGCTACACTGAGAAGCTATAGAAGAACATTTGCCAAAGATTCCTTCATTTGAGATAACTTTAGCATTTAAGGAAGAACATCTTCATGAGGGCTTTTTGCAAAACCTGATCATGTAAGTGCTACTTATGTCAACGTTAAAAAATGGCATATAAAGTTGCAAGTGGAGAGTAAGCGATGCTGCAGTGGAGTGCTTTAGAGCAAAAAGAACAATGTAGATCTGGATTGTCTGGCAGATCTCTGAATATGAAGTGGATCGGCAGTGATACTTGATACCCCATTGGTGAAATGAAGACTTGGATTAATCGAAAGTGGATTTTCAGGAGTACAGAAGAGCTCCATTCAGTTTTGGTACTCAAACGGATATTTTTGGACTATTAAGTTTTATGCCATTTGCACTAAGCTCTGATTAATGGAACTTTAGGTTTTCACAGAAAATGAAACATCCTTGCATTAGAGTGTATTTTTAATACCTCTGGTGAAATTCACCTAAAACAAAAGACTGCCTTTAGCGCTGGGTGTTTGCATTTCATGGAGGGGGGAGGGGGGTCACATCCTGCATTATGCATCAGGATTTGAGGCTGTTGTGTCCTATTTCTGAACATTGAGTAAATGGGTCTTTAATCGGAAGATTTAGGCCCCAGTGTACAGTGGTACCTCGGTTCATGAACTTAATCCGTTCTGGAAGTCCATTCTTAAACCGAAACCGTTCTTAAACCGAGGTGTGCATTCCCTAATGAGGCCTACCACCACTGGTGCCCTTCCACTGTTTGGATTCTGCTCTTGGACAGAGATAAAGTTCTCAAACCGGGACACTAGGGTTTTGCAGAGTTCGTTAACCGAATCGTTCGTAAACAGGACTGTTCTTAAGCCAAGGTACCACTGTATTTGCTGTAGCCTTTGGCTATGTTGCCTTTTAAGTGTGATTAAGAGAAAGATGATTTTTAACCAGGGGTGGTACTTTTTGTCAAGATGCTTATTTTGTCCTAGGATGTTTTCTTGATAACAGAGTTATGTCCCAACAGGTATGGAAGGGATGCTGCAAGCAAATATTTTGCCTCTTCTAAACTTCCTTTAGGGGAAGGGTGGGCAGAAGGCAGATGGGGTATTTTTGCAGTACTGGAATGGGTTGGTAGCCTTTTCCCCTCCTAAATTGTGAAAGGGAGAAATGTGAGATCTAATTCAACTACTGAAACCTGTTGAAAACAGTACCTCCCCACTCTCCTATGTTCCTCTTCCTGAGTTCCAGCTGGTGACCTGGGTTCTAGTGAAAACTAACCTAGATCTTATGGGACTGAAGTCTGCTGACTCTTGCTCTAAGGAAATACATTGTAAAGGAAATGAAAATATAGGAATTTTGCAACCATTATAATAAAGGACTCAGTTTGATGGCAAGGTTAACATTTCATTAAATGCAACTACAGTACTTATAAAAATATAGTCATTCGATCATTTGTCAGGTTAGGACTCCTTTCTACTAAGAATTGAGTTCTTGCCCCTACAACCAGGCTTTTGAAAGGTTTGCAGAGTAGTGATAGTTTTCTCATGAAAGGAGGCAAGAATCTTGAGTTTACAAGTGAAGCCTATAGTGTGAAACAGACTCGCAAAGTCACTGTACTGAATAAACTAGAGCCTGTTTTATTGCAGGCTGTTTAGACATAGTCATTTTTCATTTATTAAATGCGTATATTATTTATTAAATTTGACATCCCACCACTATCCCATAGTCATAAGTTTGACGATAAGTCCGTACTTGTTTGATCGTGTCCACTTCCAATAGGGCTTTCCCCATGCTAAGAACTGATGTGCTTCAGCTTTTGCTTGAATGCAGCAAGTTCCCCTTGGAACAGTAATGGATCATCCCTTCCAAAGCCCTTTTCCGATTGCAGGAAGGACTGGGGGTGTCGGCGTAGGAATTAGCAGGTCGAGGAATACAGCCCACTGCATTTGGCAGTGCAAGGGGTCGGGGTTGGGTTCTTAAAAGTGCTACCAAGTAATGTGCATAAGTTGGGCATGGGTTATTTAAGCCGATTTTTAAATGCAATTCAGGCAACATTCAACAAAGTCAAGCTGAGCGAGTGATTTGCAGGGGCTGGAAGCCCCAAACCCCTTTGATGGGCACAGGGCCAGATTTAGGTTTGATGAGGGCCTAAGCTACTGAAGGTAATAAAAAGGTAAAGGGACCCCTGACCATTAGCTCCAGTCGCAGACTGGGGTTGAGGCGTTCATCTTGCTTTACTGGCCGAGGGAGCCGGCATACAGCTTCCGGGTCATGTGGCCAGCATGAATAAGCCGCTTTTGGCAAACCGGAGCAGCGCACGGAAACGCCGTTTACCTTCCCGCTGGAGCGGTACCTATTTATCTACTTGCAGTCTTTTGGTGTGCTTTCGAACTGCTAGGTTGGCAGGAGCTGGGACCAAACAACAGGAGCTCACCCCGTAGTGGGGATTCAAATCACTGACCTGATCAGCAAGCCCTAAGCTCTGTCGTTTAGACCACAGCGCCACCCGTTTCCCACTGAAGGTAAAAGGGTCCTTTAAATGTCCAGCTGTCCTTTGACAACAATAAGTTGCCGTTTTTTTGTGTTGCATATATGCTATATGTCTAGTTACAGGTAGGTAGCCGTGTTGGTCTGCCGTAGTCGAAACAAAATAAAAAAAAATTCCTTCCTGTAGCACCTTAGAGACCAACTAAGTTTGTTATTGGTATGAGCTTTCGTGTCTATGCACTTCTTCAGATACAATCTATCTACAATCTATTCAGAAGTATCTGAAGAAGTGTGCATGCACAGGAAAGCTCATACCAATAACAAACTTAGTTGGTCTCTAAGGTGCTACTGGAAGGATTGGGGGTTTTTATGTGCTATATGGTAATTTATGGACATAATAGGTATCTAAAACCAGTGATATTTTAGGGAGCAGGCTAGCAGGCAAGGCCCATTACATCATAGGAGCCTACACAACACAAAACACTGTTGCTGTATGTAGGTTTTATTTTATTCGTTTTTTATCTTATATTTCTAAATGTACATACAGGGGTTTTTTTCCCTTTAATTTTTTTGGGTGCCCCCAAGAGAGTGGGGCCCTAAGCTATAGCTTGTTTAGCTTATATCCGGCCCCGGATGACCACGAGGCCTGCCAGGCTGCACGCAGCTACTTTCGCTTTCCGAGTCCGGCCCGCCTGCTTGTAAATACGGCTAATTCTGATTGGAGCGTGAAAGTGGGAGGACTGGTACGAAGGTGGGAAAGGAAAGGCATTTGCGCGCGCGGAAGCGGAGTGCGGGGGAGGGATCTTGTTGCCTTTCCTGCAACAGCAGAGTCCAGGTATCGTCTGAACGTGGTAATACCTGCTCGCAGGCGGAGGTAAGAGGGCTTTGAGCGCTCGGAAGCGTCGCGATCTTTGGCTCAGGAGAGAAAAGCGGCGCTGTAACTCTGCAAAAAGTCACAGATTCCGCGCCTGCACCTATTTTCCGCAGGCCTGCGGGAGAGCAGCGGGTCTGGCGCGGCCACGTGCGTGGGAGAAGGAGACCCGATTCTCTTCTGCCCCCCGACTCGCGCGGAGACCCTCCACTGGGATCCGATTGGGGATGGGAGCGGGAGGGAGGAGCGGGCTGGCGGGGAACGGCGCCTTTTTTGGTATGGTCTGAAATGCCTGGCTTTGTAAGAATCCCCGGAAATCGGCAGATCCGCTGGCATTCCGCATCTGCAGGCCGCTTTGCACAAGACGGCAGGATTTTAGATCAACGCTTAAAAAAAAAAAAAGGATAAAATGAGAAGTGAAAAGTCACCTGGAAAGCGTAGTTATGAGTGAAACCATTAATCTGAAGTAGGCGGTGGCAGAGAGTCCTGTTTGCAACCCTGGAGAGCCCCTGCCGGCTAGTGTCGGTAATGCTGGACTCTATGGGGATAAGTTGGCCAGGGAAGCTAGAAGAAGTGCTGTCTCTTCCTCCCCTCCCAGATTATTAAATGGGCTAGAAGTTACGTACTGTATTGTACAAGAGAAGCTGTCTTAAATGAGCTCCCTCAAGTTCAAAGCTTCCCTAAGTGCAAGGAGAAACAAGCTGTTGTAGGCAATGTTCATTCAGTTTTTGTTGAGGCAGGTTATCCCTGGAAAAGAGTGATCCCAGAAGAAGAAAGATGGGGCTATTGGCAATAAATGCAACAATTGTGGAAGAAGTAACACCTCTGGCTGCATCTCTGTGGGGGACCCTGGATTTCTTTGAAGGGACCTGCTTCCTGTTTTTGTGGAGCTTTTTCCTCTGCCTCTTTCTAAATCACAGGCCCTGCTTTGGTTCCTGTTCTCTGAGCTAATAACTAGATAGTCCAGCAAGCTGAGCTTGCAATAATAGGCTATTTCCTTGGAGGGGCTTGGCTGGTTATTTGCTTGACCTTTGAGACTCTTGGGTCTTATTTATTAGATAAATGAGGGCTGATTCGCGCATATTCTACTCAGTGGTGCAAAGTCTTTGTGCTGGAAAGCTTTGTGTCTGTTAGTCACACATTCCTAATCATGGAACAATGAATGCATGTGCTGCTTTTTTTACTGACTACATGCAGTATCAGAAATCATTCCCTTGTTGTTCTTCAAGTATGTTCATTTCCCCTGCACCTACTGTCCATATGCCGCAAAATCAGCTCAGATTGGAGTGCTGTGTTCCACTTATGATGTTCCAAAACAATTACACTCAACATACAGACACCAGAGCAAAAAGTGCCCACATGCACAGCCTACTGAATGGAAAACTGACCAATGGGTGACATCTAATGCTGTCCATGTGCAGGGTGGTAGAGACTTCCACGCAGAGTGTCCTTTTCCTCTCCTTGCCACCAGCGGCCCTTGGCATAGCTGTCAACTTTCCCCTTTTCTTGCGGGGAATCCTATTTGGAATAAGGGAATTTCCCTTTAAAAAAGGGAAACATTGACAGCTATGGCCCTTGGTGAGCCTGAAAATCTGCTACAGAAGGTTGAGGGGGGCATGGGGGGAGGAGAAGAAGGACTGGGAGGTGCTTGGGGAGAAGAGAAAGCAGAATTAGTGTTTCTGCTTGCACAATAATTGGATTTCACCCAGATCAGATTAACAGGCAATATTATCTTTACTTAGAAACATAAGAAGACCATGGAGCCATTCTTGAACCCTAAAGAATCTGCCAAATTCATAGCAGAACACAGTAAAGATGTGTACATTGAAGATGATGGTGTACGAAAAGTTGCAGAGATGTTATTTGACAAGGTCTTGGAGAACGAGTTTAGTGTGGCCGGCTGGAAGTCTTCTCATGAGCTGAACCCTCAAGCGGCAAATGAAGATGCAGTGAACTGGGTGTTCCTTGCCGATACCCTCAATTTTTCCTTTTGGTCCGAGCGTGAAGATCACAAATGTCTGGTGAAGTATAAAGGCAAAACATACAGTGGTTACTGGTCTCTTTGCGCTGCCATCAACAGAGCACTTGATGAGGGTTAGTTCTTAATTTTCAAAATTAAAGAAGAGAATTTGTGGGCAAATAACCTTGACTTGGGGGGAAATGCAAAGCTCCATTCAAGCCAGCATTTGAAATCTTTGTGTTACTCATTCATCTCTAACTTTAGGTTTGGATCCCAGAGTCACAGGTGTGAGTATCATCATTATTTTAAATAAGCAGGGCACTTGATACCTAACTTGCCATGCTTCAGAACTCCAGTACCAAAGGGCCAGATTTAACAATAAGTAACAGGATTTGCCTCTCACAGTCTCTGCACCTGTGGGATAAACCTGAACACTTCTGGTGCCTGTGTGGTCTTTAGGTAGCTTGAGGAGCCTGGAGGCAGGCTGGACTGGCTGGTACATTAGGGAGCTGCTGAGATTGGGCAGCAGCTATCATTCTTAAATTCCTTGTCCTGAATCCTACAGTCCGACACAGGAGAGCTCTGGTGATTGACAGAAATGAGTGAGGTGAGAGACCAAAGAGAAATGATAGTTTGTGGTATGAACAAAGTATTGATAGGAGAGAGGCGATTGCCTCTGGGAAGCGGCTTAGTCGGGTGGGAGAGAGGTAACAGCCTCATTTTCTAGATCACAGAAAAAGCAGCTCCTCTGTTAAATAGTGGGTAGACATAGCAGACGACACAGCAATTCTTCCAAAGCAGCTCTTTATTTGTAAGCTGGAACAGAACTGAACTGCAAACAGCTCAGCTGGCCTGCTTTTATAGGCAGCCAGCTGTCAACATTGTAGCAACAACAACCCAGGGTTTCCCGCCTAAATAAACTGACGTGGACCTGAGTGAAAACTACATACACGATACTCCTGGTGGCCAGGGTGAGAACTTCAATACATAACATCCTCGTTACTAGATCACCATCATTACGAGATCACCAGAAAAACAGTTGCTCCTGTAATCAAGGAAGAATCTAAACAAAATATAAGCAATATTTCTTTTTGTAGGGTTGAGGATTCATTTGGAAATAATGAAATAATATTGTTAGCCCGTGGGGACTTTCTGTGAGTGGGGATTCCACCTCCCTTCTACAAGGTGACATTTCGAATCCAGTACTGGGGGCTGCATAGGCTGCCTAAGTGTTGGGTTAATTAATATTTTGGTGCCTTTGGTAGGGGATGGGTATGCTAGAGCCTTCTTCCACTTGTGTACCGCCCTCCTCGGCGGCTGTGCATAGGAGAGTTAGGTTCTGCTTTATATTGTTTTTATGTATTTATTGTGATTAAAGTTAGGTGCTTTCAGAAGCTGGAGCTGAAGTTAGAAATACATCCAATAATGAACACAATTTGAAGGGGGGAAATAAAGTTTTTTTAAAAAATTAAATAATAGGTTAACTCAGGTTCTGTTTTCAGGCTTTCTGTGGGCATCTGTTTGGCAGGAGCAGGATGCTGGGCAATTTAGAAGTGAACAGTTTAGTTGCTTTAATAATGCGAGCAACAGTAAACTTTGCAATTCTGTAGCCGGGATATAAATAAATAGAGCTTCATCTGTTATTGTATGGTTGTTACTGTTCCTTGTTGTTTTTGCTTTCTGAAGGAATACCCATTACCAGCGCTTCATATTATGCCACTATGACCCTGGAGCAAGTGAAACATGTCTTTCGCTCGGACACAGAGGTTCCCATGCCTTTAATCGAGGAGAGACATCGGGTGTTGAATGAGACCGGGACAGTTCTCCTGGAGAAATTTGGAGGCTCTTTCCTCTCGTGCGTTAAGAAAAGTGGGAAAAGTGCCCAGACATTACTACAGCTAATAGTAGAAAATTTTCCATCTTTTAGAGATGAAGCTTCATTTCAGGTATTATTTTTATTATAGTTGCTTTTTTATTTCTTTTACAAAATGTAATTCAAAGTGGTTTACAAAAAGTAATACATTGAAAACCAGCTCAAAACTAAAACAGAGTAAAAGCTAAAAACACATTCAGCATAGCTGTCAACTTTTCCCTTTTTTTAAGGGAAATTCCCTTATTCCAAATAGGATTCCTCGCAAGAAAAGGGAAAAGTTGACAGCTGTGCATTCAGATTTATTAAAAGACAGGATTGAAACATCCCACCGACTGAAGGGAAACCACTTCAGGACAGGACACCACTAAATATTGTGAGAATTACGCTTACCTGTCTCTTGCCAGGGTGGCAGCCATCACCCATTTGGGGGAATATATTCCGGATCTACTCTAATTTTCAGTGTAGAAAATTTTCTCTTCTAAATATTCATAACTTCCCATTGCAATTAGACACCATTCTTCTCTGGGGAAATAAAATGCAAACACTGTTAAATATTATGGATTGGTGTTTCATTGACTTCACAAAACAGTGGCGCTTCTCAGACATCACACCAGGCAATGGCATGTTCTAAATGTAGTTTAGAACCCAAACCATGGCTTGGGCTTTCAGATAGTCAGGAAAGCGTGGTTTAGAACTGCTTGTTTGCTTTGCTTTTCTGTCTGCTCAGCAGTCTTGTATCCAGGAGCCTTAGCCATATCTGGTTTATTGTCATAAAGCAGTTTATGGTCACACTAATAGGGTCAAACTATCTCTTAGCATGAGAGAGGAGATTGGGGCCGCTTTGTTCTTCCTCTAGTTCTCCTGCTATTCTTGCATTGCTATGAGCAAAGTGTGTTGCCTGAACCTTGCCTTACAGTTTTTCTTGCTCCAGAGAAACCATAAGCTGTCAGCTATGTTGTTCTCAGTTTACAGATCATGGTTTGTTTGGAGAAGTCAAATGACAAGTCTTGGTTCAGATGACACCATAAGCCAAACCATGGCATACTCACAGAAGCTCAGCAACAGTAGAAGCAAAGAACTAACAATACAGTGGTGCCTCGCAAGACGAAATTAATTCGTTCCGCAAGTCTCTTCGTCTTGCGAGTTTTTCGTCTTGCGATGCACGGTTTCCCATAGGAATGCATTGAAAATCAATTAATGCGTTCCTCGGGAAACCGCCTTCCCCCCAGGTCCGGGGACAGACTGCCCCCGGACCTCTTCTGAAGGCTGGGGGGGGGGGCAAGGGCTTTTCTTCCCACCCCCAGCAGTTTAAAAACCCGGGACAGCGGAGGACTTCTCCGCTGTCCGGGCGATCTTAAAATGCTGGCGGGCGGCATTTAAAATCACCCCGGGACAGCGGAGGACTTCTCCGCTGTCCGGGGCAATTAAAGCCCCTGGGAAGGCAGGCAGGGGGACAAAGACTTTTGCCCCCGCCAGCCTTCAGAAGAGGTCCTGGACCTCTTCTGAAGGCGGAGCGGGCGAAGTCTTGCTCCCCGCCTTCAAAAGCCCTCCCGGGACAGGCAGGCAGGGGGGAGCAAAGACTTTCGCCCCCCGCCCGCCTTCAGAAGGTCTTCCCTCCCCCCCGCCCGGCGGGGCACCGTTCCGAAGCCGGGCGGCGGCGGGAGGTCGTCCCTCCCCCGCCCGGCCGGGCACCGTTCCGAGCCGGGCGGCGCGGCGGGAGGTGTTCCCTCCCCCCGCCCGGCCCGGAGCACCGTTCCGAGCCGGGCGGCGGGGAGGTCTTCCCTCCCACCGCCCGGCCGGAGCACCGTTCCGAAGCCGGGCAGAGGCGGGAGGTCTTCCCTCCCCCCCCGCCCGGCTTCGGAGCACCGTTCCGAAGCCGGGCGGCGGCGGCAGGTGTTCCCACCCCCCCCGCCCGGCTTCGGAGCACCGTTCCGAAGCCGGGCGGCGGCGGCAGGTGTTCACTCCCCCCGCCCGGCCGGAGGAGCCTTCCGAGCCCGGCGGCGGCGGGAGGAGGTGTCCCCGCCCCGCCGCCAGGCTTCGGAGGAGGTCCGAGGACAGTGGGGAAGACGCGCTGCGCTTCCCCGCTGTCCCTGAGATTTCCCTATGGGCTGTCGTCTTGTGAAGCAAGCCCATAGGGAAATTCGTTTTGCGAAGCGCCTCCAAAACGGAAAACCCTTTCGTCTAGCGGGTTTTCCGTCTTGCGAGGCGTTCGTCTTGCGGGGTACCACTGTATATTCTCCGACAGCCCCTGCATGTGTGTTTGCTTTAAGCTGCAGATTGCTTTAGTGTTAACATGCAAACTGAGCCATGGTGTTTTTGAAAACTCACTTTAAACCATGCTTTCTGATTTGCTAGTGGATCACAAACTGTGGTTTGTTAGTTCACACTTCACACTAAAACATAATTACAATGCAATCCTATGCATGTCTACTCAAAAGTAAGTACTTTTTCCCATGTGTGTAGAGTATTATAGCCATAAGCACCATTAACCAGGGTTTAGTGTGATCTTTGAATAGAGCCAGTTACCTATACATTTACAACTATATATATATCTATAGGTATCTATAGATAGATAGATACATAGATAGATAGATACATAGATAGATAGATAGATATGACTTCAGTGTTCAAACATGGGTTGTATAGTATATTCTGGTTACCATGTGACTTGGAAGATCTTGGCTAAATAACATAATATATTAAATTGTAGTAATTTGTTTTCAGTGTCCATGGATTTGAACACTTGACTGTGGCTGCTGCATATTCAGCTACAATATCATTTGTCATTCTTGTATTATTTAACTTGAGACTTGAAGTGTCAGTTCAGAATCCTCATTCTGCCAAATGTATGCAGTTGTTACTTATTTGCATAGTAGTTTGTTACAATTGAACTGTCTGAACTTTTCGCTTGTAAAGTTTTAGGTCTTTTTAAAATGCAGAATTTAAGGCCCCTTAAGGGTTTTTAAAAATCCAGCGTTCTCTAAAAGCAACAGTAGTAAACAACAACCTCTGTAATAGAAATAAGTCCTCTCATCTTTATACAATTGGACTGTAACTTTCTAAGGGAGAGTCCTTGGCTATTTTATCCTACCAGGTTACATGTTCTGAAGGAAGACCAAATTTTCACCATTCTTCTAACAAGATGGATGCTAGTATCTGTTCGCATTGTCAACACAGTTGCCCTGGCAACAGATTGAGATATTGCAGAGATTTGCAGTACCAGGAAGGGGTGTGAGACGAGATTTAAGTGGTGAAAATGAATTAGATTTCACCACTTTAGTAAAAATGCATACTAGAACTTGGTAAATTTATTAGAATTGCATCCTAATCCTAAACATAATTATAATGAAGCGAGTTCTGTTGATTTCCATGGGATTTCTATGTATCTGTTTTGAGACATAGCCATAGATTTTCTGCTCATTTTACAAGGTGCTATATGAGATCTCAGCCTGTGACAGCAGCTGAAAACTATTATTCACCTGAGGGAGCTATGAAAAAATAAAATTAAGTATTAGTTCCATTATGTAATTTTGGTTGTGTATAATTTTGATTTGCATATTACTTCAATGAACTTGCTTCTCAAAGCATCCTAGTCAATGGATAAATATTACTTTTATATTGTTAATTATAGATATGAAAATGTTTACAGTTAGCAATGTAATGAATCATTTCATGCTGGTGCATTTTATGGTGACGTACTAATGTTAACAGGTGTGCTGAATATATCTTAACCACATCTCATGCAGTATAACTAAACCAGTAATAGTTTTGAAGTTCTTAGCCCCAATGAAATCTACATACAGAGGTGTTATTTGCTGCATTGGAATGTCAGGTATAAATCAATCATGCACTTTGACCATATGCACTGCATTACTTTTGATGAGATGTACACATTTGATGGCTTGGTTAGTTTGCCCTATGCTATTTTGCAAAATTTAATTAAAAGTGAAACGTAAATTATGGAAGTAAAATAATATTGTAACAAAAATTCTGCTTTTATTCTTGATTAGAGCTGCGTCAGGGCACAAATGTTTTGGAGTTGTTTCTTATTACACTGCTAGTTTTTTAAAGATTGGAACTTTTGTAAATTTTACAGCACACTAACAAAAAGCAATAAAAACATACATAATCATCGAAATCCACAGTTGGGCAATGCATTTTAGTAGGAGCAGTCAAAATGTTGCAAAAATGGTGCTTGAGCTTTTAGGTTACTTATAACTCTTCACCAAGGTAGAGATTACACAAAGCTGAAGTTGGGTGAATAAAGGAAAAATCCATTAAAAAAATAGGCTGGATGTTAAAGCCTTGAAGTCTGCATTTATACTCATTCTGAATATAGTGATTGCAGACCAATTAGTCTCTACTGTATGTTTGCAAGTATCAGGTTACACCTAGAATTCTGCGATGAAGAAGCATCGACTGCCTCCTATTTTTGTACACGAAAAGCCTGTTATCTTGTCTCATGCCTTAAGGGAAACACACAGGTCAGGGAATAATTTAGCAAGTGTAATATTTTGATATGGCACTGGAGTTTTGAGGTAATGAAAGGATCGTTTCAGATCAGAATGTGCGTGCAGATCTGAATAGATAATCTGACCTTTGAAATTTTCCAGAAACATGTTGCTTCAAATGAAATCCAATATATGTGTAGAAATATATAGAGAATCCAGAAATATACTGATGTTTGGAGGTTTACAAAAATAATCCAGTGTAGAGCACAGATGCAAACATTAGTGTATCAGCACAACGCTTTGCCAAAAATGCAAAATCCCTGAAATGACTGAAGTAAATAGGTTTATCAGTGTATAAAGCAGGCATGGCCAAACTTGGCCCTCTGGCTGTTTTGGGACTACAATTCCCATCATCCCTGACCACTGGTCCTGTTAGCTAGGGATGATGGGAGTTGTAGTCTCAAAACAGCTGGAGGGCCAAGTTTGGCCATGCCTGGTATAAAGTGTGCATAAAGTCTATGATCCTCACCTGTACCTAGAGCTTTGGCAGGGCATTGCAGCAGCAGTTCCTACTGTTGAAGAGGATTTCTTTATTACTGAACTGGGCAAAAGATTCCTGCATAGCAGGGGGCTGGACTAGAACCCCCTCTTGGTCCCTCCAAACTCGTATGATTCTGTAACATTTATATTGCACTCCAGAACCAGATTAGAAGCCAGTGTACATGACTAAGTGCTGTTGCAATACAAGTGAATCGTCCAGTTCTAGTTGATAATCTAGCCCCACTCTTTGGAAGTCACTGAAGTTTCCAGGCTGTTTTCAGAGAGAGGTCTCAACATGCACCTATGCTATAACTTGTCGAAAAGAACCTTGAAGTATCATAATGGTGTATATTTTTCCTTTGCCTATCAGGGTAGAAAGGTGGCTTTCTACAAACGAGCGCAGATTCTTGTGGCTGACACCTGGAGTGTTCTGGAAGGAAAAGGAGATGGCTGCTTCAGTGATATTTCCAGTGTGACTATATTTGCTGATTATAGAATACCACAGGTGCTTGTTCACTTGGGAGCAATGAAATATTCTGATGAACTAATGAAAAAACTCAAGGAAGGTATGAAACCATTCAGGATCATCAAAAAATGTAATATTTGAGAATTTTTAGAAATAGCTTTTTGTTGACTGTACGGGGATGGGGGACACAAATCTTTGTAGTGGTGCTCAAAATATAGGCTAAGTCCTATTACAGACAAGTTTTTTCAGCCCATGGAAATTAAGTTGCTAAATCGAATCTGTAATTAAAGTACCCACTTCTTTCCTGCTACTCTGTTATTGAAGAAAAATACAGACAAAAATATAAGACTGATTATTTCTGCAAAATCTCATATAGTCTTAAGGATTTCGTTTATGGAATCTATTTTCTTATCCAGTGGCAAAGGAGTGAAAATTTTCATATTTTTCACTTAATTCTAGCAAAACATAAGCATAAAAAGATTTGCATTGTAAAGGGTGTACACATATCTTTGCGGTTCTGTTTCTTACTCATACCATGTGCATTTGTGGTTTACTCAGTCACAGCTGTGTGTCTTTTTAATTTTTCTTCAATAATGAAATAGTAGAGAGGAAGAAAGTGTGTCAATTTACAAACCCATGACAGTGTATTTCTGTAAGAAAATTACCTGTTTACAGGCCTTTAATATTTTATTTTCCTTACTGGAATTAGAAGTTACTGGATTTTTTAAAAAAATGTAAGGCTAATCAACTAGTTAGGTGTAAATCAGGCATAGGCAAACTTGGCCCTCCAGATGTTTTAGGACTACAACTCCCATCCCTAGCTAACAGGACCAGTGGTCAGGGATGATGGGAATTGTAGTCCCAAAACATCTGGAAGGCCAAGTTTGCCTATGCCTGGTGTAAATGCTGAACTTCACCAGGCAGGTGACTTCCTTCTGGATCCAGATTTCAAGGTAAAAAATAGGTATGAATAGAAGAGAATGGGAGTCAGAAATAATTCCTTCTCTGACACATCTGATAATGTGCTGTGTTTGTGGGCTGTCCTTGATGCTTGCAGTTGCTGTCCCCCCAAAATGCCTGTGCTTCTTGGCTTGTCTGCAAAATCTGTTTGCAGCCGTTTACAAAATGTACCAGTGAGTGCATTTAGTATTTTATTTGTTTCTTTCCAACACTCAACAGGGGCTGTGTACACACTATACATTTAAAGGGTGCTAGGAATTTTCACTTTGTGAGAGGCAAAATACAATTCCCAGGATTCTTGGGAGTGGGGTGCTTTATCATCTACTATTAGTATTATTAGTATTTATTATTATTATTCATTGCATTTATATCCCACCTTTTCCTCCATGGAGCTCAAGGTGGTATAACCAGTTCTCTGCCTCCTAATTTAATCTCACAAGAAATTTGTGAGGTAGGTTAGGTTGAGAGAAGTGACTTGCCCAGGGTCACTCAGTGAACTGATAGGGAATTTGAACCCTGGTCTCCTAAGTCCTAGTCTGGCACTCTTAACCATTATTCCACACAGGTTCTCTTTAAATGTATGGTAAGTACATAGCCAGAGTAAGCAACTGAAAGAAACAGGTGCAACTGAAAAAGATAGCTGCTGGGTCCTTGTGGAAGTGACGACTCAGTACTATGTACTTATTTACTTTGGGGAAAACCTTCTTGCCCAGTGCTCGGAAGTGGCACCTGCCCTGTAGAACGCCCTCCCACCAAATGTCAAAGAGAACAACAACTAGCAGACTTTTAGAAGACATTCTGAAGGCAGCCCTGTTTAGGGAAGCTTTTCATGTTTGATGCATTACTGTATTTTAATATTTTGTTGGAAGCTGCCCAGAGTAGCTGGGGAAGCCCAGCCAGATGGGCCGGGGAATAATTTTTTTTTTTTTTTATTATTATTATTATTATTATTATTATCCCACTTCCACAAGGACCCCAGCAGCAATCTTTCTCAATTTTAGACTCAGAAGCAGTTGGGCATATGTATGGGGTTCTTTGAATGTCAGCCCTAGGAACACGAATCTTTCTTTTTTCTTTCTCCTCCTGTGATGAGGCTGCATTTTAATATTTTAATGTTTCAATATTTTAATTGTTGTAATTTAATCTTGTTTTTAAGTTGTATTCATTCAACTTGTTTTTATTATTGCTTGTTAGCTGCCCTGAGCCTGGCCTTGGCTGGGGAGGGCGGGGTATAAATAAAAATTATTATTATTATTATTATTATTATTATTATTATTACAGTGTAGAATAGCATGAAGCCATTCTTTATAGAGAAATGGGGGTCTGTATCTAAACTTCTGGTCATAGTATGAACTGGAGGGCTGTATTAAGAAGATAAATCTGCCTGTTTTATAGAGAGTTTTACAGAAATAAATGTAATGTTTCATAACACTTTTGTTCTCCATCCCTGATCTGCCTTTCTTTCTGTGAAACTCTCTATAAAACAGGCAGAATTATCTTCTTAATACAACTCTTCAGTTCTCTATAAAGAATGGCATCATGTTATGCATACAGTTGGACATACATATGCCCAACTACTTCTGAGTATGCATTAGAGTCTCCAGATTTATCTGATACAGCAGCTGTTCAAACTGCATCTGAGGCCATTCCTGAAAATGCGTCAACTTTTTACAGCAGCTTGGGAGGGGGGGGGGGCGGGATGCAATAAGAAGCAGGAACTTGGAAACTACTTCCAGTTCTTTGGATCCTATATCCAAGTTATTTTTTCCCCTTACTTGGAAGGTTGGGTAGAGACAGGAATGTTGAGTGTGAAGCATGTGTGGTGGGTCTGTTAATGAATCCTAATGGCACTGACAGTTCTTCGGACCATGGGCCAAATGATCTTTAGAGCTCTTACTCCCACAGCCAGTGTGGTGTAGTGGTTAAGAGCGGTGGACTCGTAATCTGGGGAACCGGGTTCGCATCTCCGCTCCTCCACATGCAGCTGCTGGGTGACCTTGGGCTAGTCACACTTCTCTGAAGTCTCTCAGCCCCACTCACCTCACAGAGTGTTTGTTGTGGGGGAGGAAGGGAAAGGAGAATGGTAGCCGCTTTGAGACTCCTTTGGGTAGTGATAAAGCGGGATATCAAATCCAAACTCCTCCTCTTCTACTACTACTACCATTCTCACAGATGGTGTGTACTGTAACAGTATTAAAAACATATTTATACATCTCCCCAAATACTTCATTTACTACGTTGCAATTAAGATTGGTGTTATTTATAAGGGGAAGACCACATTGTTAACCTCTTTTGCTAAACGTATCACCACATATGGTTTAAAATGAAGCGAGGTTGTTTCCCCTTCTGCATTTCAAGTTACATTGACATGTTGCTGTACACACTAGTGAGGAGGCACCCTCTCATGTGCATTATCTGTCTTACCCAGGCATGCACACACACACCCCACATACATGTACCAGCAGTGGGAGTGCACGAGAGCCAGAGCAAACCGTATCGTGTACACAGCTCCTGTCAGGTTTGCAGGTTAAACCATTGAATATACATAACCTGAATTATCCTGATTAAAGTTGAAAGCATTAGAAATGCCCTCTTATATATATATATATATATATATATATATATATATATATAAAGTGCTGTGTACCGCAGGTAGCTTTAATATTCTGAGTGTCCTACCTCTCCTGTTTTACTAATTTATGTTACTCTCCTGTAGGGCACATGTTCCCGTCTGGAGACTATCAGGAAGTGGAAATCCGAGGTTGCTCTATTTGGTGTTGTGATCTCATTTGCAATCACTTGCTGGAGCTTTACAAAAAGAAAGGCCAGAACATGGATGAGAAGATCAATGCAGTTCTCCTCGATTATTATCTATGGGACTATGCACGGGACCATCGGGAAGATATGAAGGGAGTTCCTTTCCATCGTACACGTTGCATATACTACTGAATACTATTTTAATGATTGAGGATAAAGTATCGTATCAAAAATCTAGAGGCGGAGTTCTGCCAAGTAGTGGTGCCATTGAAATCAGTAAGACTTAAGTTAGTCATGACTCATTTAATTCCTATTTGTTACCCAATAACGGTTTTGTATAAAAACTTGCAAAGAGTAAATTGAGAGCACTTACCATGTATTTTTCAGAATCTACTCTTTTAAAAGCTATTATGCACACTGTCTGTATCACAGGAAAGGTGTTTTCTCGTAATGTTTACACCATTCCCTTGCTGCTTTGATTGCTTTGTTTCAAGCGCGCCTGAGTCTGTAATTGATAAAGTTTCTATTTCTGTTTCAGCAATATTTTTGTATTCAGTTCAATGAAGAAAATGGTGTGACATAATATAAAACATAATTCTGGATTATATCTCATAATGTACCAGTAAGCTGAATACGGCAGCGTAGTAAATGCTTCTTCAAATTAATCACCTGTGTGCTTGTGCATATATGCATATATACATATGCCTCATATACCTTTTTGTACTGCATATCTGCCGAACTAAAACCAAGTTTTATTTTTATGTAAAGCATTTTTGTTTTTGCCCATTATCCCAGTGGATTCCAGGATGCTTTATAATTTTTTTAATTAAAAAAATACAAATATACATAATAAAACTGCATAAAGGATGAGACCAACAACCAAAAGGAGCAGTCAACAGCACTTTTGACTTTTAAAGACAAAGCTAATGAAAAGGTTTTGGCATGATACCTGAAGATATAGGGGTTGGTACCTTCTGCATGCAAAGCATGTGTTCTACCCCGATTTATAGCCCCTTACAAGGATGCAAATCTAGGCACACAAAATGAAGACAATTGCACGTTGCTGTATGTAAGGGGCTTCGGATGGATACCTTCTGAGACCTGAAGAAATCCCTGCTGTCAGGAGCTCGTCTTACACTCGAGTAGGACCCTGGTAGAGACACGTGCCCGACTGGCATGTTCTCTCCCTCCTGGTCGATCATTCGAGAGCTTCAAAAGCTTTCTTCAGCCCAAACGTCACAGCGACTGATGCCAACAGACGTCGACACACTTAGGGATCTGCAGAGTCTTTGCAGCTTGCATAACAGACCTCAATAGCTCAGCATTTTGGCTAATCTACTTTATATGTAAATAAACACACACGGAGCACTGCAACATGGCTCCCTCTAGCATCAGACAGCAAAGAGAGAAAGCAAAGGACAATAGTCCCACTTCACAGAACACAGTAACACAAACATCCTGTCTCCGTCACTTCTCACACTCTGGAGTCAAAACATACACCGTCATGTGATAGACAAAAACCCCATGACTGCAATCACGGTGCAGGAATTCTAACACCTGCTGCCGTGGCACATGTGAGTCAGAGCAGCCATATGCCTACGTGGAGCATCTGTGGTCTAAACCACTGAGCCTCTTGGGCTTGCTGATCAGAAGGTTGGCAGTTTGAATCCCCGCAACGGAGTGAGCTCCTGTTCCTCTGTCCCAGCTTCTGCCAACCTAGCAGTTTGAAAGCATGCCAATGCAAGTAGATAAATAGGTACAGCTGCAGCGGGAAGGTAAATGGCGTTTCCGTGCGCTCTTGTTTCCCTTACGGTGTCCCGTTGTACCAGAAGCGGTTTAGCCCTGCTGGCCCCATGACCCGGAAAGTTGTCTGTGGACAAACAGTGGCTTCCTCAGCCTGAAAGCAAGATGAACGCTGCAACTCCGTAGTCGCCTTTGACTGGACTTAACCGTCCAAGGTTCCTTTACCTTTACGTGGAGGATCTCCACATAAAGCGGGGGGAGCCCAGGAAAGCCCCCCGCCCCTGGAACCAGTAGACCCATAGCCTGGTTGTACAGGAGTGTGGCTACTTCACACACTGGCAGAGACATGAGCTGGCAGAGTTGTGAGAGTCGTGGCAGCTTCACACAACACCGCTTCCTCTTTTGGTGGGTGAGGAAGGCAGCCTGCCAAAGCTGGAATGGGGGCGATTGAGGCCTAGTAGTCCATAAACATCCAGCAATGGCTCCAGTTAAGTCCTGCCAGGGCCGGCCCACCCCTGAGGCAAGGAGGTCAGGACTCAGGTGGCAAGATCCACAGGGGCAGCAGCAGCAGATCCCACTGTCAATCTTCCACCCTTGTTCCTGATATGTGGGTCGTCCCTCACGCCTTCTCCCCTGCTGGGCAACCCACTTTGGGGTCCGCCTTGGGTGCCAAAGCCTCTTAGCCCAGACTTGAGCTCTTCACATGTGAATGGCCACCCGTGGATACCACAAAACGTTCCTGTTGCCTCAGAGATGGCCAGGATCAAGTGCTTGGGCCAGTTCCATGGGCGAATCCAGTGTTTTTATTCGGGGGCGGCAAAAATTGTTGAGCTTTTTTTGGTGAGATTGGGGGGGCAGAGAACCTCAGTTAATGGAGTATTTTTCATGCTTTTTGATACTTTTTGACAGCCCGCCGCCTTGAACATTGTTTTAACTATGGAAAGGCGGCATACAAATAAAACGATGATGATGATGAAGAAGAAAGGAGAATCTGAGCGGTAAGGGCAGTGGTCAGCAAACTTTCAGCAGGGGGCCAGTCCACTGTCCCTCAGACCTTGTGGGGGGCCGGACTATATTGGGTGGGTGAACGAATTCCTATGCCCCACTGATGATGATAATAATAATAATAACAATTATTATTTATTATTTATACCCCTCCCATCTGGCTGCGTTTCCCCAGCCACTCTGGGGAAATAACCCAGAGATGCATTTTAAATAAATGTACACATTCTACTCATTTAATAACATGCTGAAGGTGAAAGACTTCTGGGAAAAGATATATAACGAATTGGAAAAAAAATGTTGAAATATACATTTATAAAGAAACCAGAGGCCTTTCTTCTTGGAATAACAGTTTGGAATTGCCCAAGAAAGATGTTAAATTATTTTTGTATGCCACAACTGCAGCTCGTATTTTGTTAGCTAAAAAGTGGAAAACCCAAGAATTACCAACGATAGAAGAATGGCAGATGAAGATGATGGATTTTTTGGAGCTAGCCGACCTAACCGGAAGAGTCCGCGACCAGAAGGAGGAGGAGTATCAGGAAGATTGGATCAAATTTAATGGTTACTTAGTTAAATATGTTAAGTTAAATTAACTGAAAACAGCTTGCAGGTACTTAATTGGCTTAGGGTTTTATTTAAGTGATGAATTAATATGTTCAATTTCATAATGTGAAGATCTAAGGATGTTAATGTTTAAGTTAATTTTTTTTAAGAATGTGATTTGGAAAACCGTTAAAAGGACATGCAATGAAATTCAACCAAGAGGAAGCGAGGAAGGCACTTAACAATGGTAATAAGTGTAATTTTTAATAAGGCTGTGATTTATGTTTGTTTGTTTTATGTGTTTGTTTGTTTATAATGTTGTGAAAAAGCAATAATTTTTTTTGAAAGAAAATAAAGAATAAAAACACGTTGAAATTTAAAGACTATTTACAGAAATATTGCAAAATTAATGAATGTTAGAATGATGTTGGATTGAAGTTAAGTGGTTTCTAGCTGTACAGGTACAAAAGAATATGAAAAATTGGTTTTTAATATGTAAAAATTTAAAGTTATAATATATCAAGATTAAAGATTAGGATTAAAAAGGAGGGAAAGGAATTGTTGGATTAACAAATTTAATTGGAATACAAAAGAGGGAGGTATGAGGAGGTCCGGGAAACAAGTAAACGTAAAAGAAGTGAGGAAAAGATGGAATTGTTTTTAACTGTTTTTTCTTTTTTTCTACTTTGTATTTTTCCTTTTCATTGTTAATTTTTTTTTTTACTAATGTGATTTTTTTCCCCCTTTGAAACTTTAATAAATATTATTTTTTTAAAAAAATAAAATAAAAACACGTTGATTCCTGGACCGCCCGCAGGCCGGATTGAGAAGGCGATTGGGCCGCATCCGGCCCTTAGTTTGGCTACCCGTGGTCAAGGCAAACCGCGCGGCCTCGGCGGGAAGCGCGGCTTGCGCCTGCAGGGGGCGCTGCGCCCCGAGGGCCGCGGCGAGAACGCGGAGGCGGCGCCGCTCTTGAGGGAGCCGCCGGCCGCCCGTCGCCAGCGCGAGAGGCCCGCTCGGTTGCCTAGCGACCGGTGTAAACAAACGTGGGCGCGGGGCGGGCGCGAGGAAGCCGCGGATCTTTGCGGCGGGAGGGAAGGAGGGCGGTTTCGCCTCGGGTGCGGCGGGACGCGGCGCCCCGCTCCTCCTCGTCCCGCCAGCAGCGCAGGCTCCGTGGCGGGCGGCGAGGGGTGGCTCCCCCCGGGGCGGGCGAGGAGAAGCGCGCCTCGCCGGACGGAGAGTTTCCGAGTTCCTCCTTCCCTGCGCGCAAATCTCCTTTTCTCGGAGGGGCGGCGCGGGGATTGCAGCCCGACGGCGAGAGGCAACTATCCCGACTTTTGTTTTGGGTCATTTAGCAACATCTGAAGCGCTTGCTTGGGAGGGAGCCCTCTTGGCCGCTTTGAGGAGGGGGGGGGTCTTACTTCTGAGTAAACAGGCCTAGATAGGTTCGGGCTGTAAAGGATCTTTAGGCTGTGGAAGACTCTTGTGACTTGTGAAAGGAAGTATTTTGCAAACTGTGTGTTATTCTTTGCGTGGTTCTGTTGCATCCCTTTTCCCATTACAGTGGTACCTCAGGTTAAGTACTTAATTCGTTCCGGAGGTCTGTTCTTAACCTGAAACTGTTCTTAGCCTGAAGCACCACTTTAGCTAATGGGGCCTCCTGCTGCTGCCGCGCCGCCAGAGCACGATTTCTGTTCTCATCCTGAAGCAAAGTTCTTAACCTGAAGCACTATTTCTGGGTTAGCAGAGTGTGTAACCTGAAGCGTATGTAACCCGAGGTACCACTGTACTTGTTATGAGGAGAGTCATACTGTAATATTATGCTTTTTATTGGTTCCAGACAATGTTTCTTACACGAACTTGGGGGGGCCCCGCATGCTCCCAACTCCACCCCCACCACCCCACAAAAGAGGTAGGTTAGGCGAGAGATAGTGACCTTGTGTGATTCTGGGTCTCCCCAGTCCTGTTTGTATGGTATCCAGTCTAGCATGGTCACACACACACACACACACACACACACACACACCTTTGATTTCTGTGGCTATTATACAGTCCTACCTCGGGTTACAGATGCTTCAGGTTGTGTTTTTTCGGGTTACAGACCACCCAAATCCGGAAGTACCGGGTTACTTATGGGTTTCGGTGGTCGCACATGCACAGAAGCGCAAAATCACACTTTGCACATGCGCAGAAGCGCTGAATCACAGCCCGCATGTGCGCAGACGTGCAGTTGCGGGTTGCGAACACTGCGGGTTGTGAATGTGCATCCCACATAGATCACGTTCACAGCCCGAGCGTCCACTATATATGCATAACACATGGGAGTTCAACAGGTTGTGGCTCTTGACAGCATTTAGAAAAATGTTCCCCTGTCAAAGTTCTGTTTGTTGGTTTTATTGATCTTGAAGAGCCTCAAGCAGTTCTGGGATATAAAATGAGAGAAGATAACTTTTCAGAGCAGTTCTTCATTATAGGTAAGAGTAGTTCTTTTGTAGGCAAGAGAAAAGTAATCTCTAATATGTTGCTCTTTGTTCCCCGTTAAGTGCTGAAGACTGAGAATATAATGAAGACAGAAATAAAGAGAAACTCTCTCAAAGTGAAGTTTGCAAAGTAAGCGGGAATTGTTTCACACACAAGCTGCAATGGAAGAGATTCCAGTTAAAGTAGCAGTAAGAATAAGACCTCTACTTTCAAAAGAAGTGCTTCACAACCATCAAGTATGTGTGAGGTTAATCCCAAATACTCAACAGATTATTATCGGAAAGGACCGTGTTTTCACGTTTGATTTTGTTTTTGGAAAACATTCAACCCAAGATGAAGTGTACACAACATGTATTAAGCCATTGGTGGCATCTTTGATAGAAGGGTATAATGCTACCGTTTTTGCCTATGGACAGACAGGCTCTGGAAAGACTTACACTATTGGAGGAGGTCATGTTGGTATGTGTTTGAAACCTTATATTTTATGATGATTTAATCATAGTTTTCTTTCAACGTTCTTTTATGTCTCACCATTGGTAAAGCGACAATAAGGAAACTTCTGCATAAACTGCATAATCTGTTGATATCTGTTGTGTGTGGTTTTTTTTTACTTCTCTTCCTCTTAAAAAAAGACGTAGCCAAAATTCTTCACTAAAATGTGCTTTTTCTGTTATGCAGTGCAAAGAGTACAACTGTCTGCCTAACAGCACTTTTATGTTAATTGCTGCCATATTGAAGTATTCTTAATTAGCCAAAGTATTTAAAATGTACCAAACTATTCTAATCTTAGTTTTCTGCTGAAACATGGAATACAGAAGCTATCCAGAACAGAGAGTTAATCTAGATTACTCTCATAGTAGTTAAAAATAGAATTTATGAAACACCACTTTCTTAGTAAGGGATTCACTTTGGTACAGTACTTCCCAATAAAATAAAATAAATCTATTAGCCACTCATTATCAGTTAGATTTTAGGGAACATAATGTGTTTGTGATAGGTGGTCCATCTCCTGGCTTTCCATAGTAAGATTTCAAGTTGTACTGATGTGAAGCTGTGCCATAGGTAACGACCACAAAGTAATATGGTGTTTGTGCCAGTCATTGTCCATAAGGATGCAGAAGGAAGTATCATTGTCAGGTCATTCTGCGCTATGGTGTCATGTGACATTTTAAAAAATGCATTGGCAGTACCACAATTTATTTATCTATTAAATTTATATATCTATTTATCTATTAAATTTATATCTCTCCCTTCCTCCCTTCCAAAGTGAGCACTACCCACTTTGTACATTAAAGCAATTTATTCGTTTGCTGAAGAAATTGGGAAAAATCATATTGTGTCATATTAAATTCTGTTAAACTAAGCCATAAATTTTGCACTCACTTTTTAACTACACATCTGCAGGCGATTTGGATAGTACCAATTTGATCTTGAATGCAGACTTAGGAATATAGAAAGCTGCCTTATACAGAGTGAGACAATTGGTTTATCTTGTTCAGTATTGTCTATGCTGACTGGTAGCAACTCTCCTGGGTTTCAGACAGGATTCTTTACCAGCCCTGTCTGGAGATGCCAAGGATTGAGCTGTCTGCATGCAAAACACGTGTTCTACCATTGCTCTAAGCTAAGGGTCTTGGTTGTTTTTGTATCATGACTCAAAGTCAGAAATGCTGGCCTTTTAAAAAACAAAACATTGTGTTTTTTCTCTTCTTTCTTTTTTACTTCCTGCTAAAGTTCAGAGCATGGCTTGACTCCACAATTCTAATAGCAGGATACTGTATCGCTTTCAATATGTTTGCAGAATTCTGAAATCAGACTCCTGCTGTTCAAATATTGATGATGTCAATAGATAGGCTGTTCCATTGTATAGGAAAGGAGCTGTTTTGTGTTTCCAGTGACCTGGGCTTAGGTTGATTATAATATCAAAACTAAGTATTATAATGAAATAATTGAAGACAGCATTTACTCTCTTGAATCATGTTTACTGGCTATACGTAGCCATCAGTACTGGACTTCATATTTGGTTCAGGCCATTCTCTGAGGGTGTTGAGGGCTCTTTTTGGTCTTGTACATTGTTGGATATTTTCAGTTGGCATAAGGTGTGCACAATGTGCTCTGTAGGCTTTGACCAATTCTTTCCCCTCTTGGATGAGTATATTTGGCAAATACTTTTTTTAATTTGTAACCAATTATTTGTTATCTCTGAGAGGAAATATTTATTTGTGTGACCTTGACAGGATTAAATGACTCATATTCATAAAGCTAAGAAGCCGTCAGAACCTTTGTGGAATTTCCATGTGTACATCTTTAGCATTTGAATGTACAAATTTTAGCTGGGTGCTTAGGCTGTTTTCTTGTTTCATTTTAGCATCAGTTGCAGAAGAAGAGAGAGGTATCATTCCACGTGCAATTGAGGAAATATTTCAGATTATTTCAGAAAACCATAATATTGATTTCACTGTGAAAGTTTCTTACATCGAGGTCTACAAAGAGGAACTCAGAGATCTTTTGGAACTAGAAACCTCTATGAAATATCTACAAATTAGAGAAGACGAAAAGGGCAATACAGGTAATTATTTAAACTTAATTTGTCTGTTTGCTCTTGCTTGCTTGGCAGTAAGTAATGTTATAAATTAATTTTTAAAACAGACAAGTATTGATGTCAAAAATCTACTGCTAACAAGAAAATTCTAATAGTATATCATTACATCCAAAATATTGCATGAAAACAGTTGCCTCTGCTTTGGTATGAATGTAATTTAAAGTCTTTACAGAGATGAAAATATATATTGGGTTGGAGCAAGACTGCCCATGGGTAGAACTCTGCTACGAGAATTCTCCTGCTGGAGGAAGTGAGGAAGGCAATATACTCTGATTTCCCTTTTCTCCTGCAACCCAATGTGTCCCCTGTAAAGCTGGTCCCGAGAAGCAACTTCTTTATGCTGTGCATCATTGTTGATGATAATGTCACTTGTGGTTTAAGTAGATGCTTGAAATTAGGCAAGTCTTTAAAACGGGTGTGATAACTTGCTGTTTAATACCTAATAACATTCTGTTTATAGCTAAACATGTCCACTGTTGCCCTATATTTTTTAGTTAGAGTAATTTTTCTCCACCCAAACTGTCTTCCAGTTGTAATATTTCATGAAATTTTCATATAACACATTTGGCCCTCCAGGCCCCTCTATCCCTACATCCCTGGTGTACTGGTTTTACGGATGCCGATGCTTGTTCCGAAATGAACAGGGACGAGAGAGTGACACAGAGTTTTTTAAAGGTCACCAAAACATACAGCTATGAACTTGGGAAGCAAATTACGTGTGCTTGAGTTTGCTTTTCCCTTCTCCCTCCTATTCTTTTTTTCTTGTGCGTTGTGTCTTTTTAGAATGTGAGCCTGAGTGCAGGGCCAGTCTTAGTACTGATTTTTGTGAGCTGCTCTGAAAGCCCTTTTTATTGACTAAAGGACAGGGTATAAATGCTGTAAATAAATAAATAAAATTTAACTATAGAGCAGCATTGTCAGCCTTTTGTCTCCCATTAATTCCAATCCCAATTTTTATGCCATTTTATTTTTTAATATTATTTTTATTACATTGATCAGTCACTATATACAGAAGAAGAAAAATATAGTATGAAACTTAGTGTGTTTTTACCAAGTCTGACTCTTGCTCCATCTAGCTCAGTATTGTCAACACTGTCTTGTCAGCAGCTCACCAGTTTTAGACAGGATTTGTTCCCAGCTGTCCCTGAGATGCCTGAGATTAAATACACTTTGTGTGATCAGCCATGGTGTGTGTGTGTGCACACTCACTGTTAAGTTGTGGGTGAACATATCAGACGACACAGCGATTCTTCAAACAGCTATTGTTTATTCAGAGGCCAGAACAGAACTGAACTGAAGGGTTCAGCCAGTCTGCTTATATAGAGCTCCACTAGAAAGTAACTGTAACAACTTTCTGTAACTATCCAATCACTGAACGTCACTTTCGATCCCTTATTTGCATATGTGGACCTGAACTATCTACAGTATCCCCCTGCTGGCCCAGGGTGAGAACTTCAGTACATAACACTCACAGCACTCTTCCAGATGCTCCTAGTGATTCCGAATTATTGCTTTTCCATTGTAAGCTACAAGTGGAATTGCAACTGATTTTCCCTGCTGTTAGGAGCATTGTGCTTTCTGTCTACGCCAGTGAGTGTGACAGAGTTGCTGTAGATAGGATCAATTGCAGCTCAGCACACATTCCCTTGTGGAGAGTGTCATTTAATAACCACACTGTTATTTTTTCAAATTAAAGAGGTATAGTGCTATAAGAATACTGTTGTAGTGCTGTAACACTGTACTACATTTTAAAATGTAGGCAGAGAAGCATTGGCAATAGGTAGATTAAACAAACAGATCAGGGTCATAAAATGCTGCCCACAACCAATGTTGCAATGTGTGTTGTGTGGTGATAGGTTCACTTTCCCAATACATCACTGCCACTGTCAAAACTTTGTCCTTTTTAAAAACCTGGAAGAGTAGTATAAAAAGTGACTGAATGTGGAGATTGTGCTTCTGAAAAGAGGTGGACTTTCTGAGGTTAGATAATAGGGAAATCTAGTATGACAGTGACTGGATGATGGTGATGTGTGAGGGCCCCATAAAAGGTAAATGAACAAAGTGGGGCAATTCACCCTAAATACCTAATGTGGAAACACATAGAACACACCCCATTCAAATATCCACTCTTCAAACGCTTGCAGTTATTTATAATTAACAGCTGCATACTTCCTAATGCCATAATTAATTTGTCAAATGTCTTCTTGAATGAGGCATATGAGTTTTAATAGTCTATATTTTGCGGTTAGCTTTGTTTACTATTCTTTATGGTTTGCTCTTTAAAAATGTGTTTTTAAATTTATTTTTAAAGTAATTGTTGGTGCCAAAGACTGCCAGGTTGAAAACGTGGATGAAGTAATGAGCTTGTTAGAAACCGGAAATGCCGCTCGACATACAGGCACAACCCAAATGAATGAGCATTCTAGCCGATCTCATGCGGTTTTTACAATCAGTATTTGTCAACAACAGCAACCTGGTCAGACTCAGAAGGACACAGATTCTGCGCAAGATTCACCTCAAAGTTCAAGCCAGCTGATTGCTTCCAAGTTCCACTTTGTTGATCTCGCCGGCTCTGAAAGAGTAACAAAAACTGGGAACACTGGTGAAAGGTTCAAAGAATCAGTTCAGATCAACAGTGGCTTATTGGCTCTGGGAAATGTGATAAGTGCGCTTGGGGACCCAAAGAGAAAAAGTGCACATATTCCATACAGGGATGCAAAAATTACACGTATTCTTAAGGACTCCTTAGGAGGCAATGCCAAGACTGTCATGATAACTTGTATTAGCCCATCATCATCGGATTTTGATGAATCACTAAATTCCATCAAATATGCCAACAGAGCCAAAAATATTAGAAACAAACCTATTGTCAACTACAACCCAGACTGGGACCTTATTGACGAAATGGAGTTTGCCATCAAGATACTCCGTGAAACTGTGCAAAACCAGCAGATTAGTGGACAGGTCCCTGGCAGTCAAGGGTCACAGGATTCATTTCGGGACAGAAACAAAATCCGCTCTCTTGAGGAGCAGCTTGCCCAGCTTCAGGTGGAAAGTTTTAACTACCGAAATTGCATGGAAGAAGCCTATGTGTTCTTTGCTGAATTAAAAAATCTTGCCACCCTGTCAAAAAGTCAACAGGAAAGATTGCAAGATTGGATATGTGTGGCTCAGGAACTCAGGAGAGAGGCTTCTTCAGTCATTCCCCAGGTAAACTGTGGAAGTGGAGGTAACCAAGAAGGACCACATCACATCACAATTCTTCAGCTGAAGAGAGAGCTGAAGAAGTATCAGGTATTTTACTGTAAATTTAATGCAAGTGGTGAGAATACATAAAAAGGAAATCTACGCTGTAACTGGAAAGTTTATCCATTCTTAATCAAGGTTCTTTGTAAATTGCACATACATTGTTTGCTCATCTGGAGGGCAAATCAAATTTGCTAGATGTCCAAAAAATAGATTTTATTCATTAGGATAATATTTTAAGCAGAATTGTAAGGTTTGGAGGAATAAAAATCTGCATCAGCTTTACATGGCTGAATTACATATTAGTTCCTTATTTTTTATATTCTTCTGCAGCTTGAATACAGATAATACTATACCACAGCAAAACTGAAGTATTGGGAGAGTCTGACATAAGGGTGAAATAATTATCTCATACAAAATGATGTCTTATATATGGATTGATGTGGTGATACCTGTTTGTAAGGGAGGAAATTTGCCTTTACCTTATTCAGAATTTGCTTTAGAACACTGATAAAACACAATGTGCTAAATTTATTTTCTACTTTTATTAATAATAACAAATTGGCTCCTAATTCATTGATAAAATTGCAGAATCTCATTGAAAATAACTAAAATATTAATAGTTGTTTAGTTCTGTGGGGCATCTTTGTTTGTGTGTTGCCAATTTGCCTTATATTTACAGTCTTATCGCTTCTTGGCTAGTGCATGATTCCTTGTTATGTATTGTGGTGACTGAAGGAATCAGACTACTGTATATCTCTCTGCATCCTGCCACTGAGTGAAAAACTAAAAATTCTCAGCAGGGGTGTTATACAAGGGAAGGTGAAAGTGCAACTCCCATGCTGGTAGTTTTGAACAGCTGTTTCTGCTAGGTCACACATACCTTGTTGGTCTACACTTCATAATAGTGCTAGACACAAAACCTGTAAAGAGAAACTCATTTCCCCATTTCAGCCAAGGTTTACTGTTCTCATTCTAGTCCCTACAGCCAAAAAAAAAAATCCCACATGAAACACAGATATATATAGTTGTTGTTTGTGCCAGTTTTGATTACTTCATAGAAAAAAATCCCTTGTTTTTGCTTCCTGTGATTTAAAGTCATATACTGTAATCAAAGGCAAAGCATTAATAACCAATAACATCCCTCTTTTAACTTGCTGTTGTCCTAGATTGTAACAAATACTAAGGGCTGTATTTAAATTATATATATAGTAGCTTTGCTTTCTAACAGTTTCTGTTCAGGTGGTAGAATAAAATATATCTAACTAATGGAGGAGAAAATACATTCAAGTTCCAATGTGCACTTTGTGCAAGACCCTCCATTTCATATATTTGGTATTCTTTTTAACCCCTTATTACCTAGCAGGCTCTTGCTACCGATGCAGAAGTGTTTAGTGAGAGAGAGCTTGAGATAAAAGTATTGCAAGATCAAATACAGAAACTGATAAAGGAGAATCAAGAATATATGGAATTGCTGAAGGAGGCCCAAGAGACAAATAGGCTACAGGTAACTTTCCGTTGTGCTGGTTATTGGTGAAGGCTGTATGAAGTAATATTAAAGCTGTCAATCTTATATAAATGATTAAACCAACATAGTGGAAATAATCTTAACCCAAGGGAAGTAATCTGCAACGGACATTATCTGAAAGTCTTAATAGTGATATTCATGTTCATTTTAGAGCAATCAGAACTTCTATTTATTATACTAACTCCCAAGATGTATCGATTCACTAGAAAGGAATACAAGAGAAATTCAGTATCTCAGCCTAATCTACCTCACAGTGTTGTTGTAGGAAGGAAGGAAGGAAGAAAAAATTCAGTAGCAAGAACTGTTCAGGCTCATGTATTGGTCAGCGAGGGCAGAAATTACTTAGTTTTGCAATTTTGTCAGATTTTTGATAAATACATATTTTGTTTTGTTTGAAGAATGATAAAATGGTGGAGCAGCAGCTTATAATTGACCGGCTAAATGACAAGTTAGAGAAAATTACAAAAGCCTCTGCCTCCAGTGGTGGTTGTGGAGATGGACCAGCTGGTGTGATATCTTCAAAAAGACCATACAGTGTTCCTCTAACTAAACGTTTGGTTCAATCCTTTAATGCTACCGTGGGGCTGGATTCTCGAAAGGTATTTTTTATTTAACAAGTTTTATATAGTGCTTGATTGTAAGGAAGCCTCTAAGCAGTTTAGAAAAATATAAAATACAACATTAAATTGCCGAATAGACTGTTAAAAACTGGTATTAAAAACATTCAAAAGATGATTTAAAATGTATGTATGAATATTACCATCTTTTTTCTGATATATAAGTACGGTACAAAAGTGACCATTCTCCACCACAGTAAATGGTATATCTGACTTTTTGAATGCCACTTCTCCAACCATATTGAGAAAGTTTCTGGTAGCTTGCAGGTTTGCAGCTTCATCTTTAGTTGAAGAAAACCATCTTAGAACAGAATTCCTCCCACTGGATTCAAGAGGCAGGGCAAAGACGGCAGATCTCCTGATTCACCTGGAAGGTTTTTAAGAACATTAGAAGATCCCATCTAGTCCACAATAATGTTCTTGCAGCAGCCAGCCAGATGCCTATAGGAAGCCTTCCAGCAGGACCCGAGTGCCATGCCGCTCTCCCCACCTGCAATTCCCAACAGAATTCAGAGTATTCTAGTATTTGGAGGCATACAGCCTCCAACAGTAGAGGCTGAACAAAGCCATCGTGGCTAGAAGCTATCTATAGCCTTATTCTCCATGGATATCCGGTCCTTTTTTAAAGCAATTGAAGTTGGTGGCCATCACTATGTTATGTTTTATGTTACATTATGTTACTGTTTATCGGCTGCCTTTTGGCCAAAAAAGCCCTCCAAGACAGCTCATAAAGAGTAACAAACAAATACAGGGTGGAATTCAGTATTGCGCTATGGTGAACATATTGCAGCGCAAGCATTACAGCTTGCCAGATGGAACAACGCCCCACTTCCCCATCCTCACTGCTCTGGAGGCTCTGCTAATACCATCGCCACCACTGCTCAAGCCAATATCTGGTTAGTATGTATGATTAGGACTGTGGAGACCTAGGCTCAGATCCCCATTCATCCATGAAGCTTACAGGGTACGTGCGCCAGTCACATCCACTTAGGCAAGCCTATCTCACAGGTTTGTTGAGAGTAAGATGGGCAAGTGAAGAGAACTCTATACCTCACTTTTTATTTTGTTCTGTGTATATCACAATGTTCTTTTGTTGCTGTGGCCGATGGCTGACACAAATAAAGTTTCATTCATTCATTCTATATCCCACTTTGAGTTCTTTTGGCAACCGTTTTTTTACATCTCTAAAGGTACACACAAGCCCTCCAAAATATTCGCTCAACAGAGTAATGGCTGGATTTCGAACCCGTAGCCAAATAGTGTTGGATCATGTAGAAGAACAAGATGAAGTTCTTCATTGCTGCTTTTCTGATCACAGTGATGAAGATGAAAGAAATGCCAAGAACAGAAAGAGAACCCTATTTAGGTACATATTTTGTCCTGTTTTATGGCTGTGTATTTAGGAGGAAATACTGGCCTACTACAGACCTGGGTCAAAATGTAAATGCATATCAGGGTTATGCTAGGCATTCATACAAAGTTGAATGTACAGGTGATTAGCACTGGAGTAGCTCGAGGTTGTAACAGAGATGTACTTGAATAAATAGGGCTGGACTGTTAAATATGTGTCTTTTAGCACAGGGCATTAAGTTGAGGTGGGTATAAGGCAGGAACAGTGGAATTCTAGCTCTGCACCAGTAGAACAAACCAGAAGGCAACTTGGCTACAAAGGAACGTCAGAGCATTCAGTGTAAGTATTTTTAGTAGTACCCCACCCATCTGACTGGGTTGCCCCAGCCACTCTGGGCAGCTTCCAGCATGTATAAATATATAAATATATAAATATATAAATATAGTAAAACATTAAACCATAAAACACTTCCTTTAAAGGGCTATCTTTAGATGTTTGCTAAATGTTATATAATTACTCATCTCCTTCACATCTGATGGGAAGGCACTCCACAGGGTGGGCACCACTACCAAGAAGGCCCTCTGCCTGGTTCCCTGCTTATGGATTTGGCAGTCATGTGAAGCATTGCCAGAGAAAAACACCTCAAACATGTGGTCTCAAAACTGTATTTGTAGGGTTTAATCAATTAAAATGCGTGGTTTAATTTTACTCTTTGTTGTTTAGTCGTTTAGTTGTGTCCGACTCTTCGTGACCCCCCGGACCAGAGCACGCCAGGCACTCCTGTCTTCCACTGCCTCCCGCAGTTTGGTCAGACTCATGTTTGTGGCTTTGAGAACACTGTCCAAGCAATTTTTTAATATATTTTTTTTACTCTAGACGCTCCTTAAATCGTACATGGACACGAAAACAAGCTCCTCCCAGCTCTACACATGAACCAAAAGAGATGCAGCACAATTCCATTTCACAAAATGAAAACATTTTACAGATGGAAACTGATACAGGTAAGGAAAGGAAATGGATGCTACGGTGCAAAAAACATTTTCATGTATCATGCGTTCTGCTAATAATTATTAGGGACATTAGGGTCCAACGAGTAGTATTGGTCTTGTAGTGTGGAAACATTGATCAGGATCTGTAAGATTAATTTGGGAGTGTGACATTTGCCATAGGGTGCTAACCATTGTAATCTTTACAAAACTCAGCAAAAAATGCATAAAAAGGAATAGAAGTTGCCATCATATTATTATTTATTAACTTTCTGTTGTTGTTTAGTCGTCTTAGTCGTGTTCGACTCTCTGTGACCCCACGAACCAGAGCATGCCTTGGAAACTCTCACTTTCTTCTCAAAGTTCCTTTTTTATGTATGTCCATGGAGTTTTCTTGGCAAAATACTGGAGTGGTTTGCCAGTTCCTTCTCCAGGTGGATCACATTTAGTCTAAACTCTCAGCTATGACCTGTCTGTCTTGGGTTGCCCTGCACGGCACAGCTCATAGCTTCTCTGAGTTATTCAAGCCCCTTCGCCACGGCAAGGCAGTGATCCATGAAGGGGTAAATTTCTATACCACCCTTCATTTAAGGATTGCAGTATCTACTTCACAACATTGATTGCTCATGTTCAAATGCAAGTGGCATTGGACATGCCTTTTACCATGTTCTAGCACAACATACTACCACAAACATATTAACCAATGTGGCACAAATTGTTAACCAAGGTCTGTACCAGGTGTGGGGACGTGGATGTGGCTGGAGGACTAGATTCTGAGTTGGTTCACCCTCTGTAGACGACTTTGACAAGTGGGTGGTGTCTGAGTCTCCTCTCTTGTTCAAAAATATAAATAAATTTTACTTCCTAAATGTGTAATCTACTTTTGCTCCATGGGTGCTAAAGCAGATTTATAGCTAAAAATCTCTTTAAGCTCTGAAATGAGCTGTACATTCTTTAAAAGATGATTCTTTCTTTCCGAGGTGCTGATATTGAATGTATTCAGAAAAGTCAAATACTGAATAGGCAGAAATTGAAGAACTCAGAACTAAAGCTTATTGCTGCTAAGCAAAAAATGAGTGAACTGGCCCTTAATATAAGAATGAAGGAAGAACTTATTAAAGAGCTGGTGAAAACAGGTAACTGGCTTTTGCAAGTTGAATTTTATAAAAATGGAAACATGTCAAAAATGATACCTTAATTACTGTTACAGTCAAACCTTGGTTGTCGAATGTAATCCGTTCCGGAAGCCCGTTCAGCTTTTGAAATGTTTGACAACCAAGATTTCTGATTGGTTGCAGGAGCTTCTTGCACTCAAGCAGAAGCCACATTGGATGTTTGGCTTCCAAAAAAAGTTCAAAAACCAGAACACTTACTTCCACATTTTTGTTATTTGGGAGCCAAAACGTCCCAAAACACAGAATTGGTAACTTGGCACTCTATTCAAGGAAATCATCCATATGCACAAGGAGTTCCACTTATGCAACAAAACTTCCTCTCCTCGCCCCATGTCCGTGGGTTAGTAAGTCCATTTCAGTCTAATAAAGTGGTAGGTGGGGAGGACACAACCACAACTTGGAGGAAAGGGTGGTGATATATATGTGTATACAGAGAGAGAGAGATAAAGATTAATAGGTTTGTGGGTTTTTTTAAAAAAAGGGAAGAAGTTCCTTTTGAGCAGTGAACTGCTATGTTGTCAAAAGTTACAAATGATGCCTTTGCTTTTAATTTGTGGATGTTTAAGGTAATGATGCCCAATCTGTAAGTAAGCAGTATTCACTGAAAGTAACACAACTTGAGCACGAAGCAGAGCAGGCCAAAATGGATTTAGCTGAAACACAAAAGCAACTGCAGGAGCTAGAGAACAAGGAACTACGAGACATTGCTGAAAAAGCCAGGTTACAAAAAGAATTCAGAAAGAAGATGGATACAGCAAAGCTAAAAGTACAGGTATGTGTAGTTGGGAAACTAATTTCCCAATTTCCTTACATGGCAAGTTGACGTAGGATCTTATGTACTCCATTGTATCAACTTAATGATAGTATTCTCTCAAACAAATAAATAGTTTAGGGATGGTAGAGCATGGTGGCTTAGAAACAGAGCCATTGACCAGGAAGTCATTGGTTTGGAATTACTAGGTAGCATCTATTTATACCACTTCCTATATTGGTACTACCCACAATTCTCTTTCAGACTTGCAGCACATTCCCATCTATTGTGCATTTTGTTTTATTAGCCAGGTAATTTCTTGTATAGCCCAGGTGTATGTGCCATATAAAACCAGCAATGCAAATTTAACTAGTCACAAGTGATTTCCCAGGCAATGGACTACTTTTGGGAATATGCAGTGTTAATAAATTCTGCTTCTAGGCAAATACCCATGGCCATGGTTGATGATGTTTATACATCATAGTACCCATTGCTCCCCACCCCATGCAAGACTTGGTTTATGTTCTGCCTACCCGTTTTTCTTTAAAGTAAAATATATTTTGTACAGCTTGCCTCTCTACTTAAAAAACAACTCTGCAAGGAGGCTTAACAAAAGCCACATAGCTAAACATATTAAAGTGGTCAACTTTACAATTATAAACAACACAATAATAGTACAATACAGTATAGCAAGATGGACTAAACTGGCTATGTTGCATTAGGACTTGCAAAGAAAACAGCAGGACACTAAGAAACTGGCATCGCTGTCCACCCAGAATGAGAAACGTGTAACTGAACTGGAGCAGAATGTCAGTCACATGAAAAATCAGCAAGCCCAGCTTCAGAAAAGATTGCAAGAGGAGAGTGAAAAAAAGAAAAGCTTGGAGGCAGAAATTCAGCAGGGCCAGCTGCAGATAAAGGCAAGAGATTTCATTTCTGTATGTCCTAATAAAACTGTAATACCATTTTCATAGCCTTCTGTGAGACATATCATTGGCACTTTTCCTGTAGAACATCATGCAGTACTAAGATGATTTTTGTGTCATTTGTAAACCAGGTAAATCCCTGGTTCAAATTTCACATCAGCTCCGAATGCACTAGGTAACCTAGGCAAATTGCTGTCTCTGAGTATGAAGTAATAAAAACCTGCCTTACAGAGTTCCTTGTAAAGATTACTGCATCCAAAGAACTCTGAAGATTCTGAAGTGATACATACACATCTTTTCCTGATATTTGTATTTTGAAATACTTGTAACCCATCAGTTTGTTTTAAGGCTCATATGTTAGAACTTCCAGTGCTGTCACGACTACTTTCTGTTACTAAAATAACAGACCTTAACTACCAGGCTAGGTTCAAGGGGCTGGTTCTGGTGTGGAAGGTCCTGTACAGCTTGGGACCAGGATGCCTAAAGAATAGTTCCATCCTTTATACGCCCAGTCAACCACAGCACTCTGCAGGAGAGGGTTTCCTGCAAATACAATCTTATTAGGAGGTCCGTTCCACACAATATTGGATTTTGACCTTTAGTGTTCTGTTGAATATTAAACAGGTACCATCTCTGTTATCTTTTCGGCACCCACTAAAGACCGTCCTCTTTAAAGCAGCCTTTTTCTTTCCCAAGCTGCATCTGTACTGGAATTGTTTTTGGATATTTTAATTGTTTTATTGCTTGTCTGATTTCCGCCCTAGGCTCCTTTGAGAGGAAAAGCAGGATATAAATTTAATAAAGATATGTAGAATAACAACTAAACTTTAGTTTTCCTTTCAAAAACTGATCTAATGTGTAAAAAGGATTCTTCCTTTACTTACAGGAGCTCCAACAAAAGACAGAGCAGCAGGAAAAGATTCTAAAACTAAAAGATGAAGAAATTGCTGCATTTAAGAGAAAAAACTCATCTGAAACCACTCAGCAACTGCAGGTATGCAATATTTTGTAAAGTTGGCAAGTTGAAATGCTACTGACTAATTTTTGTGGCAGAAGCATCTTCCTTTACTAGGATCTACTGTAAAGCTCAAGGAATGCAACTTGTTAACTTAATTTTTTAAAATAGAAATTCACAAGGAAAAAATGCTTCTCTAATTGAAAACAACAGCAACAAGATATTACAGTGTTTCAGTTATTTGGTGTGCTTAATCAACCATTTTTTAACTGTACCATTAAAAACCCTCTGGTTGATTAAGCAATTACTAAAAAGCTTGAGATGCAATTCTTAACATGTACACTACCCTGCAAGCCACACAGATGGAGACAATGTTGACATGTAGGGCTTGAAATACGCAGGGTTCTTTTTTTGCAGAGCGCTTTTATATATAACACTTTGCAAAGCATTCCTTTGCATTCCTTCTGACAATATTGTTGCTTAACACAGAAGTTGCTGTTTGTGCTGTGTGGATGTACAGGTGGGCATGTTTACAAAGTAATCTGCATCAATGTTCTGTGCTCCCCTCCTCTGTTAACACAGAGTCATCCATATATACCTTTTCAACAGAAAAGGGTGGGGATATAGTACAGGGTGCCTTTTACAGTTGCCACTCCTGCTGCTCTAGGGTCATTCCACACCAAATCACCTGGCATCTTGAGTCTGACACTTATTGCCCAAATCCTTTGGTTTCATTCACAAGAAACTTGTTAGACATTCTTAAAGTACAAAAATAAATGAATACATTTTTTCTTGCTGATTCAGAAAGGTCATATTGCATACAGTGATCAAAACAGCATCGTTGACCATATTTCATGTACAGTGGTACCTCGGGTTACATACACTTCAGGTTACATGCGCTTCAGATTACAGACTCCGCTAACCCAGAAATAGTACATCGGGTTAAGAACTTTGCTTCAGGATGAGAACAGAAATCGTGTTCCAGTGGCGTGGCAGCAGTGGGAGGCCCCATTAGCTAAAGTGGGACCTCAGGTTAAGAACAGTTTCAGGTTAAGAACAGACCTCCAGAACAAATTAAGTTCTTAACCCGAGGTACCACTGTATGGGAAACAAAATAGCTTTGACCATATCATTGCAGAAGTGTTTTACACACAAAAATGAACAAGGGCTCTGAGAGGTATTTTGTTTTTATTAAATAATCAATAAAACCTAATTTTTAAAATAACTTCAGATGACATTGTAACATCAGAGGGTACAATTTTAACTATTCTCACAAATGTGTGAGTTATTTCAGGCTCAAAGAGCCCTTAAACCTGTCCAAAAGAAGTATTAAAAAATTGGGGGGGGGGGAGAATACCTCAAAATCTATTTATTTTATAACCACAAAAACACCCTCCTTATTTTTAAAACATAACAAGTACATGGTTAGCCCATTCTACAACAAAAATATGATAGGCGTGTTAGTTGTAGTTTGCGCACTATGGCTTGTGGTTCGAGGACCCGATCCCCGCTTAGTGAAATGAAGACACACGGACACGTAATATAAGGTTAATGGGCAAGAAAAGGCCACAACTTTATTGATTACAGCAAGTGAAAAAGTATTGGCTTAGGCATTGGATCACGACAATTGACTCCACCCACTCGAAGAGGGTTGAGCCTAAAAGGGGGTTTATTCACCAGTAGGTGGAGCCTGTTGATGCTAATCCAACTATAAGCTCTCCCCTGATGTCACCGAGGGTCGTGCCATGGCCCCCCACCACACAGGCATCGGACAGGATCCACGACCGCCGGATTCCTTTAACGGAATACCCAAAATTGAAGGCGTAGGCGATGGCCACACCTAGCCCTTCCACACACCACAAACACATTCCAGTGCCTAACCTACCCACCAATACCACGAAAGTTGTGACGATTGCTATGAGGTAGGCGAAAAAACCACAAGGCCTAATGCCAAATGGAAAAAATTCCTACCAAGCCCCCTGGACAACCTGGGCGACCGACCTAAGGTCTATAGCAAGGCCAAGAGAAAAAACCAAAACCCTGAGCTCTAAGGGAGTGGAGGGTGGGTGACTCACGACGGGAAGGCGGAAAATGAGGCCGCATGGCTGGCGCAGCAGCAGGTAGAGCTGCAAACCCCGCCCCCTCCAAGCCACCCGATTGGGGGCTTACCTGTGGGTGTGGTGCGCCAGCCAGGTGAGTGGGGGGAGCAGGGAGCAACGCTCCCTGCATGAGGCAGACATCGGGCCCCGCCCACAACCCCTCCCCTTTGCAAGAGGAGAGGCTTTATCGAACCTACCGGGAATAAAATGACAAAAATTCACTTTGAATGGTCAGTGACCCTTTTCTGTGGCACTTAATTCCATTTTTATACCTTATTTTGAAAGAGACCACAATTAGCTTTATTTTGATACCAAAATAAGCCCAATCGGTTGAAAAATAAGTGAAACAGGAAGTTTTTTTTCTAAACTGATGCAGAAATTGCATTAGCCTAAATCATGCAAAAACCGAAATTTTCAAAAAATTCTCCTGTGCCCAATTTTGGACCAAAAAATCTTAAAAAATTAATTTGAGGTTATCTGATAGGTATCTACACATACACACACACACAAAATGAAGAAAATCTGAGTCGTGAGAGCATGGTCAAGTATTAAAATCAGGTGATTTGGCATGGAATGACCCTCTAGAAAGAGACTCCATAAGGTCATAATGTCCCTACTGTAAGTCTGGATCCAACTGAGTGTTTTGGGTTTTTTTGTAATTTGATCTATATACAAAGGTTTCATATGAAACTGTCCTTTTACTGAGGTTTTCCAATGTGTAGAGTTGATTGATTATCAGTTTATTTCATTGAATTAAATATCTAGATGGCAGTTCAGTACTTAGTCAACTGAAACCAAACAACTGTCTGGTCTTAGTTCCTCCCCTTTTAGACATGTCAATATTAGGTCTTGTCCAAGAAATCTGAGATTGTGCTTTTTTTTTTTTAATGTGGGGAAAGTGACTTTGTTGAAGACCATGTATCTGAGAATATATTTATGAACATATACAAGATTCCTCTGTTTTCTTCCTTGCCTTGATAAAGAAATTAGAAGAGAAGAAGAAATGGCTGGATGAAGAGCTAGAGAAAGTTTTGCATCAGCGGCAAGAGTTAAAAAATTTGGAGGAAGATTTAAAGAGAAGAGAAGCTATCATTTCCAAGAAAGAAGTGCTGACACAAGAGAAGAGCCATTTGGAAATTAAAAAACTGAGATCCAGCCAGGTGCCTTATTTTTGTAATAATACTTGCTGCTGTCTAATTGAAGAGGTGTCATGGATGCTCCCCAGCAAAACGAATGCACCTGGCAGATAGTTAACTCTTTATTGTCAAAGCTGACCACTTACAGTCATTTCTATGGCTCACGCGCACCAGTCTTGCATGTAGGCAGCTATTCCCAGGTCTGCACTCTATGGAGCAGTTGCAGCAACAAGAGGCCACTTCCCCCTCCATCAGTTTATGCATCTTTCCCCAAAAGGCGCCATGCATGCAGCCTAAGACTGCGTGGAAGTTGCTTCTGCTCTTCCCACTTCAATTATCTCCTGGTTCTGGGAGACAGTAGTGCAGGAGACAATGGTGAAGCACCCACTTCACTTGCCTGGCCAGGCTTTGGGCTCCTCTTCTTCTAACCTATTCTGTGCTCCACCCTACTGCTCTGAAGCTTCCCCTGCCTCCAGCTCTTGTCTCCTGGCTGGTACAGTTCCCCACAGATCACTGGCCCAGACTGCCATTCCCCTACATCAGGCATCCCCAACCTCGGCCCTCCAGATGTTTTGGGACTACAACTCCCATCATCCCTAGCTAACAGGACCCAGTGGTCAGGGTTGATGGGAACTGTAGTCCCAAATCATCTGGAAGGCCGAGTTTGGGGTTGCCTGCCCTACATGGTGTTAGTGAAAGCAGTTAGCACTCTGCTGCTATGGTCAAGAGGTTGAGGTTCAAGCAAAATAGACATAACTCTCCCCTCCCCTTTTTTTGTAAATTTGGGCTACGCCCATACGGGGTGAGATCTCACATTATGGCTAGCTCAGATCCAGTTTTCAACGTGTGCATTTTACATTTTCTGCCTAATTCCTAAACCACACATCCACACTAGTGAGCACTCTTTGATGGGGATGAATGTGCTTAGTACATACACACCCTCCATTACCATTTTTTTTCCAAACTGGGCAAGTGTGCAGGTATTTCTTTACCAATGCACACACATCTCTCTCTATATATGGACACCTCTTTTTATTTGCAATGAAAAGAGAGTCTTGAAGATTTCCTCCTAGATCTGTCACCAGACAGCCAGCTGAGGAAGTCTGCCTGCCTGCTTCCCTGGTGTGCTCTCCTTTCAGTAGATGATGGCTTTCTAAGAAATCCTTAATGTAACTCAAATGTATTGCAAAGATGCTCCACCTCAGGACCTTTCTGCATAGCTGTCAACTTTCAGATTTGAAAATAAGGGATCAGCAGCCTCACCTGTCCCGGGGACAGTCTGCGGGATATCTAACAATCCGGGATAGCAGCGGGAAGCAGCAGGAAACGGCACTGGAATAAGGGGATTTCCCGCAAAAAAAGGGAAGGTTGACAGCTATGCCCTTCTGATTAGGGAGAGCTGCAACACAAGTTGAAGGGAAGGAAGATCTCTGAAAATGGAGCAGAGGCAGCTTTCACAAGCAGGAGCTCAGCTCGCTGGGATCGCTCCCTCAGCCCCATCCAGCACAGTCCCCTGACCTTGAGAAGCCATGGGAATCCAGCCCTGTTACATTCAGTTAGCTCTGGATCCAACCCTATACTGTCAGTGAACTTTGGAAGGATTTGTGTGTCAGTTGCTAAAACTTCTGCAAGTGCAGAGTTTCCATAGGCATGATATAGACCATATTCATTGTATTGTTTTGTAATCAAGCACTCTCTAATAAAGTGGCTATTATGTTCTATTTCGGGGAGGGGTTATCCTAAAATAGATTTTGTTTTCAATTGCGGCTTTATAGGCCCTCAATAAAGACAGCTTAAGATTATCGACTCGTCTGAATATGCTCAATCAGGAGTTGTGTGACAAAAATATGCAGCTGCAGAGCAGCAGCACTGATGAGCAAGAAAAGATTATGGGAGAGATCCAGGCTCTACAAAAGGAAAGGGATCAGCTGTTGAACAGAAGGAATAGTGTGGATGAGAAACTGAAGAATGGCCGAGTGTTGTCACCAGAAGTAAGTAAACTTTTCCATTCAGTTAAGCACAATTATCAACCAATCGGAATGACTCTTTTATATTAATGGTAGCTAAAGAGCTAGTGTTTGGAAATGCTAAAATAGAAATGAACCCCAGAGTTTTTCAAAACACAGTTTAAAAAATAATTGTGAGGATACGTATCTAAATAACACTGAATTCAGCGCATATATACATTGTAGTAAGTTCATTTAACTCAACGAGACTTAATTCTCGGGAAGCATTCAGAGCACCAGGATGTACTTTAATAGCACAATTTTAGAAGTCTGACACTGAAGTGAACTACATGAGGAATGGATACTATTACCACTTGTATCTCTGGGCTGATTTTCCTAGTGCTGCAAACATGTAAATAATTTGGGGGCTTTTGACCACAGGTTGGGAGTATGAGAAATCTTACTTCCTGCTGACAATCATATGAAGGATTTTTCACTATATTGCAAAATATCCCAGGGGAAAGCAACCCTATCCAATAGTATTGCCACCACCTCTAAAGCCCCCAAATGTAGAGGCAGGGGAAGCCCAAGTTGTTTCTGGGATCTTTTGGCTCTTGTCTTTGTGAATCCCAACAGTCTGGCCACTGTCTTTTGAGCCCCAAGTCCAGTAGCATATGACCAAGCAGCCATATACCAGATTCAGAGCCAGGCTTACCTCAAGAAGCCACACGAAGAGTAAATGAAATATTTTATTGAGGTTACAAACAACAGAATAAGAACACTTTACAAATAAAAGGCACTTAAGGAAGGCTCACCATGTAAATACACTTTTGGGAATTAAAGTACAGAACAAAATAACAAAGCTACCGGTAGCTTGCCTCACCCTAATCACAGCCATTAAAGCAAGCTGCATCAGGCACATGTGGCTTTTGCAATACATGATCCTTCATCTGATTGAAGGCCACTAGATCCAGGTCAAAAAGATCTGGATATAGAAGGGTATATTTTCCTTTAGCCAATCGGGGCGCAGGGGCATATTTCCCTAGCATTAGAGGGTGTGTATGCTGGAAGACAATGCAGCTACTCTCTGGTTTTCAGCGCAATCATTGTGACCTGGACACAATCTTGCATGGGGCACTCACACATGTGGCAAAATGGACTAATTAATAGAACTTTCCTTCCCCAACAGCCTGCACCGAAATCCTAAGTAAAAACTTTAAACTGAGCCAAAGAACTGGAGATTCCTTTACACAGCTTAATTTAAACTATATACTGTATTTTTCCATGTAAAAGACGATGTTTTTTGCTTAAAAAAATTAGCAAAATCTTCTATACGCCATTTAGAAAACATGGTCATATGCATGTAGTTTGCAATGTATTTTGAACGTTGACAAATTTTAATAATATTTCAAAACTTTTCCAATAGCCTTCTGCTGTGAGCCGTAATGATTTGATAATCACTGCTCTCTTGCCAGGAGGAACATGTTTTATTTCAACTTGAAGAAGGGATTGAAACCTTAGAAGCTGCCATCGCTTACAAGAATGAAAGTATCCAGAATCATCAGGACTCCATCAGAGCTTCCTCTCAAATCCTCACACAGAGTGAGGCCAATGTGATGGGAAAGTTGGTTTCCTTGTCTGCTACAGAGCTGAGAGCAATTCTTTTAAAGTATTTTAATAAGGTTTGTTGTTTGAACAATTTATAACACAGCAAATTCTGAACATTTTTTCTGTTGGCATAAAATGGCTTCATGGAGAACTTTCTTTTGCTAATTAGTGATCGTTGTGAAGATATTTAATTCTGAATAGGGTGTATTTCATACACACTGTATATTCTGAAGCATGGGTAGAATCATAGAATCATAGAATCATAGAGTTGGAAGAGACCACAAGGGCCATCGAGTCCAACCCCCTGCCAAGCAGGAAACACCATCAGAGCACTCCTGACATATGGTTGTCAAGCCTCTGCTTAAAGACCTCCAAAGAAGGAGACTCCACCACACTCCTTGGCAGCAAATTCCACTGTCGAACAGCTCTTACTGTCAGGAAGTTCTTCCTAATGTTTAGGGTAGGGACGTGAAGCCCTTGTTCTCTTTTCATGGGCTGGTTGGTAGGAACCCAGAAGAAGAAAAGTGTGGTAGTGAGAAAGCAATTGAGGGTGGAAGGGGGAAAAGGGAAAGACCTCTGCAAGCGATCAGGTAAAAGCTCAGGCAAGAGTGATGTTGCCCTGTCCTGGCAGTCCAGTGTGAGCGAGGGTGAGAAATAGGGATGTCAGAAAAAAGAAATGCTACCGTGAACTCTGGCCCTACCCACCACCAGCTGTGGCCCATAACAGATTATCTCTGAGGCAATGTGGCCTTGGAGAGAAAAAAAAGGTTCCCCACGCCATCGTAAAAGATTACCTTGCAAACTGTGAGTGATATCCATTGTGTCATACTCAGAGTACACACATTTAAATCTATTAACTTAAGCAGGTCCACTCTGAGAATCACTAACTGTATACTGTCCTCTTGATAAATACATGTAGCGTAGCCATAGATAAAGCCCAGTATGTTTTGTTTCTGTTTGTTTTTCTTTTTGGAAGTTTGACAGTTGTGGAATCTATGATAGTTAATAAATTATATATGTTTCCTGGGACATTTGGATTGGATGATTAAATTGACTTTCAACTCAAGTATAGGACTCAGAATATCTTATTAGTGAGACTATATAAATGGTGAAAGATGTAATGTATTGGCTTACCATCGTATTTTTTCATACTTGGACTCATTGCAAATATGACCTCCATATTTCATTATTATTTTGAAGTGTGGTTGCCTGATTTCCATGGCCAGGCATGCTTTGATTTGTAAAAAGGAATGGCTGTTTCTTTTTTAGGTTGTGGGTCTCCGTGAGACTGAACGCAAATTGCAACTGCAGGCAGAAGAAATGGGAATGAGGGTAACGGAAAAAGAGAACATAGTAAGAGAACTTGAATCGGCACTTGAGCATCTCATGCTTCAATGTGACAGGCGTCTGACCCTCCAACAGAAAGAACATGAGCAAAAGATGCAGTTAATATTGCTTCATTGCAAAGGTATTTTGGCTTTGAGAACTTTTAAGTAACATCTGGTTAATAATGATCGCGGGAAGCAGGATGTCAGTCTGATCCAACAGGATTCTTCTACTGTTCCTAATTTTGAAATTATATCTAGCCACTACTAAAAGTGTAATTCCATCAGAAATGTTCATATGACATGGAATATTTGTATATTTTACAGTCGTATGAAATTACAAATTTCATTTCACTCTCTTGCAGTCCAAGGATATAATGTCCAAGAAGCTTATCCTCATCCCCACAAATTCCTACCCAGATATAGGCAGCCAGATAATGCCTAGCCCACCAGGCGTTGGATTTTATTTTAAGATACAAAACATAATTGTAACAAGCAGAAGTATTGAAAGTAAAATTATCTGGGCTCCCTACCCTATTCTATAGGAATGCAAATGTTCAGATTTGCTGAATATTTCCTCCCACTACTCAAATAAGTCACATCTTAAACTTGTTAATGATTATCTTCCTTTGAGCTGAAGTATTATGATTATGATTATCATTTTTTCCCTCTCGCATCCTTACAGCTTCAATTCCCCCATCTCTCTCCTTCCCTTTCCCCGCTACTAATCTGTTTTCATTTGTAAAAACAATACCTTCCTTTCTGCTGCACTTTTACTAGAGCATGATTCCTAGATTTATACATTTGTTTTTTTTTTTTTAAATCATATTTATTAAAGTTTCCAAAAATATAAAAATACAAAGAAAAAAAGAAAAAGAAAAAGAGATATTTAAAAACCTTACTTTCATTGCCTACTTTCTGGGACTCCCCCCTCCCCCCCCCAACTGTATTCCCCTTTCCTTAATTTAGTTCTACAAACTCTCACTCCCAATTTGAAGCTTAATTTGTTTAACCCACTATCCAAATTGAATTGTACAAATCTTACCACCGTCCCACATCATTAACAAGAAAAGAAAAAAGATTTTCCCCAAGATCCACCCCAGTTCCTTCCACGAATTCCCTTTTTTTTAAACACGTCCAATCAAAATAAAATGACATGCGTAAGTTATGTAAAAAATAAAAAATAAAAGATATAGAAAAATTCAAAAGATAGTTACACAGCCTTTGGATTTCAAATCTCCCCCTTCCCGGTTTGAATTCCCCATATCCATCAGTCTATGCATTATCGGCTTGGAAGTCTCAATTCATGACCAAATTTCTCCCCAATTCCATCTTGCCGGTTTTCTTTTAATTTATTAGTAATATGTAACTTCAAGTGTCCAATCTAACAAAGGCCTTTAATTTCCTTGATCTTTACCACTCCTCCCGTTGTTCTTTCCGTGTCGTAATCAGTCCTTTGTTCTTCTTTTCCTCACTTTCTCAGGTTTCTTGTCCTGTTCAGCTGCTAAAACTTTCTAATTCAGAAATCTGGTATCTCTGCAGAGGTTTGTTATTCAGGAACAAAACTTACGTCCAGTCCCTTCCTTTCTTCAATAGAAAATTCTATTGTCTCCTTTAATGTAAATACCTCTGTAGACAAAATACTATTTCAGTTTTGCAGCTTTCCCAGAAGATAACAAGTCCTGTGCGAATCCCAGAGTATTTTTCCACTTACGACCGTTCTTGTAATATCCCGAAACCCCTCTAGGGGGATTGTAATAACTTTGTATCCTCTAATCCAACAGTCAAATTGTTGCTTATTTTCCAACAGTTTATATCCATATTGTAGCAAATTGTAGCAAAATTAACCGGCAAAGTCCTCATAACAAAGTCCTCTTTATATTCTCCAACTTTGACAGCCACTTTGACAGCTGTCAAAGTCTCCGTCTCTCTTCACCAGGCTCCACGAATCGCCCCGGTTCCCAGGGGGGGGGTTGCATTTTCTTCTCACCCTCCACTCTTCTCCTCCAGCACAGTTCTTATAATTTCCCATCGTGAAATTAATGATTTTTATCAAGAATATACTTCCCTTTGGACCTTGGTTGCCCAGTCCTTGTTTTGAAATGCTTACAGTAGGGGGGGGGATTGACTTCCTTTTTAAATCACCCCCGCTCGTGCCAAATCCGAAATTTTGTACCCGGTTTCCCAATTACTCACGGGTTGTTGTTAATAGTCCAAATTTTCAATGGAAGAAGTCAGCGCTCTCCGTCGAATGGCATGCGGCTGCGCTCGGCAGGGAAAGCAGAGGACTCAAAGCACCACGCCGCTCCCCGGCACCCGATCCGAAGCCTTTAAAAAGGCTCCTTCACGAGTCGGGAGGGCGCTAATGGTGCAAGCCGAGTCACCCATGTCCACGGACTCCGTGCCCGTGGTTTTTAAGGGTCCCCGCGTCGCCGGCGCGGTAGGACCCAGCCCCTGCCGAGCAGACTCCCTCCGGAGCTCGGAGGGAGTCCGCCATTCGGCGATGGCGCCAACCCGGAAGTCTCCCTAGATTTATACATTTGAACATACTGTAGCACGTAACATTTACACTTTGAGACAAATTACAAATGAGATGCAGTATACACTATCTGCAACTCTGTTTGTGCTATAATGAAGTTTGAATCTAAACTTAGTTCTGTCTTTCTAGAAGAAGATGGGGAGAGTATTGCAGAAACTTTTAAGACGTATGAAACTAAAGTCCAACAACTGGAAAGAGACTTGTTCTTCTATAAGAAAACTAGCCGTGAATTAAAGAAGAAATTAAAGGAACTGGTTGCAGAATCAATACACCATCCTCTGACACAAAGTAAATATTAGAAGTATTGTAATTCTGAAACATACATAGCTGCAATGTAACTCTTACTCAGCTTGGGAGCAAAACTCCTATTAATCACAATGAAGTTGGATTTATTTTAACATTATCAGTATAGAGGATATTTTAGATTTCAGGTCTCTTTAATTTTCTTAATAGCTTTCAGATGCATTAAAAAACATTTTACCCCTTTAGCTTTTGCTGACTTGGATCATTAAGTTCGTACTCAGAAATGGAGATGAGGGAAGACAATTTTCAATGATTTTCCCCATGCTCCCTGTTTTTCCCACTATTGGGCGGGGGCCTTCTGCAACAGCTTGAGAGGTGGTGTTGGGGGCTGCAGGGGAAATGGGCAAAAATAATTTCCCAGCCGTTTCCTCCAGCAGGAGCCCCTGCTAAACTACACTTCCCTCCAGGAATGCAGCGAGCCCTTCTGTTTTCCAGCAAGGTAACTAGGGATCTCAGTATATTTTACTCTTTTTATTTTTTTAGCTAGCAGTGTTTTTCATTTATTAATTAACACCCTCGGGGGATACTGTAATAACAGCAAACAGCTGAACCAAGTTAGATTCATAACATTACAAAACAGAACAAACCATAATAGTTCCCCCAAAGCATCCAAGCCAACTGCATTTTAAACAATATTTCTTTTTAGGTAATTGTTCCAGTGATGGGATACTGAATCGAGAAGAAGTAATTACCTTGTCAGAAGAATTCAAACGGACATCCACACCAACAGGGAAATTAAAAGAAATAAACTCCCCAAAGGGTGATTTAGGAGCACAACAGAATTCATACAGATTTGAAGAGGAAGTTGCAGAACTGGGACCCAACACATCCAACAGTCACGAAGAGCAAGCAGGAAAAGTACACCAGCCTGCAAAATCTCACCCACAAGTGTGTTGTCCTTCTCAGGCGAGAGAGACTATGACACAGCTTCAAGGAGTAACCCCAGTAAAACTTCCTCGCAAAGAATTGCGCTATATCCCTGCTTCTGAGCTTTCATCAAGGCGTTCTGGCCTTGCAGTTGGTATAAATTCTGTTCCTGCTGATTCTATTGAAATGCCTAGAAAATCTGACTATAATATATAATTATCCTTGTAATATTTTGAAAGCAATTACACAGTTCCCTTTATTTCCAGTTTATTTCAGGCAGCTACGATATTTGAGTTATTTCACATTGCGTGTCTCACACTGATCATTTATTGTGTCCCATAGAAATCTGAGGCCTTAATAGCAGAGTGATTATATCAGGGGTTGAAACCAAAGGACTTTTTGTCCTTAAAGAATAAATTTTATTTGTACTGATTTTTCCTTCAGAGTAACTGATGGATTTTTATTCCACGTCTTCATAAATGCATTCTTCTATACCGCAAAGAATCTTAGGGCTGGTTCACAAAATACATTTTTAGTTGCATGAGTTATCATGATCATTCTTGAGTGCATATTTATGAAGACAAACAATGTATAAAAGCAACCACAGTTACAGTCTTATTGTATAGCTGTGGGGGGCAGAAATCACATTAGGTTAAATGCTGCTGACTGTATGATTGGTTATTTTTACACATTATTTGTCCATATGAACATGGTGGTGGTGACAGCCTGGAGCACTCACATGGAAAAAAGAAATCTGGTGTGAACCAGCCCATTGTAATAAAGGTCTTCATAGATACAGCAGCAATACTTGGTTTCCAGTCCAGGCATACTTATGCTGAAGTTTGACAAAGCACTTGTGACTGACCAAAGCCTTGGGTTGTGAATGTCCTTTAAAAACAAAACACGAGTACAGTGTTTCTAAGAAATTAATGTTTTTGCAAGGAAATTAATTTTGCCCAACTCATATTTTAATTGAATATGCTCTCAAGCCCCAATTTCTCTTTCTTATAACTAACTCTGTTGTTATGTGACTTTGAAACTTTCTGTGGGGAGAAAGTTTTTTTCCATAATAGAAAAGAAACATTTTTATTGGCTCCAGGGAAATTACTCTCTGCTGCTAGAGCTATGCCACGTATCACTGAGATAGATGTAGATGTGCTGTCAGTGAACTAGGGCAATAAAGTTACCCTGCTTGGAAGGCACAGCTGTGTATCTCTTAGCGTGAAGTACATGATAAGTTAGAAAACTGCTTTGTCTACTCGACTTGGTGTAGACATAACACTTACTGTGGATAAAGGGACCAGGAGCAGACTTGCATCATATATACTCACTCTTCCTATGATAATTCCCTTGACCCCCGTTTCTCAGTACAGAAGGTCATTGTTAGTTCTAGATAAAATTACTCCAGGGGCACTTCTAAATTTTTGTTTTTCTCATTGGTTCCCAAGTTGTTTATTATCTGTGCACAGGACGTGTTTTGTGCACGGAAGGTATTCCAATCCAGCAGAGTCTCCAGCTAGCCAAAGATGGGTGACTTCTCCCATATTGTTCCCCGGCCTCCTGCAGTAAATTTGAAAGACACAGAACGGTCAACTAGCAAAAACTGCCTCCACCCCCCTTTCCATTGGCTGGAGCATCCCAAGTGGTAGTCCTTTCATGGGGCCTCTAAAATCTAAGCCAATGTGTGCCTAGTTTCTTAAAAAATTAAAAAAAAAATACAGGATTGTATCAAACTCTGTCCCTCTGCCAACAAATGATACTTTTGATCCAGTAGATGCTTGCATGAGTGGGAGGTCAAAGGTGATTTGGGCAAATTCCCTTATTCCCACTGCTCTCTCATTCTTCCCATGTTGTTCCAGAGGATCCTCTAGCCTTCTGGAGCAGGGTTGGGAGACATAAAAAGGGAGGAAATGTTACGGGGGTGAGCAGCTCTCTGGACTCTCTCAGCACCTGGATGAAACCTTTACTACTGATCTTTGGGGTAGACTATTGTGCATTAAATATTTGTCATGAGTGTGAGTGTTCAGATGTACTTTACAGATACTTAATAGCCATTTTTGCAAATTTGGGCACATCAATCTTTGCACTTAAAAATATTGAGTACACGGCACTTTGCTGGAAGAAGAGTTGTCAGTTCTGGCCTTTTCTCCCTCCCCTACTCTGCCTGCCAGAGTGGCAGGGAACTCTGTTCAAGAGTGTAGGAGATTAATTAATGAAACCCACCTCTATCCTCCTTACTCCAATGGGAGCCTCCTCAGGATATTGTTCCTTTTTCCTTTCCACAGGAGTCTGGATCCAGCCCATTGCTTTGAATTATTTTTTGCTTAGGTTGCATTTTTTTAAAAAAACTGGATAATATCTTACACAGTTGCTATCCGCTTGTAGGCATCATTAACTTCCAGTAGTGATTCTTAAGAAGAAACCTTTCTGGTCAGGATATCAGGATATCATGTTTTAAGATAGACTGTGAACATGCTAAAAACCATAGTTCATCCTACTCTGTGTCAGTGTGTCCAACTGCTTTATTTGTAAACTAAAATATTTTACAATTTCTCAAGACTGAAATAATTGTTTTAATTGCATTTGTTATTTGTTGCTTTGTTGAATCGTGATTTGAGAGTTTTGCAAAGGGGTATGGTCTTAAGTTCAAATATTTCACTCTTTTAACATGTACTTATACAACCCAAATACAAACATTCTAAAACACAAAATGAAGTACAGTAAATGTTTCCTACAGTATCCAACTTCTTTAAAAAGGTGCAGCAAAGGGGGCTGTGTGGGTTGGTCAGTTCACAACATCACAAAGCTAATCAGCACAGTGAACAGCTGCTGTAAATGTATGGAGCTTTCTTTTTCCTTTAACGCTTAGCTTGATGCTGGAGAGGAAATGTTGCAGAGAACCTTTCAGCATGGTTCCACTGTTGAAACAGTATTATCAACTAATTGCTATAAATTACAAATGTCTTAGCTTTCATAACACGTACCCATATACTAAATTAATAATCATCTTTTAAAGCATGGGTTTCCAACATGGACACTATGGCTTGCTTGAGGTCTTCCATGGGTGTCCATTCCTTAAAGCCTCTTATGTGCTTTTCAAGGTTCATTATTAATTTTCTTGGCTGACTTTTACACAGCAAGGTGTGTCCGTGGGTGGGTGTTCTCCGTCTCAGGAGAAGGGATAGTAACTTTAAAGGTGTTTTAATCTTCTCACTGCTTTAGGCAACCAATGTGGACACCACCTGTTCAGAAAATGTCTTAAGTCATTGCAGCGCACAAGTAGGCATGTCTAAATTGATTTCAGAGATGTAAAGCAGCACTGTTGGCCTAATAAAGTTTGCTTTTTAATTTAGCCTGTGTGTGTGTGTGTGTGTGTGTGTGTGTGTATGTATCTGTACAGTGGTACCTCTGGTTACATACTTAATTTGTTCCGGAGGTCCGTTCTTAATCTGAAGCACCACTTTAGGTAATGGGGCCTCCCGCTGCCGCTGCGCCGCCAGAGCACGATTTATGTTCTCATCCTGAAGCAAAGTTCTTAACCCGAGGTACTATTTCTGGGTTAGAGGAGTCTGTAACCTGAAGTGTTTGTAACCTGAAGCATATGTAACCCGAGGTACCACTGTATCTACCTACCTACCTACCTACCTACCTATTGTTGCTTAGTCGTGTCCGACTCTTTGTGACCCCATGGACCAGAGCACGCCAGGCACTCCTAGCCAGTGTGATGTAGTGGTTAAGAGCGGTAGTCTCGTAATCTGGTGAACCGGGTTCGCGTCTCCGCTCCTCCACATGCAGCTGCTGGGTGACCTTGGACCAGTCACACTTCTCTGAAGTCTCTCAGCCCCACTCACCTCACAGAGTGTTTGTTGTGGGGGAGGAAGGGAAAGGAGATTGTTAGCCGCTTTGAGACTCCTAAAGGGGAGTGAAAGGCGGGATATCAAATCCAAATTCTCTTCACCTACCTATACCTATCTATCTATAGATAGGTATAGGTATAAAAAAGGTAAAGGGACCCCTGACCATTAGGTCCAGTCGTGGCTGACTCTGGGGTTGCGGCGCTCATCTCGCTTTATTGGCCGAGGGAGCCGGCGTAGTTTCCGGGTCATGTGGGCAGCATGACTAAGCCGCTTCTGGCGAACCAGAGCAGCGCATGGAAACACCATTTACCTTCCCGCCGGAGTGGTACCTATTTATCTACTTGCACTTTGATGTGCTTTCGAACTGCTAGCTTGGCAGGAGGTATAGGTATAAGTAGATACATAGATAGATACTGGATACACACACACACACACACACACACACACACACACATATATACTGTATTTCTTTCCAGAGAGCGCCACTAACTCTGATTTAAAAAAAAAATGTAAAAGAGCATATATTAAAATGATAAAACCACAAGTGCGCAGTCAACGCCAACAGCAGAGCGTCAACCACGTGTTACCCCAAAAGAGCAACTGTTTTGACCCCGGGGGACGGGACCTTCCCCCGCCCACGGAGCGCACTTAACTGCGGGGGGAGGCAAAGAGAAAGCGGCGCCGGCAGCAGCGCACCTGAGGGAGACCCAGCGGAGACTGCGGGGGTTTGGGGGGGGGCCTCGCCCTCTCGCGCGCCCGCCCCGCCCGCCCGCGGCGACCACGTCAGACGTCACAAACCCGCTTTGTTGCGCATGCGCCCCCGCCCCTTCTCCCCTCCCTCCGCGTCGGCCCCCCCCCCCTCGAGCGAAGCGGCCCGAGACATAAACAAACTCCGCGAGCGAGTCCGGCGCGGGAGCCTCTCCTTCCGCCTCCCTCACGCGACGCCCCGAACCGTTTGCCGAACCGCCGCCGCCGCCGGTTTCCCTCAGCCCCTCCGCCGTCCGTGAGGCGGCCTCCGTGGCCCCTCGCTCTCCGCACCCCTCGGGGCCGCCATCTCTCTCTCTCTCGCTCCCGCCGAGACGGGGCCTCGTCGAAGGGGGACCCGGAGCCTTGCCTGTCCCCTTCCAGCCCCTCAGAGGAGGCTGCTGCCCGGCTTCAGCAAGACGCCCTCCGCGGTGGGTGGCGCCCAACGGTTTGCTTTTGGGGGTTCAATTATTATTATTATTATTAGGGGGTTCAATTATTATTATTATTAGGGGGTATTATTATTATTATTAGGGGGTTCAATTATTATTATTATTATTATTATTAGGGGGTTCAATTATTACTATTATTATTAGGGGGTTCAATTATTATTATTATTAGGGGGTTCAATTATTATTATTATTATTACGGGGTTCAATTATTATTATTATTATTATTATTATTATTATTATTATTATTAGGGGGTTCAATTATTATTATTATTATTATTATTATTATTAGGGGGTTCAACTGTTATTATTCAGGGAAGTTTTTAATGTGTGACATTTTTATGTATTTTTAATCCCCGTTGGAAGCTGCCCAGGGTGGCCGGGGAAGCCCAGCCAGATGGGCGAGGTACAAATAATATATTATATTATTAAAATTATTATTATTATTCAAACTGGGGGAATGGGGGCGGCATGCTGCCCTCTGGGGAGACTTTCTGCTGAAACGAAAGAGCGGGGAGAGGGGCTAAAGGTGTAAGCTCACCCCACAATTTCTGATCATCGCCTTAGCTTTCATTAATGCGCTTTTTTATTTTTACAGGGTCTTCTCCAAAAAGTAGGGGGAGGGGGGTTTACTGCTGGGCCGGTTAATCTTGGGGTGTCTCTCAGTCACCCCTTTCTCGAAGGCAGAACCCAGAACTGGGCGGGATATATGGCATTTCAGGAGTGCCATCCTTCACCCAGTGTCAACTCGTTTATGTGGGGCAGAATTAGAAAATGGGTCCCCAAACATGAGAACTTTAAAGGGCTTAGCTTTAGCTGGGGTCGTGCCCCTGTTGATATTGGATAAAACTGCAGAAAGCTATTGGCACTGGCAAGTGTGTGAATGATCTTTTTAAATGACATGTTTTGTTGAACCAGTTTCTGGTGGTAAGAATGTGCAGTTTTCTGAGCTTTGCCAGGACTGTTCTTTAGGCATATATATAAAAAAGTAATTTATAAGTAATTGTTTAACTGCATGTCTTGCCATGTTTACAGACACGTAAAGCATACGTATTCATTTTCATATATTTATCGTTCTGAAATTGTGCTTATTTAATCCATTTTATAGAGCAGTGTCTGCTCAGTGTTTGTACATTAATGGGACATTCCCAGGCTACTGCAAATAAGATTGCAACCTATTTAGCATCACAGAAGGCAATTTCATCCGCTTTCTAAAACATTTTGTCAAAACCTTGATTCTCATAAGTACACGCCTAAAAGCGGAAGATGGAAAGTCTGTTTTAAGAAGATCTCTGTACCTTTTGAAAAAACTTGCACCTTGTTCAGAAAACATCTATGTGGAATATTAGTGCTGTAGATTTTGATCCATAGTTTCTTGTTATTTGGGCCTTCTTGCATGTGGAAGAAGAGACACCCTTATATTGAATTCTTTAGAATTCTTTAGAAAGCAGGGAATATGTCTCATGCTTATTCCTCTTGATTTAAAGATCTGTTAGTTCTGTCTTTGAACCTTGGAGCTTCCAAGCACAGTGGTGCAGCAAGATCCACTATAAACATTTCATCTGATACTTTTTCACAGTTACACTTCCATGAAATTATATAGCTCTTTTTGTTCAAAACATGTTCCTTGGATGGGAACCATAGTTCCACAGACTCCTAAACTTAATCCTTAAAAGTACATGATACTTTGTTAGAAAATCCTTGTTAATCTTCTTCTGAAGACTATGCTTGTGTGCCACTGTTTTCAAAAGATCAATGAGCTTCCCTTTTGCAATCCTACATAGGAATGAAATGACAGCTACATTGTCAGTAATAGTTCCTATTGGTAACCTTTCTATCATCTGAAGTGTTTAATAAACACAAAGTTTAGAGAGTGAATAACAGTATTGATTTATTTATTTAGTTAGTTAGTTAGTTATCTGTTTTCCAAAAAAATCCTATAGTATTAAGTTAATTTTTTTTGGCTTTATTTTTATCACCATTCTTTATATTTTGGCACAGAAAGTAGGGGTATAAATTAGTCATCCAAGACTGCTACAAGAAATTCAACAAAAACTACCAATTAAAAATATCTGAAGAAGTGTGCATGCACACAAAAGCTTATACCCAGAACTAACTTAGTAGGTCTCTAAGGTGCTACTGGACAAGACAATTTTTAAAATTTATTTATTTATTTCAATTAAAAATAGTTATTAAAGAAGTACTTTGGGGCTGCAATTCCTCATTCATTAAAAGTATTTCTGCTTTCTTGCAAAAATTATTACCCTGTCCCTTGAACAACTTATTCAGGGTGTTGTCCAAAAAGGGGCCAGCTATTTCTGGGCCTATTAATCTTGGGCATGCTCTCACTCACCACATTGATTAATGCACCTAGAGCTTAATGGGATATGGTATTCTAAGTTACATAACTCTGCAAAATGAAAAAAAAAATCTTATCAAACCTGATTCAGAAAAATGTGGTAGTTTTGTTTGTGAGGTCTTTTGGTTACTATATAAAACTCTGTAATCCATTTTTTAAAAAGTGATTTAATGTACCAGTCCTCCTATAGTAAAATGGTGGATCTTTTTTCTTCCCCCACCCCATCCTTATATTGCTGTTACTTATCCAGGAAGCTTCTTGAAACAGCAGCTTGCCTCTAGACGCCTCCAAAGTTAAAATGGCCTCTGCAGTTATTAGTTCGGTTCCTACTACTGCATCACGGTTTGCTCTTTTGCAAGTTGATAGTGGCAGTGGATCCGATTCAGAATCTGGAAAAGGAAGAAACAGTCGAAATGGTGGAAAGTCCCAAGCTTCAGGCAGCAAGTCAACCACAAATGAAAAGAAAAAAGAAAAGAGAAGAAAAAAGAAGGAACAGCAGCAGAGTGAAGCCAATGAGGTGGTGTGACTGTTATGTTTCAATACTCAGTTGGGCCAGGTATCCACATGCATGCAAAGGAAAAGTAAAAAAGTGAGGGATCAAGAATTACAGTGGTGCCCCGCAAGACGAATGCCTCGCAAGACGAAAAACCCGCTAGACGAAAGGGCTTTCCGTTTTTCAATGCGCTTCACAGGACGAATTTCCCTATGGGCTTGCTTCGCAAGACGAAAATGTCTTGCGAGTCTTGAGATTTTTCTCGCTCCCCCCCCCTTTTTCTAAGCCGCTAAGCCGCTAAACCTTTAATAGCCGCTAAACCGCTAATAGCGCTAATCCGCTAAGCCGCTAATAGGGTTGCTTCGCAAGACGAAAAAACCGCTAGACGAAGAGACTCACGGAACGGATTAATTTCGTCTTGCGAGGCACCACTGTAAGTATTCTTGAGATGTGGTGGAGATTCCAGCAGGGGTTAGAAGTGGGAAAGTGTTTATGATCAGGTGAATCCTAAACACTTTTCTTTCAAAACTAGAATGGCATCCTAATCCAAAACGTTTATCTTTGGAAGGAGATGTTTCTGAAGAAATCTGCCCTAAGGTAGGGCAGATGTTCGAGTGCTTCTTTTCTTTAATGTAGGTGTCTAGGTTCATAGCATATATTGGTGCATATGGTTCAGATAGTTAAAAAAAAAAAAACTGTTTGTGGGTGACAATGCCTATATACAAATATTATTGAGTAGTATTAAGTGTTATTCAGTTTTCAAACAAATACTAAATTAGCAGTACTTCTAGAACATACTATGAATTATTTTGAACTTGGAAGACTTCCTCAATTTTGCTTCCTATCTTACTATATTGTAGCTACTCATGATATTTGTAATGCATCTGTTGCTGTGGAATTCATGTCAGGTTATATCCAATTGTGCTAGCAAAAGCACTTGAGGCAGGGCACCTGATTTTCACTGATTGCCCCTGAAGGTTATGGGACCATGTGGAACAGTGGGATATGGCACAGAGGACTGGAATTGATGGGAAGGGTTTGTGGCAATGGGGCACCTCACTTTACCTTTATCTTTCGAGCTTTACATTAAGAGAAGCACTTCAGCTTACATAAAGCCACCATTGGCTACAACCCACCATTATTTATATTGTAAAATACCATACTTTTATTCCTATTTTCAGAGAAAACTAGTCTCCCATAGTATCATATCATTCAATAATTCAGTATAGTTCTGGTGGTAGGTGCAATACATAAATGAAAAAGAGATACAGACTCTGCATTTGTGCTTACTAATTACAAGGGGAAGGGAAAAGGTAGAGGGGGTCAGTTTGAGAATGCTGGAATGATGTGGTGAATTGTATATTTACACTTACAGTTTGGGCCCAGCTTATCTTTCCTTGTTCCTCTGGCCATTTGTCCACAGGGAACCTAACGTGTGTTTATCGTTTTAACCAGTTTAGACCACCAACATTATTTGAGGGTTTCTTCTTAATCAAATCACCAGAATAATGTAAGGCACTTCAAAGCAAACCTACACTGAGGTTTCAGCTTGTCACAGTGTTTTATACTTTATAAAAATATTTATTTATGTTCATTGTTTTTATAGCTCAGAAATCTCGCTTTTAAGAAAATCCCTCAGAAAAGTTCCCATGGAGCTTCTTTGTCTCAGCATGAGCAAGCATTAAATAATTCAGCCAGGAAAGATTCTCAGGAAGAGAACTGGCAAGAGTGGAGACAAAGAGATGAACAGGTAATTCATCAAATATGTTATTTTAAAGTTTTAAGTGTTCATGATTATTCATTTTAACCACTGCACCTGCTTTGTATGCATTAGCATTGGCAGGCATTTGGGTCAGGTTTGAAAGAAAGCTCTATTAAACACAATAGGACTTAATTCTGCATAAACGTGCAAATGATCAGGATAATACTTTCAGCAATCATGAGCGTGTGTTCTGAGAAAAAAGTTAAGTTTAGTTCATTGAGATTTTTTCTCTAGTCAAGGTGCCAAATAATATCATTTGCTACCCACCCCTTCACCCTTTGGTTCCCGTTAGGTTACAACAATTAAAACACAATGTTAAAAGCTGTTTAAAACAACCAACAATCAAATAAGGTGGATCCTAAAAATATACATCTCTAGCATCGAAAGAGGTGTGTCCTTGGCAATTTCCAGAAGCTATATAATGAAGATGCTAAGTGTCCCTCTTTAGGGGAGGGAGTGACTGATAAGTAACTGACAACGGGATACTGAGATAGAGGGTGGTGTATGTTTGAATAAAACCCTGCCACGTGGTACACTTTTCCATCTTGTTTCTTCAGTTGACTTCTGAAATGTTTGAAGCCGATCTTGAAAAAGCTTTACTTCTCAGCAAACTGGAATATGAAGAACACAAAAAGGTATTCCCTTATCTAAGTATGATAAAAACACAAATACAGTGGTACCTCCAGTTGCGGACAGGATCTGTTCCGGCGCTCCGGTCAGATCCTGAGGTTTCCGCAACTGGAGGGACCGCTTCTGCGCATGCACGCATGGTGGTAGACCACTTCTGCACAGGCGCACGCAGCAAAACCTGGGAAAATACTTCCGGGTTTGCCGCATTCGCATTCTGAAGCATACGCAACTGGAGGTGTGCGTATCCAGAGGTACCACTTCTTAACAGTGCACTTTTTTGAGCCTATGTTTTGCTAGATTCAGTTGAGTTAATAGCAGATTAAGAAAATATTGCCTATGGTAATAGTAGTGGTGAAAACAGAATTATTTCTTACGAAGTTTCGTGTACAATCCTGGTTGTGTGGTTTACTTGTTTAGAGAGCCGGTTGCATAGACACAGGTTCAAAATACTAAGCAAGAGACTAAAATGCTTTATATTGTTTCAAAATATTTCTTTGTGTAACTTGTTTTCCCTTTGGCAGTGTTTAACCATAATGTTCTATGATTTAGACTCTCAAATTAAAGACAGATGTATAAGGTGTTTTTTTTCTTTCCAGGAATATGAAACTGTTGAAAGTGCTTCTCCTCCATCAAAAGCTGTGCACAAGAAAGAGAAAAGAAAAAATCAGCAGGGAAAAGACAAACCTCTCACTGTGTCTTTAAAAGATTTCCAGTCTGATACTAACATTGGTAAGTTTTGAGTGCTAAATGTTTCATAGAATCATTAGGTCTGCTAAAGAGTCACAAGATGTGGACACCTGTCAGGTTAGGAATTCGGATTCAGACTTCACTTCCATCGCCAACAGTGTGAGTGGGGGGACTTTTGCCAATTCCCCCTTTGTACCCTCAGATATGTTCCAGAGTATTGGGGGATTAATTGAAACAATCTGAGAAGTGTTTGTGTCCTGGGGGTGGGTGGAGAATTGGCAAAATACGCTTCTTCCCCTTTGGTTAGTGAGATCTCTTTGCTTAATCAGAAGTCTCCCATGGACAGAATGCCTGTAGAAAGACCTAAAATCTTAATGAAACTTTGAACTGCTTTGATCTTTTATGTTTAAATGCTGCTGAGAGAAGGATAATAATAATAATAATAATAATAATAATAATAATAATAATTTATTTATACCCCGCCCATCTGGCTGGGCCTCCCCAGCCACTCTGGGCAGCTTCCATAGAAACCAAAAATACAGTAAAATATCACACGTTAAAAACTTCCCTGAACAGGGCTGCCTTCAGATGTCTTCTGAATGTCAGGTAGTTGTTTATCGCTTTGACATCTGATGGGAGGGCGTTCACCAGGGCGGGCCCCACAACCGAGAAGGCCCTCTGCCTGGTTCCCTGTAACTTGCCTTCTCGCAGTGAGGGAACCACCAGAAGGCCCTCGGCGCTGGACCTCAGCGTCCGGGCATAACGATGGGGGTGGAGACGCTCCTTCACGTATACTGGACCGAGGCCGTTTAGGGCTTTAAAGGTCAGCACCAAGGATATAGTAGAATTAGCATAGGTGGACTCTCTCCTTCTATTCCCCAGAAAAGGTGGTCCAGCAGGACAGCTAAAGCAGTTTTAGTTTTAGCACCAGCCCCAAAACTACTTTGAAGGACCTCTAAACTGGTTTCATCCCAGAAAACCAGGGGCCATTTTGCAAATCACACACTTCATCACACTTTGTGGCAAATTTGATACTCAGTTGCAGTAGTTTAGTTTCAGGTGGGTCAAGTGGTGCTTTGTTACTAGATTTATAAATCTGGCAAAACAGAATACAAGGAATTTAAAGTATGAATGGAAATTTTAGCTTAAACTTAGAGAATCTTATTTATAATTTAGCAGAGTATGGCACTGAAATATTCCTGGATAATCAGTTTTAGGGTTTTCATTCACAAATTAAATTTAATCTGTAATTTACATCTTTCATGTTGTTTCAGATCACCTTCCCAAAAAGCAGGAGGTAAGTACCTGATCAAACAAAAATAATGCTTGAAGTATCTAATGAGGGAATTCTTTAAATGGCACCGTTAATTTTTCCACTTTCTTGGCAAGCATTAGTGCATGCTCTGTTCTAAATAAGTCACATGAAAATATTGTTTCTGGTTCTGTTGGGGAGACTTAAGTGAACAGCAGGAACCTGGATATTGTGAAGAAATTGTATATGAAAGATTGTGCTATTAAATTAACATTTCAGCACAAGTTTTTTAAAGATTTTTCAGTGAATAATTTCTGTGGCTGCACCAAATTTTTTGCGCTATATATTTTTAACAAGCTCTTGAGCTCTTGAAAGTTCAAAATGGTCCCTTGAGAAACCTAATCAGTTCTTATTAGCTGTCTCTCTTGCACCTAATCTTTGGTTGTTTAGTTGCTATAATTTTTTGTTTCTAGCTTCTCTTTTGGCTTCTTTCTGAATGACTATGTGATCTCAGCTAATCATGGTCCAGGTAGTGAATGTGATGACATCATAGTACGCAGTAGTCGGTCCAAGTGTACTACATCACTTTGGGCAAATTAAGCCTTGGCTTTACCCTCAAACTGAATGATGCAACGCTTTCTTGCTGTGCTGGGACGGCAAAGAATGAAAGCATTGTAGCAAGATAATAGTTACTTGGTTGTTTCTGAAAGACATGAATGTATTCCATGTCTTGCTGCATTACAAGGCCAGCAAATTTAGTACGTGATTAAAATAGTATCTAAGCATTATTAAAATAATGCTAACTTTTTGCCTGATGCAATTACCAAGACCTATTGTAGGGATGGAGGGCATTTAGAAAAAAATATATTATCGTAATTTGCTTTAAAGCTGAAATTTCATATTTAGATTGGAATTTCATATATAAACCTTAGAGTAATTACTTATTGTTAAGTTGCTGAATTCTTTTACTAGAGATTAATTATAGTTTCTTGGCAGGAATTGAGCTCTTCACATACTGTCTTGCATGATGGTGAATTCTTCAATAGACTGGAAGATGATGTGCACAAAATAATTACTCGGGAGAAAAGAAGAGAGCATATCACAGATAATGGAATGGATAACAGTACATCACGTGATCCCACACATGTATGTTAAATGTGTTAAATTCCTGAAAGTATACTGTACTGATTATAATAGAGAAGGTGAAATTGAGTAGCTGCTTAAAAGTGCATATAGGTATGAACAGGCCACTAAAATTCCTCCTGAGAAATATCTGACAAGGAAACTGTAACTTTAAGAACAGGTGCCTTAGTTTCTCCGTTTTACTCTTCCATTTTTCATTTTGTGTAGTGCCTTTGGCTTGTAAGCCTCTGGCACGGATTGCCTTGTTTTTACTTTTTATTCATCTTTTTGGCTGAAGAGTCGAGTAAAAGTGGTTTAAATAATGTATGCCACAGGGATTGGTGTGTTTGTTCACCTACCCTAGGAGTGGAGAACAAGTGGCTCACCAGATGTTCCTGAGCTGCAGCTCCCATCATCCCTGGCCATTCATTGCCCATGCTTTCCAGGACTGATAATAGATAATAGAATAGAATTGGAAGGGACCCTGAAGCATGACCTTCAGGGTCAAGGTCATCTAGCCCAATCCCCTGGAATGCAAGAATCGCAACTAAAGCATCCATGGCAGATGGCCATCCAACCTCTGTTTAAAAACCTCCCTTTCACAGTAGTCCATTCCACCGTCAAACAGCTCTTAACATCAAAGTTCTTCCTAATATTTAGTTGGACTCCCCTTTCTTGTAACTTGAAGCCATTGGTTCAGATCCTATTCTCTGGAGCAGGAGAAAAGAAGCTTGCTCCATCTTCCCTGTGAAAGCCCTTTAGAGATTTGAAGATGGCTATCTCCTCACTAGGCTAAACATGCCCAACTTCCTCAGCCATTCTTTATAAGGCTTGGTTTCCAGACCATTGATCATTTTGGTCACTCTCCTCTGCGCACATTCCAGCTTGTCAATACCCTTCTTAAACTGTGGCACTAAGAACTAGACACACCATTCCAGGTGTGGTCTGAACAAGGCAGAATAGAGTGGGACTACGACTTTTCTTGATCTGGACACGATTCTTCTGTTGATGCAGCCTAGAATAGCATTAGCTTTTCTCGCTGCTGCATCACACTGTTGACTCATGTTAAGCTTGTGATCTACTAAGACCCTTAAATCCTTTTCACATGTATTACTGGCAAGCCAGGTGTCCCCTGTGCAACTGGTTATTCCTGCCTAAGTACGATACGTTTGTCCCTATTGAAATTTATTTTGTTAGTTTGGGCCCAGTTCTCCAATCTGTTAATGTCATCTTGAATCCTGATTCTGTCTTCTGTAGCATTGGTTACCCCTCCTAGTTTGGTGTCATCTGCAGATTTGATGAACATCCCCTCAATTCCTATGGCACCCCACTTCTCCCCCCACCCCAGATGACAAGGAACCATTAATGAGTACCTTTGGGTTCAGTCAGTCAACCAGCTACAAATCCACTTCACATTTACCTCATCCAGCCCACATTTTACCAGTTTCTGCACAAGAATATCATGGGGGACTTTATCAAAAGTGTTACTGAAATCAAGATTTACTACATCCACAGCATCCCCCTGATCCACTAAGCTTGTACAATAACTTGGTCAAAAAAAAGAAATTGGATTTCAACAGGCATTGCTTGTTTTGAGAAACCCAGGCTAGGTTTTAGTAATCACAGCATCCTTTTCTAAGTATCTGTAGACTATCTGTTTAATTATATGTTTTAGGACCTTTCCTGGCATCAGCATCAAGCGGTTCAGTAGTTACATGGGTCTTCTTTTCCCCCCTTTTTCAAGATGGGGACAGGATTTGCCTGCCTTCAGACTGCAGGGACCTCACCTGGGAGTTGGTTGTAGTTGACAACATGTGTAGAACCACAGGTTCCCTATACCTGCCCTACCTGAACTCTGGACAGGTCACCTTTTAAAGCTGCTCCGAATTTCAGGGGCAGCTTACCCTCTGGGTAATGACTGAAAATTCTTTGTAGTGAAATAATTTTTGTAATAGCTTCCTGAATGAGGAAACATTTTGGACTAATAATTAGTGTTATATATCAGTTTCCATAGACTATGTGACCATAGAGTAAGTTCCATTCTATTTTTGAAATACTAAAAGTTTAAATTGCTGGCATTTTAAAGCATACCTATGTTCATTTGGGGACGCGGGTGGCGCTGTGGGTAAAACCTCAGTGCCTAGGACTTGCCGATCGTATGGTCGGCGGTTCGAATCCCCGCGGCGGGGAGAGCTCCTGTCTTTCGGTCCCAGCTCCTGCCCACCTAGCAGTTCGAAAGCACCCCTAAGTGCAAGTAGATAAATAGGTATCGCTTTATAGTGGGAAGGTAAACGGCGTTTCCGTGTGCTGCGCTGGTGCTGGCTCGCCAGAGCAGCTTTGTCACGCTGGCCACGTGACCCGGAAGTGTCTTTGGACAGCTCTGGCTCCTGGCCTCTTAAGTGAGATGAGCGCACAACCCTAGAGTTGGACACGACTGGCCCGTACGGGCAGGGGTACCTTTACCCTTTACTTTTATGTTCATTTGTTACTTTTGAAAATATTTTGAATGCTAGTTCACATCTCCTCAACCTCGTTAAGGGTATAAAATTCATTTTACATTGTATCTCTCTTTTTAAAATCTGGAGGATTTTGTATTGAAAGACGGAAGAATAGAGAGACTAAAGCTGGAACTTGAGAGGAAAGATGCAGAAATCCAGCAATTAAAGAGTGTAATCACTCAATGGGAGGTATGTAATGGGTTTCTTTATGCAGCATTTAATTTAAACAAATGTTTAGATTGAAAATATTTATTGTATTAGCCTTTTCAAAGCACTGCTTTTCAAAATAAAAATTACATTTAATCTATATTAGGAAGAGAGATTGGCATCTAGATAAGGTTATTATTTGAGAAGTAAATAAAAGATTTTTACTTAGTAAAATAAGCCTGCTGTAAGGAGAGAACTTAGTAATTATAGGGGTTTCTACCACATGAGAGAGTTGGACATGTTGCATTAAAAGTCCACATTTATAAATAATTAACTACTTGTCAACAGTTTGTTAATGTTCAGAAGAATTTGGTTCAGTGGGGGGGTGGGGAATAACCACAGACTTGGTATGTGTTTACTAGAATCTTAAGAGTTGGAAGGGACCAAAGGGTCATCTAGTCCAACCCCCTGCAATGCAGGAATATCAACTAAAGCATCCATTGACAGATGGCCATCCACCCTCTACTTAAAAACCTCCAAGGAAGGAGAGTCCACCACCTCTCATGGGAGTCTGTTCCACTGCTGAACAGCTCTTACTGGTCAGAAAGTTTTTAAGAACGTTTAGTCGGAATCTCCTTTCTTGTAACTCATTAGATATTTTTATTGCATTTATGAATGTTGCCAAGAGTAATTATTTTTAGCACATTACCCACCTCATCTGTTTAATTGTCAGTAGGGATCAAGGAAGATTAATTGATCTTTGAAGGCAACAGTCAACCTTATATAAATGGGGCAATTTTGTGAATTTCCAGCTCAAAAATATATTTCTCTTTTTCTCTGCCATCCTCTCCTCTGATTCTTGAAGCTCACCCACACATACACTTTTATCAGAAATGGAATTTGGGGGATCTTGAGTGTACTTGTGTTATTATATTTTCCTTTTGTCCCATTGATTAGAGATTGATTTTGAAATGTTAAGGCACCAATTCTAAATACACTTACTGGGCAGTAAGTTTCAGTGAACACAGACATGGATAAGATTGCACTGTACAACTAATACTCTAATGTCCATATTGTTTAAATATGCTATTTGCATTAATTGAACTTTTAAAACGTTTAGGCAAAGTATAAGGAGGTGAAAGCACGAAATGCACAGCTGTTGAAAATGCTGCAGGAAGGAGAGAGTAAGTAGTGCTTTGTTTGTTAAATATTAAAATTATTTTACAAACCTATGTTCCTTAAATCTATCTGCAAATTGTTTGGACAGTGCTAAGACAAATAGGCTTGTTCCGTTTTTATTTCATAGCAGCCCTATGCAATCTGTGACCCTGCATGGCTGAATGCAGCCCATCAGACATGTTTCATGGTGCTTGAAAAATGTACCTCTAACTATTCTCAACATCTTTAAAAATAGGAAGTCTAATCTTTTTTGTTTTGTTTTAAAACTTTAGTGAAAGATAAAGCCGAAATACTGCTTCAGGTCGATGAATCTCAGAGTATTAAGAATGAGCTGACTTTACAGGTAAACATTTCTGTAATATATTTTAAAAAGCATATTAAATCAAAATATCAGAACAACTGGGTTGGAAGAACTATGAGTAATGTTATGTTCATGGAACAGGACCGTCCCTCTGCACCCAGATTAGATGGATTAATTTCAGTGAGTAAAAATTAGTAAAATGTAATCCTGTCTTTTCTCTTTGCAACAGCAACTTTATATAGTTTCTAGTAATTCTCAAAATATTGTGAACTTGCTGCCAGAAATGGTACATGTTGCCACATTATTTCCAGGGAAAGTTTCCAGGCAAGAATTTTGAAACTCAGCTAATAGGCAAAATAGCACATACTGATTTTCTTTTTCATTAGTGCTGTCATAGGCATGTTACTTTATTATCTTCAAATGTCACTTTGTTAAGAGACAAGACAGTAGTTGTTGAGCTTTTATTTTGTTTTTTAAGGTTACCAGCCTTCATGCTGCTCTGGAGCAAGAACGATCTAAAGTGAAGTTACTGCAAGCAGAGCTAACAAAATATCAGGTAACGTTACTAGCTACTTCATAAGTAAACAGAAGCTCACAGGAGAAACTTTTCTTATACCCATCCCACCACTGCAGCCGCCTGTACTCCTAAAAAGCCTCTTCAGGAAGGTTGAGGTCTTGGAACACTGTCAGAGAGGCAGTGGGAGCTGCTAGAGGAAGGGGGACAAGAAACTTTTCCTTCAGTGAACTTACTTAGGATTCAAGCCTGTTTGTTTATGTTTACATACCAAGTTTGTGTCCGTTTGCTCTAAAAAGGAGCTTTTAAAGCAGACTTTACAAATATTTCCTCTGGATCCACTGTATTCAGTGAATCTCCTTTTCTGTCTTGTCGTTTAGTGATCTGCACAATTCCTCCATCACCATAATTGTTTATTACCCTGTTATCTCTAATTAGCAGTTTATACACAAACACAGATGATACATATATAGATACACACACAAAATTACCGTATTGGCCCAAATGTAAGACGCACCCGCAAATAAGCCACACCTTTAAAATTCAAGGCTAATTTGCAGGTGCAGCCCGCCTGCTGGCACTACTGCCCTGAATGGGGGGCAGCTGGCGCCCCACTCCCCAAGCCGGCGCTCAGTTTTGAGCGCGCTGCCCACCCACCTCACAACACAATCGCTTCCCAGCACTACCTCCCCAAGCCGGTGCCAGGGGAGGCTTGGGAGCAGGGGGCGGGCTGCGTGTCATTGCCCCATGCTCCCGGGCTGCTTCCGGGGAGGAGGAGCCACTCTGCTTTGCCGGTGGCCTCCACCCCTTTCCCCTTCCTTACGGCGGCAGCTTTGGAGATGCGGTTGGGACGGGCGCTGCTGTCCCACACCCCCGATGGCCCTTGTGGGCAGCTGTTTCAGCAGTGATAACGTAAGGTTGCAAATATAAGCCACACTTTAACTTTTCACAATTGGAATTTGGAAAAAAAGTGTGGCTTACATTCGGGCCAATACAGTATCTATGCTATATGAGGGAGGCATCCAGACAGACATGGGTCACTTCCACCCAGGACAGGCAGGGTCACATAATACAGCTATGAAGACCAGGGCAGGCAGTTCTTAATTCTCCTCTCACACACATTCCTTTGTTTGTGTATATGTTGTACTTCAGTGTGCAATAAACAGCTACTTGAGGATACTATAAGTCTCCCTAGTATTATGCTCAGGATCCACAAGCGTATTCACTTGTTTCAGCAACAATGAGCATCCGTCTAAAGAACGTGCTGCTTGTAGGTGATGAATCACACCTTGAGAAGGGAAAGGACAAGCGATTTCTATTCCTCCTGGAAAAAAATAACCTGTGAAAAGGGAGAGAATCCACCCATTCTTTCAGGAGTGTTTCTCTCCCTTCCCAGAGGGCTCTTGTGGGAAGTGGCAGTATTGAAGAGGCACAGTTAGTGCTTTCTGCAAAAGCCCTGTTTTGGGGGAAATTTAGCATTTTTTTGTTGATACTTAGGTTTTCGTAACACAAGCTTTTTTCCTTCTCTGTTATAGGCTGGAAGAAAAGGGAAAAGAAATTCAGAGTCTGATCAGTGCAGGTGATCACATTTGTACCAAAATCAGAGCAAAAAATAAATTTGATCTTCAGGGGTTTTGCAGAAATGTATTTGTACTACTGCTTAACTATGCAGTTTTCTGGGTTTGGGAGTGAAGTTTAATTGACTAATGTTCTGAATATTCAATCTATTGCACTTCTAGTATAAAGAAGAGAAGCTGGAAACTAATGTTACAGTGATGCTCAAACCTTGTTTGTCCTAATGCTACACCTAGTTTTTCATCACTCAATAAAGTTTTTGTCATTTTTATGACCCTGGTGTGTTTAATGTTTTTAGCCTTATTGAAATTGTTGGGCCATACTGTATTTCTATGCCATTTCCATCCTTTGTACATTCTGCTTTTTCAGACATCCACTCAGTGATGGGTGCTTGACTTGTTTAACCTAGTACTGAAGAGGGCATAATAAAAAAGGGCAAAGCAGTGGTTCTGGACAAGGCCTTCTGAGGGTAACATCAGACCACAGGGTCTGCAACAAGAACTCCTGCCAACACTGTTTTGAAGGGTTCAGTAATTATGTAATGAACTTTAAATGATTAATGCTGTCACTTCACCTTTAGTCCTATATATAAACAAGATTCCTTAAGCTAGGGTTGTCATGTGCATTCATTGCTTTGTGTTCTCTTTTTTGCTCTTCAAGATATGGCAACCCCATGTGGTACGGTTCTTTCCAAAAAGAAATAAAACCTTTCTCCTAGATTCCCCCCCCCCCCCGCAAAAAGATTATCTTAAATAATTTTTTTTAAAATCTCATGGTTTAACAGGTTTATAATTCTACAATTCTTCAACATGGCTTACAAACATGTTTAAGTAAATATATTTATAATCTCAGCAAGGGCTTGCTTAGAGTAGAGCAGCAAGGAATCCTCAGTGCCCAACGCATACTTTTTCTTCAGCCACCTGTCACTTTAAAGTCCCAAGGCAGGTTACAACATTAAAAGACAACATTAAAAACAAGTTACAACATAACATTGGATCTGTTCCAGTTCTTCCTACAAATTGGCTTGAACAGAACCTAAGAGGACAATTGGGTTCCCTTGCTAATTTTAGTACAGCTCTCATTTAGTTTTTCTATCAACCATCAACCAAACATCAGTTTATCAGATTATGTGGCTCATAGAAGGTACCAACCCCATGTTTCTTCACACCACCTACATACTGGACAAGCAGTAGCTTTGAAGATTCGATTAGTATGCAAGGCTCAGCCTGTTCCTTTCGATAGAAGTTGGCAACACCTCTTATTGAACACATTCCTGAACTTGTCAGCGATGGACATCTACAGCATGAATAACACTTTAAAAAAGTGAAGCTGGAGGACAATGACAGATAACAAGCTGCCACTGCTGTAAGATGCAAGGAAATACCCTCTTATTGAAGGTTAACTGAACAGGAACAGGCTTGCTGAACAGGAAAAGAAATAAGGCAGGGGTGGGGAGCGTCAGCCCAGGGGACTGCGCTCAGGGCTCTCTATATCCAGCCTGCAGGACTCTTGCCTTGCCAGGCCCAGCCCAGTCCTTAATCTGTGCCCCCAGACAGCTGCTGTCTGGCTGGAGCGCCCTTTGAACTATGACAAAGCCTCTTGCTTGTCCTCAGAGGTGCCCAGAGAGGGACGTGTTTCTGCATAAACCCCCCTTACGTTGCTCCGTCCAGTTGGGAGTGCATCCCAGCACCAGTTCCTCCCTATAAAAGGTGGGAGGCCGGAATGTGCTGAGGCTGCAAAAAGGCAAATGGCTGTAGGAGGCTCCACGTGCAGCGTAAAAAGCAGCGCCACCGTCACGTGAGCAGCAGAGAGACCGTGTCCGCGCATGCGCGAGACCTCCTTACGGTGTCGTAGCAAGCGCTCGCCTAACAATGCCAGCCTGGGCCTTCCGTGACAGCTGCGCTTGCGCAGTGGGGCTTCCGATGTGCGCAGGCGCACCGTGCTCCTCTTCTCTTCTCTCTCTCTCTCTCCCCTCCCCCCCCACCATTTCTTTTTTTTACACATGCGCAACACGCTCCCGAGTCCCAGCTCCTCAGTTGCCGGCCAAGTCGGTTCCTCTTTTCTAGTAACTTCCCCGATTCCTGACGTCATCAGCAGGCGCCGCGGCTGAGCCGGGCTGTTTCCGTTGAACTCTCCGAGAGTGCGAGAGCTGTGGCGGCGGCGTCGCGGAGCGAGAGAGAGAGAGGAGGCCGCGAAGCGTGAGGCGAGGAGAGGGGAGGGTCTGCCTTTCCCAGCGTCCCCCGCGCGGCTGGGCTAACGAGTCCCGGAGGCCCCTCGGCCGCCCGTCCTCCCTCTCCCCTCCCCCCCCTCCGCGCGCGCGCCATGTCTGAGAGCGGCGAGAGCCCTCCTGGGCCGCAGAGCCCCGACGAGACCCCCGGCCCGGCCGCCTCGGCCTCGGAGCCGCGGATCATCAAAGTCACCGTCAAAACCCCCAAGGAGAAGGAGGAGTTCGCCGTCCCAGAGACCAGCAGCATCCGGCAGGTGAGGCCGGGGACGGGGGGAGGGGCGTGGCCGGTACCACCGCGCGAGTGGGCGGGGGGGGGAATGTGTGTGTGTGAGGGGGGAACCGGCGTCTCTTTTATTTCCACGCCCGCCCCGGGAGAGGCGAAGACGGAACCCGGCCGGCGCCCCTGCGTCGTAGTCCGTTGGCGGGCGGAGCTCTTGCCTCACCGAAGGCCTCGGAGTGACTCGGCTGCGAAGGGAGCGCGTCTCTCTCGTCGCTCTTCCAGGTGCGTATCCTCTAACGACGCCGCCGCCGCCGCCGGCGAGAGAGGCGGGCAGATGGCTGGCAGCCCGGTTCTGGACGACGTTCTCCGTTTGCAAGCGAGGCCCGTGCGGTTCGGAGAGGCGGACTCCCGAGCAGGCGCGCGTAGGATTGAACCGGTCGAGGAAGTCGGGGCAGGCTTGGTGGTGGCAGGCGGAGAGAGCCTGGCTGGGGAAGCCCCGGAGATGCGGTGGCTTTGTCTGGGAGGGGAACACAAAGGAGCCAGGCAGATCGGCGAGGCGGGAAGGCGGGCAAGCGACCAGCCGGTTTTAAAGTGTGAAACGGGAACCTCAGGGAAAATGTGGACTCTACAAACGTAGAAGCTTCTCTAGTACTTTGGTGTAACACTGCTATATAGAACACAAAAGTACAAGCTGCGCCTAGGAGGTTAAATGTGGTAGAGGATATTGTGCCTGTATATGGCTTCTATGCTGTTCCTTACATGACGGTACTTTCTGACAGATTTTAAGTGGTCCTCTGTATCTTTTCATTACTTGATACTTAAAACTAGCACTACAGTTATGTTTTTCTGATTGTATACAGTATTCTATGTATATGTACTACTGAAAAATCAGTGTGTCATTATACTTGAATATGGTAGCTGCCGAGTCATCTGCATGACTACTTCAGTGCTTTGAATTCGTTTCTTCTCAGCCTTTAATGTCTTGGACGAGTCATATTAACTAGGCCTGGTCATTTGGTAACAAAAGGCTACTGTAAAATTTTAAGATTCTAAACATACTAGCTCAAAGACAAACTTCAGAGACTAGAAGATATGTGCTAGCAAGATCTATATTGTGTGGATAAGTATCCAATCCTTTGATCATGCAAATGATGAGACTCCTAATCACATTGTCATTTGAATGTGCTAAAGACATTGTATAGTATGTATCTGAAATCTTAATTTTTTACAGGTGTGAGAAGACTTTCTCAAACTGACACTTGGTAGTAGAGTGGCTACCTTTGTCTAGGGTTCTTCCACCTTGATTACAGTCTAGCTCATAGAGCAAGAATATGCCATTGGGATGACACTAATTTGCTACCAAACAATAATAACAGTTACACCAGTCAGTTCTGGTCATTTCATTCAGTTTATTAAAACACTGCAGTTGCTTCTAGGAATAGACCATTTAATATTTAAAAACAATGCAGGTACCTCTGTTCTCTCTGGAGTTGGAATTTTTAAATTGTAAGTAATTGCAGTATAGGGTCATTTTGTGTACTCACTTGGTAGTAAATAAAGTCCTGCAAGTCTTTAAAAAGAGCTTGTGGATTTCAGTTTTCTTCCATTGCTATTAACACTGGACTCCTTGTAATAGGTATAAAGTGGTAAACTTTGTTTGACTCCTTGATGTAGAAGGAATTTATGAACTCTTGACCACAAATGACTTGCATTTATAAATTACTTAAGTTTCCCTACTTAAAATATGCAGGATGTATATCTTGGTTATGGCTATTTTAATTAAGCTAAAACTAGTTCTACCTGAAAAACTAAGGCTTGTTATCACAAGTACTTTGTCCAGTTTAATAAACTCTTTACTATTACTTTATTTCTTGCAAGCACTTGCAAGACTTGAATTAATGATACTGAAAGCCAATTTGCATTCAACTTGTCCTCTGAATTCTGGCATATAACCCAGTTTTTGTGTATTCTTGGGAATCGCTTCCTTCAATCTCCCCATTGTAAGTAAGAACATATGAAGGTGCCTTGTAAAAAGTCAGATAATTTGTCCATCTATTTCAGTATTGTCAACGCTGCCTAGCAGTGGCTCTCTAGGATATCGGGTCTTTTGGAGCCCTACCTTGGCATGCAAGGAATTGAACCTGGAACCTTCTGCATGTAAAGCAGATGCTCTATTACTGAGCCAGAATTTTATTGCTGAGCCAGAATCCTTCCAGCCACAATGCACAACTGCTGCAGTTGTTTATGGGATATGAACAGATGAGCAGGGGGAGAACGTGGGGCATCAGCAGGAAAAATAACATAAAATCTAGATCAGAGTACTTGTGAAAAACCATGAGAAAGTTCAGCTTTGGGACACATCTTTGAATAAAATCTTGAGAAATACTTGAGAGCCGTAATCCTGTTATTCCAGGTTTTCAGTTGCTGTACACCTTGGGGTACTGTTCCGGTTTCAGCTATCTTTTAAATTATGATGGCTACAATTTCTGTGTAATCAGGATCCTTAGTTCATGTATAATTGGAGATACATTTGATACATTTTGCCTATAATTTCAGCGCCCTTTGATATTGCCACGACTAGCTCGAGAAAGGTTATGTTGATTTATCTAAAAACAGTTCTTAAAAATGTGTCTTACTCAGTTCATGCAGAAAAGGTGACGTCACCAATCAATAGATTAGATAGTTACTTAGATGAAATTTGCTAGTGTATTTTGGAGATGAGCTTGTGTTACGCCTATGAACCAAATCCACCAATATTCAGGTTGCCTGGTTAGCCTGTACAAGGAACAACCATTTTGTACACTACCAAGGCCTGCACAACTGCCAACACGGGCACTGCTTTCTGCCCTGGAAGGGTGCAGAACCGGCTTATGTCCAACCGCTGACATGCACAAACAGAGAGTTGCCTGTAGTATTGTTAGCTTCCATTCAGAAAACCCAAACTGTAGTCACAATACAGTCATTTCCACAGAAATTGAAGCATTTCTTCTTTTCTTAACCTGTGAAGACAGGTGTAAGTTACTGGAAAATTGATGGTCCTGAGATCTGTCTGTGGTTGCAAAATCACAAGCCCATAGGAATCCACAAATAAAGCATGGTGTAATTGGCCACAATGTAGCATGGTCAGTGTTTTCCTTGCTTCCACAGTATGGTGCAATGCATTGCATGTTGATGGGGGTGGACCTTTTTGCTGTTTGATGTGGTGTAGGTAGGACTCCTAATAAAGCCATACAGTACTACCTTCAGCAAAAATCTAATTCATGTTCCTGGACCAATAGAATTGTGTGCTGTGATGATGGCAAGGCTAGGGCCAAAGTTAGATTCCATTTTCTTCAAGAAAATTCTATTTTTTATTGGCGGGAAAAGGACAATCATGATTTCCGCGAGTTGTAACTTTTCACATCCAGCTAAGCAAAATTATAGTAAAGAACAAGTGATTTCAGTCTCCACTGGATGATTCAAAGCTAAAAACTTTGTTTGAACAAAGACCGGTATGCTTGGGTTGCAATAGTAGGTGTCCTTGGCAACATTGGTATAATCCTGATCTACTAATAGTAATCCTAACCACTAGACCTGCTGTCTGAGTGTAATATAGGGCAATTGCAACCAGAAAAATCATCTGATGCTTTAGAGAGTGATCTAATTAAGCATGTTTGCTTTATTTTATATATAGCAAATAAAAGTATCTTGTGTTCATTTTTTTTGTCCCAGTACCACTGTACTTTTCCAGGACAGTTTCTACATGTTATTAAATGTTTCCACATTCTTGTTTCATTGTTTGCAGACTCCTTCCAATAATATTTACATCTATTTATTTTTTAATTTTTTTATACTGCTGTTTACCTTCAGATGTCAGGGCAGTTCACAACATAGCTTCCCTTCTCAGTGGCTTCATTATGATGATGCCAAATACTAGGTTTTTTCCTAGTTCAACATTGTTATGACTCAGTAACCAGATGCACCACCAAAAAAAAAAAAGAGAGAGGGGAAAAAAGATTTTATGCAAGCATTTTCATCTTCTCCAGCTCAAAAAAAGAAATTATATAATGCTCAGGAATTTGTGCCTTCACTGAAAGTGAAATTAAAATGAATCTCCATTTTACTTTCACTTTCACTAGCAGTCTGAGGCTAAATAAGACTGGTTTGATTTAACCTGCATAGCCAGTGAGGTGGTTTCAGTTAATTACTTGATTTATTTAAGGATGATAAAATCTGTCTTTAAATACGTTAAAGGAGATAGGACAGCGGTAAATAAATAAAAACAATAATAAATAGTCGCAAATGTAGAATAATTAAAAACCAGAACAATACATAATCATTCATAGCGAAGTATTCTAAAATTATACATTTGTTGTTTCAGTGTTCTTTCAAATACAAATCAGTGGCATATATGTATTATTTCACATTAAAGTTTTGAAGCTGTTAGCCTTGCCTAATGTTATCCTTGCATTTGGCATTCATTCATTTTTACTAACGAATTTATGGACCAGTTTCCACACCACACCACTGGGCCTGAAGTTGGGCTGGACAGCCTTGGATGTGCTTGATCCACAGCCCATCTCTTCTTCCAAGATTGGACCTGTTAACTATGCCAACCTGGAAGTAGCATGCATATTGGTTTTGTTAGGCAATGGGGGTTAAAAGGGGGGGGCACACTGGGAAGTATCCCACTAAGTCATACCCAGAGTAGACCCATTGGAATTAATGGACCAAATTTAGTGATGTCCATTGATTTCAATAGGTTGTATCCAGCACAGTTCTGCTGGCACAAGCAGTTTTAGCTGTGCAACTAAACTTCCCTTCCCTGTCCTCTCCCCATGCACTCCCTAAATATGTTCTGGAGAACAACAGCAGCAATTCCTCCAACTGTCTGAAGCAGTTTTGGGGGAGGGAAGTCCATCATGTGCCATATCATATTAAAGTCTATGAAGTTCTAAAGAGATTGATTCTTTTAGTTTTGAAATATCTAAAATCCAGACTGAGCTTTTAAGGTTTTTGTGTAGTCCAGCAAGGCCAAAAATGTCATTTTTTGAAATTTTAAACCCTCATAACTCAAAAACTGGATGAGATAAAAAAGTTAAAAACAGAGACCTGGGGCCTTCTCTTATACTACTTTTAGGAAACTGAAACTGAAAGCAATATAAAATGGTGAGGTAGAAGTCCCTGGATCACTTGACATGGAATGACCCATTGAAAAGCCCCCAGTTACTGTAGAGTTTGCTCAGTCTCTAACCTCGCTGCCAAATCTGAAAGAGAATTAAATGAATAGTGATTTTCTGGAAACCGAATTCTACAGCTGATAACAGACTTGCGGCGATCTACTGTAGTAATCTGTTTCTGTACATTCCCATTGATATGTATAAACCATTTCTTAAGTATTTTGCAGCAATAACTTATAGCTAATGTGGTGTTATCTTTAAATATATATGGAGAGAAAATGTCAGTAAAATTATTCCACACTCAGGGTGAAATCCAGTGTACTTTTAAGGCTATTGCTCCAACAGTACAATAATTTCTGCTTGTACAATTGGAATTTTCTCCACTCCCCCAAACACCCTCCTCCGGTCTTTTCTAAGATTTCCTTCAACCCTGGATTAATGTTGGATGTGTTATCTCCTTAATGTATGTGTGCATACTTCTAATACTACATATCTTATCTTTAAAAGACATCTGAAGGCAGCCCTGTTTAGGGAAATTTTTAATATTTAGTGCTGTACTGTTTTTAACACTTGATTGGGAGCCGCCCAGAATGGCTGAGGAGACTCAGCCAGATGGGCAGGGTATAAATAAATTATTATTATTATTACTACTACTACTACTACTCTGGTACACTGGTAATGCTTAGAAGAAGTGTATTAAATAAATTAATCCTGAGAATGAAATTATGCACTCTTTTCCAGTTCAAGGAAGAAATCTCGAAGCGTTTTAAAGCTCACACTGACCAACTTGTGTTGATATTTGCTGGAAAAATTTTAAAAGATCAAGATACGTTGACCCAGCATGGGATCCATGATGGGCTTACCGTTCACCTTGTCATCAAAACACAAAACAGGTAGGCTGGGGGGTATTGTCTCCTGTTCAGTTATTCGTGGTTGCTTGCATCTGTGACAGTCTTGGTCAAGTTGAATTGCTTCAGAATTGTGTTTAATTAAAACCAATAGAACAAAACAAAGCCAGTAAAAGGCTGCAAATGGCAAAGGTATCTTTATGTATCTTATATCTGTGTGTGCTTCCTGTGTAGTCTGAACTCTTGGCAGTTTGTGTAAAATTTCCGGGTGCATTTGGCTCTTCCTGCAGAAGTCATGCTTTCTCACCACTCATGTCCCATTGTAGAACTGAAGGGGTTGGTCAGTCTCAGTCTCTCTATCTGCCAAGTTGTTTATGTTACTTTTGGAGTGAAAGTGTGATGAAGAATAGGCAGATTCCAGAGAAACTGGGCAAAATACAACAGTTCACAAGCAGACAACATTGGATAAGCCTTCAAAATCCGTCAGCCAGGTGCAAAATGCGCCTATTGGCCACTTGCAACCAAGTGAAGATACCTGGCACTAGGATGGCACCTGTCATCTTCACCATCTGGAGGTGTCTGCCTGGGGATCCTTGGATCTTCACTCTTTTCACACACTAGCAACACATCCTGTAGAATTCTATTCGTTATATTTTATCTGCACAATCAGAAACTGAACAGAATTGTTCTTGCCAATAAGTGCAAGAACGTAGTCTTGTTAACTCTAAGTTCTTGCACTTAACTGACAAATTTTAATAAGCTACCATGTCCAGATGGTATCATAATCTGTTTGAGTTCACACGGACAAAACTTGACCTGCAAGTTTCTCCTAAAATTTGCTTCTGTAACACATTACTGGAAAATAGCCATTGAAACACTGATCTTTAGAAGCAGATCAAGGAAGCAACAGTCCAGTTAGTTTTGTATCAGCACTGAGTAAATTGGTGGAAAGAATTATTAACGGTTCATTTTTAGACACACAGATGAACACGGTTTGCTATGGAAGAATCAGCATGGTTTGTCCAGAGGGAAATCCTCGTTCAGCATGCATTTGGAGCTCTTTGAAAGTGTCAGAAAACATGTAGTTAAGCGTGATCCTGCAGACTTTATTTATTTGGCTTTCTAGAAGATGTGATGATGGCCACTAGCATAGATGGCTTTAAAAAGGGATGATGTATAGCTATTGACAGCTGTTAGTAATGATGCCTATATGAAACCTCTGGATTTGCTGGAGAGAGGCAGTGGGAGAGAACTTGCTTTCTTGTCTTTATTGTAGACCTCCTAGAAGCATCTGGTTAGCTAGTGTGGGAAAACAGGATGCTAGAGTGACCCTTTGGACTGATCCAGCAGAGTTCTTATGATCACGAATGGCCAGGATTTCAGCAACATTAAGAGCTACTTTCCACATTTCGCCCCAACACGAGCACTTAATATTGTGTTGGAAAGATTGTGTACCTTGGAAGGGATTAAGACTACAGGAGTGCCACTTGTAGTGACATCCTGTTACCATCATCTGCATCATTAGGAGATGTGCTTGTAATAAATAGCACAAAATCACTATATGCATCATTTGTACTTTCCCCCAATACAGTTGGTCATATTTATGTAGGAAAAAATAATTTATAAAGTCTGGTGTCACACAAGTGGAAGCCCACTTGCACAACAATATTTATTCTTCCTTTCTCCAGCCCCGCCCACCTTTTCACAGAAATTGAGTCTACTTGTTTGTGGACACAATTGGGCAAGACCCTTTCCTCTTCTCACATGGTGGAGGAGGAGGAGAGGGAAGGGGAACATACAAACCCAAAGCTGGCTGTGGTTCATTCACTATCATTTAAAACATAGCTAGGGTCATCTGAACTAGGCCTTTAAAACCCACACAAGGATTCACCAGTCTCTTGTTGGCATCCATCCGTCTCAAGAGACAGTGGACGAGTCAAACCGTTGGAGAGTTCCAGCACTTGCTTTGGTTCTTAAGACACAAGTTTTTCTCTGTCCTTCCTACCAACACTTAATGGTCACACAACTCAGCCTTGTAATTAAATAACACATACTTCCTTTGATATGTAAAATATTTTGCATTCATTAGGCTGATTGAAAGCCAATTTTATGCAAATGCATCCAATAAGCCTGGTAAATATTTAGAACTGGAGTGTCAGACAAATGCAGTTCTGTGAGTCAGCTCGACTCACAACGAGATATTTGACTATCAGGAAGCATTTGTGTTTGAAAGATTACTGGCCCAAGAGTAGCATCAAGACAGACTGGCTTCTAAATTCATGAATCTAGGGAAGAACTGCAAGCAGCCCAAGCTGTTTCATGTTGGACATGAGTTAGCCGAGAAAAAATGCCTCTGCCGTTTCAAGAAGCAGATCTGGGCTTTGAGGAATTTTCATTTTCCACATGGAAAGAATCAGGAGCCTGGTATATATTCCATTTTGTGTTTACTGCCTTTTAAAAGCTTTGCTGTGTCTGTATGAGAAATGAGCCCCAGGAGCAAGAATCCTTCTCGAATATTTTTCTTAGCAGGCTGACTAGACAGCAATCCTTTCCTGCTGTTGCATCATGTCACAGCTATTCCAACAATTGTAATACTAATTAATTAAGCAATGAGCTGCAGCAAACATTGCATGTACTCAGAGTAGACCCATTGAAATTATTAGATAAGGCTAACTTAGGTCTCTTAATTTTATCAGGTCTACTCTGAGTAGGACACAACAAATTAGTCTTATAGCTTGGAAACTTGCCACATAATTTTGCTTGTAAGTTGAATAGTGTTTTGATGCAATAGCACCACCATTCCCTGCATGTTGAGGAAAGTGGCTAATTGAAGTGCTAGATTTCCTTTGCCAGTGTTGATTTCACAATCATCCTTTAGTTTCTCTAGCTAAATTTGAATGGTTAAGTTATTTTTTCCCCTGCTGTCACTAAGCCAGATTGTATCAAAAAGAGAAAGCCAGGTAATCCAATAATGAAAAGAGAATATTGGAGCTAGTTAGCATGTAACTTTGAGTTTGGTAACAATGACTTTTCAACTAGCTTGTGAAATAGTGCAGATGATTACGTGAATGCAAATACTATTTGTCTTCCAGCCCTGTACCTCTGATAAACGTTACAGAGACCTGGCAAGCAGCCTATTCAGTAGGAGCTGATCTAAGTTTTTAGTGCTCTTGCTTTCATCTTTCTTTTTCTGGCCAGTATATGCTACTTGCATATAAAAGTAGGAGGCCTTTAATACAATAACTACAGACTACAGATGCCTGTTGAACTAATAATAAATAATAATAATAAAAAATTTTATTTATATCCTGCCCTCTCCAGCCGAAGCCGGGCTCAGGGCGGCTAACAACAATAAAATAATACAACATTCTAAAATCATTTCATTATAAAATTAATTCAAATCAAATTGATGGCAACCATTGGGCTAGAGTTCTGTGAAGATTGCCAAAGGAGGGAGTCAGGCTGTGCCCTGGCCAAAGGCCTGGTGGAACAACTCTGTCTTGCAGGCCCTGCGGAAAGATGTCAGGTCCTGCAGGGCCCTAGTCTCTTGTGACAGAGTGTTACACCAGATTGGAGCCACAGCCGAAAAAGCCCTGGCTCTAGTTGATATATTCTAACTGATAAATTCTCATTTAACCACGGGTTATTAAGAGCTGGTAATGGGTTGGTGCAAAGGTTTACAACCCTTTTTAGTCCATGGCTCCCTTGACCAACTACATTCTTTCTGCAGAACCCCCGTGGGGCTCAGGAGCCCAGTTATGTCACCCCTTGCCTGCAGACCTGGCAGCCTCTCACCCTTTTTTGAACACCCTCCCTTGTGGAGTGTTCCCTCTGCCTCCTCTCTCCTCTTCTTGGGAGTCCTCTGGGCAGCCGCTCTTAGCTGCACCCCTCTGCCCCAAAGAAAGGTGCCATCACACACTGCCCCACAGGAGCCTGGGAAGAGGTTGCCCTCCAGCCTTAGTGACCCAGCGAAGACTGGCCAAAAGTGGATGTAAGGCCAGCACCTTACCTTGGGAGGCAGCAGCGGATGCTGCCAGGCCTGCATGGCGGAAAGGCTCTCCTTCAGCTCCGGGCACTCAGCTCCCAGGCCTTGCAGACAGTAAGCACAAGAAAGTCCAGCGTGGCCACGCCTGCCCGCCCATCAAGCCTTCCACTTGCCCATCCATTCCCAAAAACAAGGGCTGACGGAATGGCTGGCTGGGCTCCCTTGCCCACATGCTTGCTTACTCCAAGGCTGCCTCAGCTCCTGGTAACCAGCACCCCCTGGCCAGCCCAGAGGCACCATTCGCCTGCTGAGCTTGAGGCCAGGGCTGCTGCAACAAAAAGCTGTGCAAGACTTTGGGAGGCAGAGACACGAGAAGGCATCAGAGGAGGGAAGGAAGGAAAGGGGGACAGAGGCCAGTGTTGCCTGTGGCACCCCTGACCATCATTTAAGGCACCCTAGGGTGCCATGGCACACTGGTTGAAAACCACTGGGTTGGTGTGTCATGTGCTGTACACCAATAGTCATTAACTTTTTCAGACCAAGGGCTTCTCTTTATCAGCACCAGACTGTATACTCTTACACATTGAAATAAAGCTACTAAGTATATTCCTCTCTGTAGTAGGACCACATGCAAACAATGGAATCTTCTCCGTGCAATGATCAAAAGTAAACTAGCTGTAGTCTCCTTTGCATATGGCTACCTTATCCCCGTTTGTTTTTGCCTTCACTTTCATCTTAAGGAAAAACCCTAACAGCGAACAAAATGTTGGTGGTACTTAACTCGTGTGACTTGTTTTAGGTTGGAATACAACCTACATATTGGTCCTGACCCACTTGCTGAAGACCAGCCTACTACTAGAAGACACTTTACCATATAATTTCCTCATTTGTAGTGCACTTCTTCTCCCGTGATAGGCAAAAAATAGAGCCCTGCGTTTAATTTTATGTTCAGGAAATAGTATTGAAGTGATCTATTAAAATATGAATGAATAGTTCTGGTTTAATAGTTTGTGTTTAACATAACTGTAAAATGAGAGGATTGAATTGCTAGATATTTGTAAACTGGCCTTTCCAATAATCTTTTTGTTTTGAATCTCCTTTAAATTTCCTCATTTGTTGAAGTGTTCTTGTTCTGTATGTCTTTAGATCACATGACAATTCAGCTCAGCAAACAACTACTGCAGGGAGTACTGCTACCACAACAGCATCCACCAGTAGTTCTACAAATTCAACAAACACCAGCCCTTTTGGTTTGGGTAAGGCTCCATAGTGTTCTACAGCTTCTTGAATAAGAATGCTGCTTTTCCTAATGTAGTTCGGTTGTTTCAATCGTACAAATAACTTTTTCAAACATATTTATCTTGCTGTAGCTATATTTTTCAAGTAAAATTTATATTTGTATGTTTTATAGAAGCTGTTTCTTACTAGTTTTTAGTGAGTAGCCGTGAGACTGAACTGTTCTATATGTCTTTTCTCACCTTTAAATAAGGAGCTGTCGAAAAATCTGCTGGGTAGCTTAAGAGAATAAGAAGATGGGTGTTTTCCAATTGAGCTCTAGCTGGATATGATTATACTGCTGGATTACTAGATACATGTGTTCTCTTGAGCGAACAGATGTGTGTAGTCCTAGGAATAAATGGTTCTAGGTTCCTGGAGTCTGTAGTGAAATCCAGTGGTATCTACCAAAGGATCAAACACTGCAAGTGGAAGAGAGTTCCTCTCTTAATGCCGTCCCCAGAAGGTCTTCTGGGGTGTTTGTTTTTCTTTCTTCTTGTTAAAAGTCACAAATAAATATAAACAACAATAAACAGGTTCAGAGTGCACAGGAGATTAGAGAGGAATGAGAAACCCTATTGTACGAGTGGAGGTCTGATTGCACAACATTGGAGGTGTGCATACAAGTGTACATGTTTCAAGCTGTACTTTTCCAGACAGTCAATGGAATGGCCCTAGGCCCGGGGAGAGCTTGCTACTGTGTTCCTGCTTTCCTTCTGCGCACATTCTGCAGGACATACTGTGCGAACAGGACTAGTGAATATCAGGTTTCAATAAAAGGTGTTAGTTTTTTGAGTTGTCAAGACAACTGTAAAGCACTAATTAATAGTACTGAATGGCCCAGTGTAGCTTTTTCACTGAATAAAGGAAAACAAATGATAAACTGTACATCTTCTCACAAGTAGAAGGAGGATCTAATTAGCAGTTCAAAATATCAGTGGTAAACTGCTTTTAATACAGTTTAGGGTCAGATTAGTTATTACCAAGTTATTCTAGGCATCAATATACCAATGCCCCAAATCTGAGTACTAAAATCAGAGTATGTTTGGAATAAATTGTATAATATTTAGCCGTTTTGTACAATCCACCTTGATTTACTTCATTGCCAAAGTATGTTCAGTGCTGTGTGAAAGAATTGGTGCTATGAGTTCTTAACATGTAATTAATGTAGGTGGGAGAAAACTTTGGTGCAAATGTTTGGCTTCATTCAGTTAGTTTGAGATGTTCTGTTTGATAACGGATAGAGTGTATTGAATGTCCAAGAAAAGATAGAAGTTAAAACAGGAATTTTGTGGAGGGAGAGAGAGCTCCACTAGAAGTTTTTTCAATATTTAACCCTTCAAGAGATACATTCTGAATCAAAAGGATTGGAGCTTGCTTTTTAAAACTAACAGAATATGCCTTTTTATATATTTGAATATTGAGAGAAGATTAAGAACAGCAACTCCTTTTCTTCATGTAAAACTGAACAAACAAGTGTGTTGTATTGAATATTGTAACCCTAGATAAAATGTGGGTAAAAGCAAATTGCTGTCACAATAAAATTAGGGAGGGGAAGAGAATCCTTATTTATTTTTATTACATTTCTATCCTTGTTTCCTTTTGTGAAACTCAAGGCATACATGGCGTTTCCATGCAGTCACTGACCAAGACCTAGGCTAGCTTCAGCAAAATTGCTGCATCGTGGGTATACAGACCAGGCTGCAGGGGACCTATGCAAAACTTCCGCTCTCCAGAATTAGTTCTGATAAAAAAAAACTTCTGGTAGATAACATTTATAGGGTGTTATTGAAATATTCAGATACTTAGAATGCAGTCAGTTTTATCAGTGTCCTAGTCCTTATTTTCAGTAGACTTATTACTGTATTTTTTGCTCTATAAGACTCACTTTTTCCCTCCTAAAAAGTAAGGGGAAATGTGTGTGCGTCTTATGGAGCAAATGCAGGCTGCGCAGCTATCCCAGAAGCCAGAACAGCAAGAGAGATCACTGCTTTCGCTGCGCAACGATCCCTCTTGCTGTTCTGGCTTCTGAGATTCAGAATATTTTTTTTCTTGTTTTCCTCCTCCAAAAACTAGGTGCGTCTTGTGGTCTGGTGCGTCTTATAGAGCGAAAAATACAGTAGTTAGCCAATACTTCATAATACAAGTTGTCAATCAGTTGAATATGAAAACTAACACGGAGATAGAGTATTTTGGGGGTGTTGCTGCTAGAAAATGGTTTCTGTTGTTTTATGATACAAGAAACATTTGCACAAATAGAAACTGATCTAAGAACATGTTTAGAAAGTGCATTTTCTTCTTTCTCTCCCCCCACCCCCAAGGTGGTCTTGGAGGACTTGCAAGCCTGAGTAGCCTAGGCCTGAACACATCAAACTTCTCAGAATTACAGAGTCAAATGCAACGACAGCTCATGTCCAATCCAGAGATGATGGTTCAGATTATGGAGAATCCCTTTGTTCAGAGCATGCTTTCAAATCCAGACCTAATGCGACAGTTAATTATGGCTAATCCTCAGATGCAGCAGTTGATACAGCGAAATCCAGAGATCAGCCATATGCTTAATAATCCAGATATAATGAGACAGGTATGTGAATAGTTGATCTATAAAGAAGGTGTTTGCAGTTTGTATACTGATACATCTCTACACACTACAAATCCTGTGACATGTTAAACTGCTGAAACATTTGCTAAGAGTGTTTTTCTTGTTTTTGCTACTTTCCCAAATTAAAAACTTACTTCAATTGACTTTTCAAACCATTTAGCCCAGTAATGTCAACTATGGCTGGTTGTGACTCTCCCAAGTTCTTAGGCAGAGGCATTTTCCAGGTCTGCGTACCTGAGATCCTTTAATTGGATTTGCCACAGATTGAACCTGGAAACTCATGTGCTCTGCCATTGAACTAAACAGGTTAAGGCCCAGCACCATTCATCCTGACCATGTTGGATGATCATCCATGAATTCCTAAACAATATTGCCATGAATGTGCACTCCTCCATCTCCCCTGCTAATATTCTTAACTTCTTTATCGACTTTAAGAGAGAGTTGTCCACTTCAGACATAGTGGAGTACCCTGGCTTAATGCAAGGTAGTGTCTGCTCTGCTAGTATGTGGCAAAAAGAAGGAATGTAAAGTGCCAAACTTGAGGTAGCGCCTGTTATATTTTAACTACACTGTATACCTAGCGGTTCGAAAGCACGTCAAAGTGCAAGTGGATAAATAGGTACCGCTCCGGCGGGAAGGTAAATGGCGTTTCCGTGTGCTGCTCTGGTTCGCCAGAAGCGGCTTAGTCATGCTGGCCACATGACCCGAAAGCTGTACGCCGGCTCCCTCGGCCAGTAAAGCAAGATGAGCGCCGCAACCCCAGAGTCCGCAACTGGACCTGATGGTCAGGGGTCCCTTTACCTTTACTTTTACCTTTACCTTTATATTCAGCAATCAGAAGAGCCACACAGCCAATTCCATGCATCCAGGGGAGCTTTGGACTTAGTTTTGCTCAAATACTTTTGAAACTGACTAATTAAAAAAGAAAAGAAAAGCTTAATACCAGCTGGGTTGTAAACATTTCTTTAAAAATATGTCCACTCTACATTTGCAAGCCTCTGAGCACCCCTAAAGTAGCTCATTGGACCCCAGTCTTAGACCTTTAAGAATAGTTGTATTTCTAATGTGAACTATTTTATTTCCCAGACTTTAGAACTTGCTAGAAACCCTGCAATGATGCAAGAAATGATGAGAAACCAGGACCGTGCCTTGAGCAACCTTGAAAGTATACCTGGTGGTTATAATGCTTTGCGACGCATGTATACAGACATTCAGGAGCCAATGCTCAATGCAGCACAAGAGCAGGTGAGGAGGACTGGTGGTGAGGGCCCAAGCTGAGTTAAAGTGTTTTACCTCAGGTACAAATAAGGATTTGTCCCTGCTTGGATTCTTTTTTCTTTAACCTTTGTTTCATTCAGAGCTGCTGCCAAAAACAGCAACCACGTGTTGAGTGCTCTTCCCACTTCCTGTAATATTTCAGTACATTTGACCTTTGCCATTTCCCTGCCAGCCACAGTCAGTGATGTGGACTGGGGATGGGAGAGCATAAGACATGGTTTATTTATCTGTTAAATTTATACCCCAGCCTTCCTCTCAAAGGAGTCCTGGGTGACCAACGTATGATAAAAAGTTAAAAATAAAATTAAGCAGCTTCACGACACAGCTAACAGTGTCTAAATGTTATATATGATGGGGGAGAATGATCACAAGGCTGCTGTTTTTCAGCTACAGCCCAATAGTTCTGGCCTAAGGTGAAGAAATGGTTCAGCTTTAAATCTGTCATTTTATTTCCTTGGTGCTTCAACAGCTTTGGAGTACAGTGGTGCCTCGCAAGACAAAATTAATCCGTTCCGCGAGTCTCTTCGTCTAGCGGTTTTTTCGTCTTGCGAAGCAACCCTATTAGCGGCTTAGCGGATTAGCGCTATTAGCGGTTTAGCGGCTATTAAAGGCTTAGCGGCTAAAGGCTATGCGGCTAGCGACTTAGAAAAGGGGGAGCGAAAAAAGTCTCAAGACTCGCAAGACATTTTCGTCTTGCGAAGCAAGCCCATAGGGAAATTCGTCCTGTGAAGCGCATTGAAAAACGGAAAACCCTTTCGTCTAGCGGGTTTTCTGTCTTGCGAGGCATTCGTCTTGCGGGGCACCACTGTATAACATTCTGCTTTAAAAAAATGATGGTGGTTCACTTAAGTTACATCAGATCATGGGTCAGACTAAAAGTCTGTCTAGTCCAGCCTTGTGTTCTCACTGTGGTCAAGCAGGTATTCGTAGGAAGCTTGCAAGCAGGGGATGAGTGCAGCAGCACTCTCCCACGTGTGTTCTCCAGTAACTGGCACTCACAGGCCGACTCCCTCTGACAGTGGGGGTGGCAAGTAACCATCACGGCTAGTAATGATAGCCTTATTTTCCGTATACTTGTCTAATCTCCTTTTAAAGCCATCCAAGCTGATGGTCATTACTATATCTTGTGAGACTGAATTCTATAGCTTAACTCTGCGCTGTGAATCTCTGGATGGCCAGAATCTTTCAACTTTCAGCTTCGTTGGATGGCCTTCATTGGAAGTACTCGAAAATGACTAAAAACGTTGCTGAATGTTTTGCCTTCAGATACATGCCCTGCTCCTCAGTTGCTTGTTCATATGGTGTAATGTGCTCCATCTGGACAACATCTGGGGACTACAGGTTTCCCATCTGTAACTTAAACTGCACCAGGCAAGGAAGTGTCCCAAATTAGTTTTGAAAGGTAGCTCATAGTAGGACTCTAAAACAAGAAGAAAACTCATTACAGGCCTTATTGGCTGCTTATGGTGTGCTGTAGGAACTATAAAATAATGGGACCGCTAATCTTGACCATGGCCACTACAAAATCTTGCACTGTGGTCTTGAGCAAGCTGTTGGCAACTCTTCCAAGGACCACAGTTCTTTAACAAGCAGCAAAGCAGTGCAGTCATGGTCATGCACCTAAGTGTGTATTCAGGGACTGCTCCAAAGCAAGTTCTGTTGAATAAGAATGCCTCTCCTTAATCCTGTTTATCCATAAGCACTTTTCTTTTGTAGTTTGGGGGCAACCCATTTGCTTCATTAGTAAGCAATTCATCAGGTGGAGACAGCCAGCCATCTCGCACAGAAAACCGAGACCCATTGCCAAATCCTTGGGCTCCTCCGTCCACCACACAGAGCTCCCCAAACAATAGCAGCAACAGCGGAGACAGTGGGGGAGGCAGCAGTGTTGGAAGCAGCAGCACTGGAAACACAGGGCAAAGCTCAACAATGCCGAATTTGGGACCAGGTCTAGGAGGTATGTTCACTACACAGCGGTTATATCAGCTTCCTTGCAAAATAGTAGCCCCCAAGGGCATGGCTGTTAGCTCTTTTCTCAATTCGGTTTGGACTTCAGCTTCAATTATGAGTTAAATGTAACTTTTCAAGGAGTAATGGCTACTGTCCACTACAAAGCAGCCACAATTTGTTGGCTTTTCTTTTTGCCGTTGACTTGTGTGTCACTTTGTTAACTCACAACTGGTACCGCATCCCTGAATTGCTGAAAGTTGTCTCCTCCTCTTTAAAGCTGGCATGTTCAACACACCCGGAATGCAGAGCTTGTTGCAGCAAATAACAGAAAACCCACAGTTGATGCAGAACATGTTGTCTGCCCCCTACATGAGAAGCATGATGCAGTCATTGAGCCAGAATCCTGATCTTGCGGCCCAGGTAAGTCCTGAAGTGCATAAAGATTTGGAATGCAGTGTTGTTGCTGGTATGGTATCCTATCCTGGACATCTACAAATATATTTTTCCAAGTCTCTCATTTTATCCAAATTGTCATTCTGGAAGGGCTGTAGCTCAGAGTTAGAGAGTATGGTTCAATCTCTCTGACATCTCCAGGTAAGGATAGGAATGTCCCCTGTCTGAAGCCTTGAAAAGTGGCTGCTAGTGAACTGAGCCAGATTGACCAATGGTCTGATTTGGTATAAGGCGCTTCCTGTGTTCCAACATACTGATGGGATGTTACTGGATTATTGGTTGTAGCTGGAGGCTGTTCCAAAGCTTTTTGTGCTCCTTGGATAAATTGATGTAGACTAGCTTTGTAAACAGGATAAACTTGTACATAGCCAGATCACCACCAGCAACAAAAACTTCAGCTACACTGGCTCCCAGATTGTAGACATGATCCATGTGGATCCCACTGGTCAGTCCGTCCTGTTTTAAACCCTATAACATCAACACAGTTGTGCAGATTCTCTGACTATCCTGTGGCTGACAACTTCTGTTTCATTGCTCCTGACTTCTGGCTGCTCTTGGGACTGCTACTACTAATTGCCTTTTCTAGCAGGTCTAGTCAACTGGGTTTTTGTTTTTAATCTATTCTGCTTTTCAAGATAACTCCTTACAAAGTAGCTTACAAAACTCAAAAGCAGTATCGCATCTTGCCCTGCTTGGGGGCCTTTTCTCCTGCACTTCAAACTGCATCCTGTAGCTCATTTTTGGTGGTTAGATGTTTGTCTTTCTGAGGAGCCAGCAAAATGTGCTGAAGGATCAGGTTGGAGGGAACAAAAGCTGAACCTTGCTGGTACATAACCCTCACCCCACCCTCTGCACCCCTGGCTCCCTTTTTGTTGTTCTTTTTCTTTGGCTGTGCTTAATTTTGTAAAATGCTCTCAGACACCCATCATTTTGAAGAGTATGTATGGGAAAGCCTTTATCAGAAACCAGTTTTTCAATACCAGGCATGTGTGAAGCACTAGTATCCCTACTTATCCCTACAGATGATGCTGAATAACCCTTTGTTTGCTGGGAATCCTCAGCTTCAAGAGCAAATGAGACAACAAATTCCAACTTTCCTTCAACAGGTAAGCCACCTATTAGGTTCTTATCACAATTCTTTCCTTAAAATGATTCCATTCTTAATCCTAAATGGTTACAAAGGTTGCAAACCACTTTGTGGTTGCAAAGGTGTAGAACCATCATGCAACCACCCAAAGCATTTTACTGGTCTCCAGGGGTTCATGCATTTGCACATATTTCTATAACCAATTGTTACCAAATGATCATTTTGACATGTCTGCACATGTATGACGCATCACTTGTTTCTCTTAATAGATGCAGAACCCAGATACGTTATCTGCAATGTCAAATCCTAGAGCTATGCAAGCTTTGCTACAGATTCAGCAAGGTTTGCAGACTCTAGCAACAGAAGCACCAGGACTTATACCTGGGTAAGAGTTGGCAAGATTTTTTATTTTCATAGTCTGACTATAAGTTTGCACCCATAACATAGATGTACTAAGCTGCTTGCAATTTAAGAGTTTGGCTTCTGAATTGGTAACTAATTTTTAGTAAGGAATAATTTGAGATTCTGATTTCATGAAGAATTTGATACTTGGGTGTTCCTTATTTGTGTTACAAATAAAATTCTTGTTTGGGTAAACTGAGGTACGATTCTTACCTCTCGGGTATAAACAACTTGAATGTGTCTTCTATTTTGTGCAGATTTAACGCTGGAATAGCTGGATTAGGAAACTCTGGCTTAGGAAGTGCTGGACTAGGGAGCACTGGCCTTCCTACTGCAACAGCCGTGCCCACTTCCGTCCCAAATGAAATGACAAGTCCAGCGTCAGGAACTGGTGAAACTGGACACCAGCAGTTTGTTCAGCAGATGTTGCAGGCTCTTGCTGGAGCCAACGCTCAGGTAACAGTGTTATGTTTTTATTTCTCTCCTATTGTATCACTAAAATAAGCAATCAGCATATACAGCTTTCAAGTCTATTCACCGAGAAAGCTGCAAGTTTTGTTGATGAAACAATACCTTTTGTTTTCTAAACCACTGTCCTATGTAAAGCGCCCTTTGCTCAAGATTCTGCTTAATCTTTGGGTTCTACAAGTATCTTAGGACCCTGACTACCTCCCTGAAAGATGTGTCCTCATTTCCCATGAGATGGCTGGACTTCTTGCTGATGAAGTCCAAGTAGCATTGTATTCCTTGAGTTAAATATATAGGCATATCTGAAGTTTGGCCCCTAAAACCTCAGCTTCAGGAACTAATTGAAATACTTGATAGCCCCAGTGAAAATATCAGTGTCAATGTCCTCAGAATAGGGGGGAACCTTTGAATCCTTATAACTTTGAACCTGTCCATCCTTCAGCAACTGCTCCAACATTTTTCATTTCTGCCTGTTTAGAAAAATAGTTATTTGCAAAAAGACTGGCTGAATTTATTTTTTTCTAACTTTGGCTCCTTCTTTAGTTTTGCATGTTGGGTAGACATGTTTGTACAGAAATAACACCATTTTATCTTTTTATCTTTTTAGCAATTACAAAATCCAGAAATCAGATTTCAGCAGCAACTGGAGCAGCTCAGTGCAATGGGCTTTTTGAACCGTGAAGCAAACCTACAAGCTCTAATAGCAACAGGAGGTGATATCAATGCAGCCATTGAAAGGCTACTGGGTTCCCAACCATCATAGCAACATTTCTGAAACTTGAAAAATGTAATTTATTTTTGATAACAGCTCTTAAATCTTTAAAATACCAGCTTTATTTCATTCTGACTCTTGGGAATTGTCTTGTTCTAACTAAACCCAGTCTGATGCATTAAGGTGGAGTGCAGTAGTTTTCTTCGAACAGTGGGAATCAATGCTTTTCACTTGGTTGTTGCATGCATCAAACACTTCTTCATTCTGCATTTATTGTGATTTTTTTAAAAATGGAAATTGCTTATACAGTTGGGTGACCAGGTTTTATCTGACCTTCAACTGTCCAATTTAGTTGCTTCTTAAACATTAGCCTTTGATAGTAATTTATGTAGAATACAAATTAAAGAGGAAACTAATTGAAGCTATGATTTGTGGGTACATATTGCTTATTGTGACTTGGCATGTCTCTCTTGCTAGGAAAATGCTGTAAGATTTATACCACTTGATTTAGCTACTTTCTTGCTCTTTTGTCTCTATAAAAAAAATGTATAACACGGAAACAATATTTTTCCAAGCAAATCTTCATCTCAAAGCCAGAATAAGTGAAAGACATGAGACACCGCCAATGGAGTAGAATCTTACAGCATCTTTAGCAAGTATCTCTTAGCAGAAGTGCTTTGGCAAATTCTTTTAAAATACTAGGATTGCTGACCTGATCTTTACAACTGTACAGAAACCTGCATTGTAACATTGTCTCAAATATTCACAAGGATTGATTGTAAATTACCTTCGTCTTTGTGCAGATTGAAGGGAAGGGGCACAGCCTTTTGCTCTGAAACTGCTTTTGCCTAAAGCTCTTTGGCTTCCCCCTTGAGATTCTAACTTGCATTATGATTTGTAATTGGACGCATACTTTCACTGACACTGTCATGTGATATTCTAATTACTTTTAACCACCATGTAAAAATACTGTATATCTTTTGGGTTTTTATTGGTAGTTATTTCTCTTGTGCACAGGTAATAAATGAATTAAACTTCTTTGTGAGCAATTATTTGCAGTCATTTTATCCCTAGCGGCAGAAATTCAAGTCACCATATTAAAGGCTGGGACCATCTTTGTTCATCTTTCCCTTAACAGTAACTTGCATTTGGAGTTCTTTTCAATACGCTATGATGAAGATTATTGTCATAAAGCAGGCCTCCCTCACTGGTGTGAGCTCCTAACATTCTGCCAAACATTTTTAAAAACTGTTACTAAGGGCTCCATGTAGGCATTTCTGATGTTCTATACCAGCAGATGTGTTCCTGAATCCTTTTCTTTGGAGACCCCTAAACCACAGGAAAGATGGTTTTTACTGGAACTCTTCTTGTAAGAATGATAAACATCATGAAGTGGCTCACTTAAGATGAAAAAATCATGTAAAAAATGTAAATTACTCATTTTAACCTACATCCCTGCATCTAGGTTCATTTAATAGAAAAATGTGGAGTTGCATTTTAGGGTGTGCCTGTTATTATACCACAAGAGGGCACTCTTTATTTGAATTTCAGTGAGACTTGAGTAGTCAAAACATGAAGCAATTGTTATAATAGTAGCTGGGATGAGTTAAATGTTCAGATTTCTCATTAATAAAAAATCTGCCTTTGCTTCCATGAGGCAGGCTCAAGTGAAGCAAATGTTTTATCACCTCTAGGGTTTTTTATCCCTTCCCAATTTTACTTTGGTGACATAATGGCTCTACAAATGTGAGAATCTCTATTGCTAGAAGTATTGAGGTCATGTATTTCAATTTGTTTTAACTTGTTTTATATGTGTTTCAAACAGCTGTATGCAGCTGGCTAAAAACATTTATTACATAACTGGTTAGATTTTCACACTGGGTGGTATCCATTGCTAGTCACTCAAGTAGACCCGCTGGAATCAAGTAAGTTAAACCAATTGTATTTGGTCTACTTGAGTATGACTTATTTGGCTACCCCCATTTCCCCAAAAGCAAATTAAAAGTGTGTGCCCTAGAAATTTCTTAATGTTCTATTGAAGTTAGTGAGTCATAGGCTGTAGACAGTGGTTAATTTCAGCTGGTAATGGAGCACAATTTCATGTCAAAGAATGTGGCTTGTAGATTAGAAATTGTGTACCTTATCAGAGTTGCAGTATCAGAGACTTTTCACACTTTGCCCTTGGAATGCTTTAGAATTGTTGGAGGCAAAATAGTTATGGCTTAGAAACTTAAACACTTACTAAAGAGAAAAAATGCCGAAGTTCCCTTCATAGCTGACGATCAGTACAACTAATGATGGGATGATTCTAGAGTTAATATCTGTATATTATGAACATCTCTGTTGTTATGACTTGTGTGTGACTTGGTACAGTCACGATAATACTGACAGACACACAAACACACACAGAGAGAGAGAGAACTAAAACTATATCCACATCCTTTGTTTTTAAACATCTGTCAGCTGCTATTTCCAGTTTTTGTGGAACTCTGCAATCTTAACTCGTGGAGGTGGTAAACATGAGTCTGCTGTCACTTTAACTGCAAGTGTTTTGACTTGTGCCACTTATTTTGCACATAACTCTGCTGCTGCTGCAGAACTAGAGACCAAGCACTTCCCCAGTTCCACCTTATTCTCCCATCTGTTCTGCTGCCAGTTTCCTACCACTGTAAGGATGAAAAATAGTAGTTGTTGCCAGCTCAAAAGGTTGTGTGTGTGTGTGTGTCTGTGTCTGTGTATATATATATATATAGAGAGAGAGAGCGCGAGTCAGAAATAAGCCTTCCCTCATCCGACACGTGGAACTGTGCTTCCCTCTTCTGTTGTAGTTCCTGGAGTCAATTGAACTTTTTAGGTCAGTCTTAAGTGCTTTACAAAATCCTCACAACTCCAGCTTGTGTACAAAAGTTAAATATCATATGACTTAAAATGTCTTTTATTTTGTGCTCTTCACAAGGGGGGGGAGCCAATGCATAAAATTCTACTTCTTAATTAAAGAGAAATTGTAGGAGCGATGTCTTTGTTTTGAGATGGTATTGTAGTGCAGGAACCAACTTGGTACAATTAACAATTCAAGTTTTTAATATATTCTTCGATTTCAGATACAATTTCTGAAGCGGACTTTTCTAAACTGACAGTAATAGACTTTTCTGGGGGTGATGGAGGTTCGAGAGTATCAAACTGAGACTGGAGTAGAGCAGGTGGCATAAAATGTCCCTTTCTCTTCTCCAGCCGTTTAGCAATTAGGCTCATAGGGCCGGCTAAGTGGACAAAAAGGATATTTAGTGATGGAGGTGTCTCATGTTCCTCTAGGTGACCACAGTCACCACCAGTCCCTCTGTTCTCCAAAATGCATCTATACATTTTTTTCAGGGCTGAGCAGGCTAAAATTGCATTCTGTCCTGATGCTTGTTCCCTACAAAAAGGAAAAAATATTATTACTTGCACACCTCAGTAAAATATTATGCACATTGTGATTAAGCTTCCTTAGGACCGAGTTTAAGGAACGGCCCAGCTAGTTTGCACTACCTTCAAACACATATAGTATTTCTGAATTCTCGCTCATGCAACAAGCCCCCTGCATGTAGAAAGGAAGCTAGGGTAGAGTATAGTAGTTTTTCCACAAGCAAAAATAGTGACATGGGGGAGCATTTAGTCATGTATTCCCCCTCACATACACAAGTGGTATCATCCCCATTAGGGCTATGTTGTATGATCCTTCCTGCAATTAAGCCATTTACTGTCAGTTTGCTAGATTACGCAAGAAGTTACCGCAGAACTAAGCTTTGATTCCAGCTCTCCAAGACCTCTAGCAGGGCTGGGGAACCTTTGGTCCTCCAGCTGTTGTTGGACCAGAACATCCCTCATCAATGGCTGTGTTGGGTGGGACTGATGCGAATTGGAGGCCAACAAAATTCAGAGGCCCAAAGGTTCCTTGTCTATAGTCCTACCTACTGGCTTTCTAATAGTTTGCTCTCACTATAAGCGGTTAATGTGTGTTACAGAAATCTGTCCTGCTAGTCATGGAAGCAGAGCTAAGTAAGGCATTTAAGACTGAGCTCTTGGCTACTGGAAATCCTATTCAGCTATATAGTCTTAGGGGCTAGAAATCTATCTTTCAACAAAACTTAATGCGCTCCATACTCCAGCAGCAGTTTTTGGCAATTGTGTGGGTTCTACAGCAGAATGCACAACACTAGTTTCAAGTTTCTTAAGATTCAGTCACTTTCATACCTCAATAATATGTCATGCAGGTGGCAAAGCCATGGGATTCTGTCCTAAGAAACAAGACAGACAAAACAGACAGGCTTAAGCAAATTCTGCCATTTTACCTGAAATAATAACGCCTAATACTCTCAGGTTTTCTGCCAGAAGTACATCATAGCCTCTTCATATTAACAGCAATCACAAATCATCATCATCACCATAGCCACATCTGCTTCAATATGAATCTTTAGTGAGGGATTGACTTCTGCCTGCTAGTTCACTTGGCTCAAATGAGTATGGCAAATACAATCAAAATGATTGATCAGCTTCTCAACCTAATCCAATTTAAGCTTTATATTGCCTGCAGATTTCTTTGTAATTGCTCAGCATTAAAGCTTCACCTTTCTGTCTAGCTTGTGTTAGGACAAGTTTTATAAATGACAGCTCGAAAGTCTGCCGGGCTGGGAAGGAGGTGGGAGACTGTTCATTCACTATGAAGCACACTCCTGTCTTCCATGCGGCTTTCACAGTTTCATGCCACCAGTTCATTCATCAGAAACAATCTGCTCCCTTCACCGGCATAAGCTTCGTAGTGTTGGCAAGGCCAGAAAAGAGACACCTATAAAAGATGTTCTTAGGTGTATCCTATGAACTGTTATTTTGAGGGTGATACTGCTCCTTGCGGTGACATCCTTAGTAAATCTTGAGTTTAGCCATGTGAAAATTGTATAGTAATGTGCACGAGAGATATGCTGGATGTAGCATAATCGTTTCATCCACTTATGCAAGGTAGCTATTTCTGTATATAGTATTAAGAAAATGGTTGCATTTTTACGTGTTATAAAAACGATTGCAAAGGTGTAAGTGGAGTCTGCTTTTGGCCAGCCACATTCCAAAACAGTGGCTGATATTCATATGTTCAGTTTCCTTTAAAAAGTTGCCTGTGATGGTATGTTATACAGTGGTACCTCGGGTTACATACGCTTCAGGTTACAGATTCCACTAACCCAGAAATAGTACCTCAGGTTAAGAACTTTGCTTCAGGATGAGAACAGAAATCGTGCTCCGGCGGCGTGGCAGCAGCAGCAGGAGGCCCCATTAGCTAAAGTGGTACCTCAGGTTAAGAACGGTTTCAGGTTAAGAACGGACTTTCTGAACGAATTAAGTACTTACCACTGTATAATATTTTTAGTTGATTTTCACTGGCAGTTCCTGTTAACTTGTGTACGTCGTTTGAAAAAGCACAGGCACTAACTGATATAAAGTGGAAGGAAGGAAGATCCATTGTGATGGATCTTTCTACTTATTTCTGGTTGGTAAAAGTATCCTGCAAAGAGGACTATTCACAGACAGTGTCTAGCAGTGTAGTCAAAACGGCTTCAAAGGAATTAAACCCAAAGAAGTAAGATTTATAGACCACGCCTTCGGAAACAGCTTCAGTGAGAACATTTTTACTTCACTGGGTTTGCACTTGTGTAATAAGTGGGTGTTTTTGTCTGCGGTCACAGCTCATCCAACCAAAGCAAGGCTGCAATCCTAGCCAATGTGGGGTAGCCAATGTGACTACAACTTCCACCATCCCTGATCATTGACCATGCAATATCTGGAGGGCATCACATTGGCTACTCCTGCTATGCACACCTGGGGAAGTAACCACCACTTGTTTCTGAGTTAAATGTGCATAAGATTATGCTGTAAATAAATTTTAAAATCCTACTGATTACAATGACAGAGTTAAACATATGCAATTATTGCACGGCTAGAAGTTTAGAATTTTTATAGCCAACTAAATAACTGCACATGCGGAACAGTTTCCACAACTTCAGTGAAACTTGCCTTCCCTCTACTTCCTCTGTGCACCCCCACAAATCTCTGTGTTTCCCCTAGCCCCACAAAGCAGATTGGTTAGGGGTGTGGGTGGCGTGCAAGGGCAGGAGAATGTGGCTCACGGAAGTCATTTCACGTGCACAGCAATTTAGCTGGATGCAACCCAGAGTTGTATAAGAGGAAAAACACGGCTCACCTATTCAAATGTAGCCGGGATGTTTACTCAGAAGTAAGCCTCCCTGTGTTTAGTGAAGTTCATTTCCAAGTTAAGTGTGCACAGGATTGCAGCCTCAATTCAACAGACAAAAGAAAAAGAGTTCTTGGTCTGCTGGCACAGCAGCAATCCATCAGAGCCCAAGTAACCTGCAGATTATGGTTGACTGGGATGTGGGAGGCATACAGAGGTTTCCTGTTCCCCCTAATTGTAAACACTTTGCTTGTTCACAGGCAGCTGAGAAGGGAAGATGAGGCTTCTCTGTCTACAGATGCCGTATTCATGGTGGATAGTGAATAATGGTTATATGAAAAAGGACAATGGTGTGTGCACATGTGTCCATGCAGCTACTCTGCAATCCATTTAACTGGGTTTACTGTTTCAAAGAGTTCTTTGGCTTCTGGAGTATATGCCATACCTGGTCATTCAGAGGTATTCCTGCTGCCATTTTCTTTCTGTTCTCTTCTGGATGGTAGTCGTCGCCATCATAGAATTTCCATCCGAGCTAAATAGGAATTATAATTAGGGATTACTTCATCTTAGTTTTGCAGCAACAAATCTTAGCAAACACACAATAAGGATTACACAATCCTTATGTCACAAAATGAGTCACCATTTATATCGGCCTTCCTCAACTTTGGGTCTCTGGAAGTTGTAGGACTCCTATCATCCCTGACCACTGGTCCTGCTAGCGAGGGATGACGGGAGCTGTATTCCAACAACATCTGGGAGACCCAGGTTGAGAGGGGCTGATTTACAGTCCTGGAAAAAGAAAGTGCACATTCCATTCCAGGCAACCTCCCAGGGTGGGCAGGGCTAAAGGCAGAAAAGGGTGGAGCAGCTGATGTAAATTATGCCTTTGCACAGTGGGCTGGTTTGTATGCACACACAGCCCTCTCTGCATATCCAGGCAGAGTTACAGGGCACATTCCAGGCAGGCCAAAACATTCAAGGAAAGTGGAGTGGCTGGGGAAAGGGTGTGCCTTGCAGGGAGTCCCAAGGGTCAGGCAGAAGCCTGGGGGGCTGTCCTTTGCCCCTGGGCCTGAGGTCCTTCACCCCTACATAAACACTTGGAAAGCGCAGCAACAGACAATGAACCCATGTATGAAAAGTAATATATCAACGGTACCTTATCTCCCAGCTGGGAGCCCACAGTTGATCTGTAAAACAACACGGAGAAGTGTAAATTCTGTATCTGGAGAATAAATTCACTAGATAAAATCAACAGTCAATTCTATCTGTTATCCTGCCTATAAATGCCAGAGGACTATTATAAATCTAAAGTGGAAACTCTCAAGTGGGAGAATTATGTTGGTTATCTGGAGATAAACGTATCAGATATAAGTTACAAATGAGTAATATATGTAAGTGGGTGACTCACAGAACCTTCACTTCAATCAGCCTAACTGAAGTTACTATTCTAAACAAATGCAAATGTCCCAGCTGAAACAGAAATGAGTGTAAAATGCAAATTATTATTATTATTATTATTTATTAAAGTTGTATACAGCCCTATAACCATAGATCTCAGGGCAGTTCACACGATGCTGGCAGAATATAGGAGCTGACCAGGTCTCCTCATAAGGCACCGGAATCATCTTGCTCCCCATTCCTGAGGGAGAAGAAGAATGAACTAGTCCTGAGATGTGCTACTTGTGAGGTCTGGAGAGAGCTAGAAACACAGAAATGGCAGTAGCAGTGAAACGCTGAGCTGATACAAAGTTTATGAAAGTCATGGGTGGGATGCTAGAATGCAGAAAATACAACAGAAATAATTCATTATAAAGCAAGGTATTTGCATCTACCGCAGTGCTATTTTTCTAGAAAAAGAGGTGCCGGAACTCACCATGAATGCCTCCTTCGTTCTGTTATAATGGCAATGGTGCCAGAACTGAGTTCTGGTAAGTTTCCCCTGAAAAAAACCCCTTCAGCTAGGCAACTCATGTTCAAGTTGCAGGCCTGGGAAGCTTTCTGTCTATGTAGCAATGTTTGAAATGTAAAGGCAGTGATTGCTAAACAAGGTCAATGAGCCACATTTGGCTCTCCAAAAGGTTTTTTAGGTTCCCCCCAAAAGTCATATTTTAAATTAAATTTATTTATCACTCTTGCCAGTCGCCAGCTGTGATGCCATGATTCCCCCCTAAAAATTTTTTTAGCCTCTCTGCCCCCACCACTCCCAGCATGAGAGATGTACAATCATGGCTGATCCGTGGAACAAAGAAGCCTGTAATTGTAATCTTGACTCTACCACAACCTCTCCAGGTGGCCTTAAAACAAGCCGTATGTTTCCAACCTCAGCCCCTATCTATATCATGGGGAAAATAAGAGTGACCGACCTCACAAGGTTCTTGTAAGGCACACTGACATAATTTCTGTGAAGTTCTTCAAACACTCAAAAACACTGAATAGATGCTGTTGTTATTAGAATAGATATCCATTCCACCACTGCAAGTTTGTGAGGAAATATTATAAATTGCAGCACCTCTGGTAAACTTCAAAGTCTCCACACCTTTTCCCTCTCCCCGCCACCCAAAAGCAGCAGACTGTCTTTCTAGTTCATACCACTTTGCATGAGGCTCCCAGCAATATTTTCAACCATAACAAACCAATTTCAATTTTCTCATTGCTGAAGCACAGAAAGAATAATGTACATTGTCACACACAGACCCAAAAGCTGAGACAGGCGAGTCAAGACGCTTCACAGAGAGACTGAACATCTGAAGAGTCTTCAGGCTGAAGTCCTATAAACACACTTGGGAATAAACTCCACTGTAACTAAGGGAGGAAACTTTCTAAGGGGGGAAAATGCATAGGATTGAGTGCAAGCTAGCCAGTTTTCGGGTTGGTGCTTAATCCTGAACTAAAATAGAGCAGGAGCTAGAGTGCTGGAGACAGAGGTAACTTGGGTTCAAATTCTGTTGTAGGTGTAGTCGAGGCCTGTCTTATACCAAGTCAGGCCATCGGTCCATGTAGTTTAGTACTGTCTGCACTGAGTGGCAATGGCTTTCCGGGGTTCAGACTTCTGTCTTTCAGGGATTGAACCTAGGAGCTTCTGAATAAAAAGCTTACACTGCACCACAGTCACCTCCCCCCCAACCTCAAAGAATTGTTGTTCTTGGTGTCTGCATTCATGCTTATGGGATCTGCACTAGAGATTGCTAAAAACTGGCACTCTTTCCCAGAATAGTGAGGTACCCTTACATTAAAAGGATTACATTAAACTGCCCAGTTCTAACCAGTGTGCAGTAGCACATTTTCTGCAACAGTATATTCCTGTGAAGATCGCTGTGTGGCTTTGGACAAGTCTGCCTCCCTCAGTCGAACCAAACTCAGAGGATTGTTGCAAGGGTAAAAGCAGGAAGGAGACTATGTATTCTGGTGGGAAACAAATGCTAAATAAACCAACAACAATATTGTCTTTTTTTGCACTCTTTAGTGAAAACTGATGATTGTGTCTGCATCATTGAGGCTGCAACTCTATACACACTTACCTGGGAGCAAGGACCACAGAATTCCCTGATTAGACATGCATAGGACTGCGCTGCTAAGTGACCAGCACTCTTGGTGTGTGCAAATTGCCACAGATAGAGGATACTGCCTCTGATCTCCTTTAACATGCCCTGTATAAGCCAATCAAAGGTTAGATATCTGTCCCCAATTCTACATAATGGGAGCTTGAACAATGCAAAGTGTCAGTGCTATTATCGGGTTATGATCATTTATAGTCTTCCTTTTGCTACTGCGGCGAACCGAATTTTTTCAAGAGGTTGCCGTGTCTTCTGAAGCAGAATACTTATCCTAGGCAATGACATGATTTGTACAATAGTTGTTCTTCTGTCTGTATGTTGAATAGGCTGGTCCTTAAGAGTGAATGGGGCAATGCCCCACCATTGTCAGCCAGCCTCCACTTCCTCCTTACATCCAGGGTATGGCACTGCCTGACATCTGCTTTAGCTGAATTTTGCTTTAGCTGACATTCCTGCATCGCAGGGGGTTGGACTAAATGACCCTTGGGGTCCCTGCCAACTCTACAATTCTATGATTCTTAGATTCCTAATCTCAGCGCTGCCTTTGCATAACTCAGCTGGGAGGTGGATGGGTGCAAAATTAGAATTTGTTGGCTTTGCCTGTTATTGGCCAAACTCAGCCTGCTGGTGGTCTCTCTGCTTTCTGCCCTACCAGCCACCACTATCAACAACAACAACAACAATAATAATAATAATAATAATAATAATAATTTATTATTTATACCCCGCCCATCTGGCTGGGCTTCCCCAGCCACTCTGGGCGGCTTCCAACAAGATATTAAAATACCATAATACATCAAACATTAAAAGCTTCCCTAAACAGGGCTGCCTTCAGATGTCTTCTAAAAGTATGGTAGTTGTTTATCTCTTTGACATCTGGTGGGAGGGCGTTCTGCAGAGCGGGCGCCACTACCGAGAAGGCCCTCTGCCTGGTTCTCTGTAACTTGGCTTCTTGCAGTGAGGGAACCGCCAGAAGGCCCTCGGCGCTGGACCTCAGTGTCCGGGTAGTACATATGCTTCAAGATTTGACGAGATCTGTAAAATCCTATAGTTCCATAGCTGTGTAACTGTGAATGACTGTGCCAATAGCCAATGGTATTCAACACATGAACGTGACTGAGGGGAGCTGTATGTTTCCTCTACCCTATTCTAGTATATGCTTCAATAGGACTAGCATTGCCCTGCAGAATCAGTACAACATGGAAGATTGCTACAGTGCTTGCATCAAATTTTAGTGCTAAAGGCCAATAAAGCAAGTCTCAGTCCATGCAAGCTTACATTCTCTTCCCACGGAGCCCTGCTCTTTCTTTTATTCTTTGAGAAGTATTTGGCCAGCCTTGCTTTGAAGAGATCCCCAAGCAAACAGCAATTATTCACATTTAGTAAATAACCCTATATATAAAACTGATGTACAAAGAGTTGCTCCTGCGAAGCAACACTCTCTCAACGTGCAATTTGAACAGTACAATTATGGCAAGAAGGCCTATTAAAATACATACTGTCTCTTCCAAAGTAATATTTGGTAATAGGTTATCAGATTAGTTTTGACATGCATGTGTGGGTGTTGAACACGCCCACAAGGGTTTCTTCATGCAGCATGGAATTAAGTTTTCACATCACAAGCTCCCCAACATACTCTGGGGGGAAAGAAAGCTGCTTTAAGTGCACATATCAAAAGCATGCAGATATGCGAGTTCATTTGGTGGTATCTGAGCAACCTGTGGAACAACGACTAGACCTCTGCAATCAAAACATTTTTCACTGTCATTCTAAACACTGTTGTTTTAGCCTGTGATATTGCCAGCACCACATAATGTGTTTTGCCATCTTGTGCTAGCAAAGCTGAAGGAACACCCAGTTTCCACACACAGATTATCACTATCCATTAATTAACTGATTAAAACATTGCATTATTGAAATGTAAGTGATAGTTTGAAAATATGGAGTGAGGGCCTTATGATTTCCAGTGGAATCTTACACATCTACGAAAAAAGTCATTGTGTTCCTTGTAGTTTATTCATAGGAAACTGTGCATAGGATTGCAGGTGCCTTCAGTGGACTACCGAATCAATCCTGCCAGCCTACCATTTCCACTCCTGGAAGAGTATGCATAATTATGACCTGAATCTATAGGTTGCCCTTCAGAGAGTTCTGGGGACCTGATTCTACATTCATCTCTGCCTCAGAGTAACTCTCAGAACTGCTGGGCACACAGACACTTCACCACAGCAAGGGGAACATGATTGTTGCAGGGCTTACAACAAAATCCCTCCTCCCCACAAATGGCTGCTTGCCACCGTTTTTCCTGACCAAGGCTCTGTGGCTTTAACCTGACAGGCAGATGTTCAAGAGGTATGGCTTCCCTAGCATGGAGTTGCAGCGAGACAGAAAAGCTGTCATTTTTTGCCTGTCCAGTAACATAGCCTCTGTCAGTATATATTTTAATGGCTCCCCTTAAGAGCCACGGTGCTTGATATAAACCCACATTGGACATTCCCTAGAGTAAGAATGATTAGAATAGGGTTTGGATTAAACAAAAACAACTTTAGTAGCTACTCTGTTTTAGAAGGGGGGACATTGCAGTCTATGGAAGAACAAACAAGGAAGGACATTTGGGAAAGAGGCTCATATAGCCTTCCCACACAATGAAGCAACAATAATTGTGAAATGGATTGTGATGTCTATGCTAAATACATATGCAAAGAGTGAGGAGGTATGATGTAATGTGGCAGTTAAGTGTGTGTAATCCAGGAGCCTTCTGTTTAACTGCAAGATATTTTATGTAAATATATGAGAATTCAGTGCACAAATTTTAATGGGCAGGATTCAACTAATGAGTCCTGTCCGCCAAAGCCCTGCACACAAGGATCTCCGCTTGCACAATGAGGCTTTTTCCTCCCTCGTCCTGCTGTGTTCCCCATGTTTTATGGGATTTCAGGAGAATCCTCAGAACAGCCCACGGGTGGAGAGGAGGGTGGATCATGCCATCCAGGAAGCCAAAACCCTCATCCCGATGGAACCATCAGCCTAGAACAATGTGGAATTCCTCCCTGTGCCATTTATTTGGGAAAGGGCAGAAAAGCAGCAGTTTTTAGCATGGCTGACAAATCGAGGTATCTGCAACTATATGAATCCAGCTATTTCTGGTGATCACCTGCAAAGCCCCTGCTACATGTTCCCCTTTCCCCGCAGGTATGGCAAGTGGGCCCAAGAGACAGAGCCTTTTCTGTGGTAGCACCAATACAGCAGAACAGACTGGCAAACATGACTGGATGCCTGGATATATCCTCTGTTCTCCTGCAACCAATGCCCTAGCCAGGGCTGGTTTACCATCTACGTCCCCCTCCAACTGCAGCAGCATTCATAGCTACAGCCGCAGAATGTGTGCCTTCTTGTCCCTCTCAGTTTGGCTGGGTAATGTGCGGGCTGCTTTGCTCTGGCAGCACCGCTGGGAAAGTGGAGCGAAAATGCTGACATGTTCTTGCAGGAGAGCGGACGGAGAGTCTTGCACCCATTTAAACTAGGTTAATTGTGAGATAAAAGACATGCTGGCGGTCACTACTGCCTGAGCAAGACATCCAGTGAATTTTCTTGAGGTAAAGTGCTTATGGGGCTGCTGTGAGAGGTGGGGTTTGGGTGGGAGGGCAAAGTACAGAAGACGGCTAAGAATTGAGTTTTTCTCCTCCCATCAAGAAAGCTCTGAAATAAGGCAATAACTGACGCCAAGGAGTTTCTGAAGCTGGCTAAAGACGGATATGTTATATGTTTGCAATTAATATGGAACTGGTTCAGAGTGGATACTTGTGTAATTAATGGCATTTTAATGTGCTGGTTTTTATAGAAAATATCTTTGTACTGCTGTGAATGGCTCTAGAATGATTGACGAAGAGCAGTATAGAAGTAGTTTTAAAAAACAAAACCAGACAAGATTTTAAAGATTTCAAATTGGTAACCTGGCAACTTCCCCAACTCCTGGCAGCTGAGAATGCATAGGCAGTTCTTTCCCACAGTTTGTCAACTTAAATCCTTCTTTCAGGGCAACAGCTGTAATTAAAATATATTCCAAACCGGTTTTTAATCTCCAGCTGAAAAAAAACAATAATTAGCCGGCTCTTCTATTCACACACCTTTGTTTATGTTTTAAATGGCCCGATTCCTGTTACTTCAGAGCAAAAGAAAAGTGAAAAGGACTTTGCTCAGTTAGCAAGCAGGCATTTGACCCCTTTTTCTTTCCTTGCTCAGCCACCAGGGACCGTTTCCTTCAGCTGCTCATTCCAGAGGGCACAAATCTCCCCGTGCCTGGAACTCACACACGTGTCCTGCGTTGCTGGGCATCCCCTCCAGCGGCAGCTCCTACACGAGCGTGAACCCAGCAAGTCAAGGCACGTGAGGACGGGGAACACGGGAGCTTGGGGGCACCTTTGTCTCCGCGCCTCGCCTCTTGCGCTTTCACACTGTTGCAAACCCCCCGGGGACCTGAAGGCGAAGGTCGGGTAAGGAGCAGCCCGGGAAAGGAGAACCACGCTGTGAACGTAGAGAAGACTGAAGAGACCTTTCGGAGCAAAGCTGCGAGAGGGAAGTTCTCGGAGACCCGGATGAGGAGGAGGGCGGCGGCGAAACGAGCTTCTCCTCCTCTCTCCCGCGCCCCTCGCCGCCCCCTGCCGCCCTCTCCCCCGCGCCCTCTACCTACTTCCCGGAGCCGCTCACTCCCATGACCACCAGCTGCAGCGCCATCACGCCCAGGCGGCTCCACTCCGGCTCCCCGGCCGCCTGCTCCGCTCCGCGCGGCCCCGCCTCGCCGCCGGCCCCGCCCCGCCCCGCGAACCTGGCCAAGTGCACGGGGCGCCGCGCGCGAAACGCCTCCGCTTCGCCCTGGCGGGCTGCGCAAGCAGCGCCTCAGGTGGACTCGAAGGGGCTCCGCTTTCCTGAGGCGCGGGGGGGGGGGGGCGTGCATCTTGCCCTTCCTCGCAGCAGCCAACTCCTAGGGGTCCCTTCGGCCGCCCCAATAAAATACTTGAGGGACCAGAATCCTCGAAGTTGATGAGCGTTGCCATTCAAATACAGTAGTGTGCGCGTGCCACGTCATGTGATTGTGTGGGGCGCCGCTTACCTCCCCCCCAATATTTTATTGGGGGGGAGGTAAGACCTCCCTGCCCCTCCTCGAAAGGAAGGATGGCTATCTGCCGGCTACAGTTGCCGAAAGGGTGCTAAGGCCTTAATAATAATAACGTGCAATAATAATAATACAGTGGTACCTCTGGATGCAAACGGGATCCGTTCCAGAGCCCTGTTCGCATCCTGAAGAGAACGCAACCCGCGTCAACAGGTCGCGATTCACCACTTCTGCGCATGCGCATGACGTCATTTTGAGTGTCTGCACATGCGCAAGCGGCGAAACCCGGAAGTAACATGCTCCATTACTTCTGGGTCGCCGCAGAGCGCAACCTGAAAATGCTCAACCTGAAGCAACTTTAACCCGAGGTATGACTGTAATTTTATTATTTATACCCCGCCCATTTGGCTGGATTTCTCCCAGCTGCTCTGGGCGGCTTACAGCATACAGTGGTAGCTCTGGATGCGAACAGGATCCGTTCCGGAGCCCCGTTCGCATCCTGAGCAGAACGCAACCCATGTCTGCGCATGCGCATGTCGCGATTTGCCGCTTCTGTGCATGTGCGTGACGTCATTTTGAGCGTCTGCTCATGTGCGAGCGGCAAAACCCAGAATTAATGCATTCCATTACTTTCAGGTCGCCGCGGAGCATAACCTGAAAACGCTCAACCTGAAGCAACTTTAACTCTAGGTAAGGCTGTATATAAAACATAGCAAAGTAACAAACATTAAAAACTGCCTGATACAGGGCTGCAAAAATTTCCCTCCGTTCTCTAAACAAGCCATGCAATGCAACCTTAGCAACCACTGCAATTATGGGCAAACACAAGGCTGGATTAAGGGATAGCTGTAGAGCATGAGACTTCTTGTCAGGATTGCCCCACATTGCGCAGAGGATTCCTGCATTGCAGGGGATTGGATGAAATGACCTTTGTGGTCCCTTCCAAGTCCATGATTCTAAGGTGGTTGGGGGTCCTGTTGCAATTCCTTAGGCCCTGGATGGGGCAGCCTGTGATTCCCCCCTCCCTTCCCTGCTGAACCCCAGCTCCCCTCAGCCCCAACGGGCAGCAGCGAGGGAAAGGGTCCAGTTTTGGTCTGGCATGAGTCTCAATGGGGCATGAGGCCTTTCCCCCCTAACCACTCGCCACACACCAGACCTATGAAGTAGAGGAGGTAGAGACCAGACTGGATCGACTGCAGAACAGGATTGGAGCACAAAGCTGCCTGGAAGTCACCGCCCATCAACTGATAAGTGGTGACCTGAAGCCTGCCCAGCAAAGTCCCAGCAGTCATCATCTGACAACAGGTGATTGAGAAGTGGGTGGCCTTGCCCCACCCACCTACCTGTCAAATGAGCTTGGGAGAGGTAAGGGAGATAAGGATCTGGCCTGCTGGCATCTGGAGGACCTCAGGGTCTCCATCCCTATACTAGGGATATAATCCTACCCACTTTGGAGCCCCTTGAGCCCGGAGGAAAAAACCCAATATCAGTTGAAGAAGGAGACATTTTGCAGTAGTTTCATATGTTAAGTTGGAATCATTACCATATGACAAAATAAAAACTAGGAATGCAACGCTGACAAAAGAGTATTCCAAGACTGGCTGCTAAAACATATTTTTTAAGCTGTTTTCTCCAAACTGGTGCCCTCCAGATGTTTTGTTTGACTACGATCCCCATCAGCCCCAGCCAGCATTTTTTAATAATAATAATAATAATAATAATAATAATAATAATAATTTATTTATACCCCAGCCACTCTGGGTGGCTTCCAACCAAACATTAAAATACAGTAATATTTACATACATTCCAAAACATGAGACAGCACCAGGTGAAGGCTGCTTTAAGGCTTGACCACAGAGTAATTACTGTAACAAGATTATTTGCTTTTGTTGCATGGATTATATTGCAGGGCAGTAATATATCTCAAAGGGAAGGAAAATGGAAGAGATTAAGACATTGACTCATTTTAGGCATGAAATCATTCATGTAGTGTTAAATTATACTCACAACTATATTTCTATTAAGATGCAATTTTTAATAATATCAAGAGTGAATTTAATTACTTTTCTTATAATTTCTACAGTTTGTAGTTTCTTATATACAGTTTCTTACAGTTTCCACAGTTGCCTATGATTTCCACCGTTTATTAGGATTATATGCAGGTTTATCTAGGAACAGCTGCATATCATCCTAAGAATAGAACAGATCCTCTCTCTGTCAATAGTGCACTCCTGATCAAATTTGCAGGAAATGAACTTCAGTGGAAGATTTAAAGCAAGCTCATAATTTCCCCCCATTTGGATGATGCTCAGGCAATAGCTGGAGAAAATTTAATTTTGCTGCCTTGATGACAAAGCACCTCCCTTTTGTTTCCAGACTTGCTTGTGATAATACCTGGGGCTTGGCTTTTTAGAAATCTTGGATTGAAATGGAATGCTTATCTATATATTTATTCATGAAGTCAAAGCCAACTTTGGATAATTTTTTGGACACTGTACTGTGGTCATAGATAGGCAAATGAAGTATCAAATTAAAGCACAGAACAAGGTTTGAAGAAAAATAATAGAGACCTTGTGAGGGAACATGGCAGTCCAGATGACCACTGGCTGTCAATGTCCTGTGCCACTTGAAGTTGCATTTTAATAATTATATTGAAGTAAAAACAGCTTTTTTAAAATAAAAAAAGTTGACACTGCCCTTCCTACACAGTGCAGCCTCCAAAATCTCTCCTCCAGATTGATTTTCTTTTCCAACTTTCACCCACTCCCAGTCTCCATGAAATTCAGCAACAAAACAAAACAAAAACAAGCAGCTGCTGCATGATATCCGATACATTTAAAGAAATATGTTCTGGAGCTTCCTCAGCTCCATCAGTCGCCAGGGCGAGGGGCAAGGTTGTAAAGGGGAGGCAGTAACTAAGTGACAGGAATTAAGAATGAAAATGAAAAAATGGATCTCCCAGCAAACACTTGATCACGTAATGTGCTGTTTTTAATGCACTCCAGCACAGAAGAAGACACAAAGTTGGTGGCAACATTTTAATTTGCTTATGGCACCTCAACCCTTTAGGCTGGCCTTGGCCATGGGCATCCTAGGCACTCTGCAGAAGCTTAGTAGGAAAGGAAGAACTCTCAGGTGGTTGGAACCTCAGTTTTTTTAGGGTCTGCTATATTTTCTATAGGGACACGGGTGGCGCTGTGGGTTAAACCACTGAGCCTAGGACTTGCCGATCAGAAGGTCGGTGGTTTGAATCCCCGTGACGGGGTGAGCTCCCGTTGCTCAGTCCCAGCTCCTGCCAACCTAGCAGTTCTAAAGCACGTCAAAGTGCAAGTAGATAAATAGGTACCACTGCAGCAGGAAGGTAAATGGTGTTTCTGTGCGCTGCTTTGGTTTGCCAGAAGCGGCTTAGTCATGCTGGCCACATGACCCGGAAGCTGTATGCCGGCTCCCTCAGCCAATAAAGCGAGATGAGCGCTGCAACCCCAGAGTCGGTCACGACTGGACCTAATGGTCAGGGGTCCCTTTACCTATATTTTCTATATAAGAACAAGCATTTGTCCAAGGAGTCAAGTCTTGGAATTTGCTGCTGAGCAGTCTTCAGCCTGAAACAATACTGATAGTCCAATTTTGCATGAACATATCTAACATAGATCTGATGTCTGGACTGGCTTTCAGTTTAGTCACCTTCATTCAAGCCACCACTGACTTCAGGCACTCTTTATTGAAAGCCACAGCTCCTCCTGGATCTCATAATAGTAAGATAAATAGGGTGAGTGTTATCAGGATAATAATGGCATTTGTTTAAAACCACGAGAGACAACATTATCTCTGGAGGCAGCCAACAGGATAATTGTCAGGAGGAGCAACAAAAGTGCCTGCCATGTAGGAGCGGAACCACTGCAAATTGGAGCCCTGGCTACCAACCCACAGAGATGTATTTGTTTGTTTATGAAATTGCTATCTTGCCCTTTCTCCCAAAGGAGCCCAGAGTGGCAGACAAGAAAGCAATAAAAGCAATACAATTCTGATAAAAGAAAACATATTTAAAACAATTAAAAGCATTTAAACACAAAAAGAGCATTTACGAACAGTCACAAATCCTCACAACTAATCATTTCAGAGTTGCTAGGAATGTATCTTTCACCCATCAAATGACCCAGAAGGGCCCATATATTTAATATATTGGGCATCTTCCACTATTTTTATGATTTATATATCACCTAACATGCTTACAAATTATAAAATACCAAAAGCAGTTGTACGTCTTTCAGATTTAAGAAGTTATATTTAAGATCCAGTTGCAAAGAGAACAGTCCAACTAGTATGGATTTTGATTGGGGAAGCGGTTAGTATGTGCTGATTGCTGCAGCCCTAAATTATGTACATGTACCAGGGAGTAAATCTCATTAGACACAATGAGATTTGCTTCTAAATAAACAAACATGGGATTGCTTCGTAATCTCCACCACATATATTGGTATAGCTTTATGAATTCCATTTCTAGGCTGTTATCCCTGTTGAGTTTGCACAGTGGAAAAAAGCAGGATGGAATTCTGAAAGCATACATACATATGTAAACATCACTGTTGCTGATGGACTACTGATGTTCTGACTGTGCACTTCTTCAAAAATATTTCAGATTCCCAGTAAATCAAACAGGAATAATTTAGATTCTCACACCCGAATATTCTTGTAATGCAACAGATTCCTGTAATACAATATTCCCAAAGGCCGTAATTGCTTTCAGATTCCTCTATACATAGATATATAAATTTTCCTCATTATCTTCAGCCTCTATCAGAACACCCTGGAAACACACTCTGAAATCTTATGGGAACTCTGATGCCACTGATGCAATACGTGCTGGGGGAAGTTCTCTGAGGGCAGTGCTTAATGAGAATGCCAGCCTCTAGGCACCAACGCAGTGCCACTGCTGTTAATTAAACTTTAATATGTAGCATAAAAGAAGCGAGGGAGGAATGCATGACTGGTAGAATTTACACCAGAACAAATTTATGACGAAAGACCAGATCTCGAGGACTTCCGGGGTGGCGCCATCGGCAATGGCAGACTCCCTCTGATCTGGAGGGACTAGCTCCGCGTGAAACGGGTCTTTTCCGCTACGGCGAAGCGGGGACCCTTTTAAAAATCACAGGCGGATGAAGCCTGTGACCATGGGACTCGGCGGGCACCCTTAGCGCCCCCCCAGCCTGCAAAGGAACCCACTAACGGGCTCCGAAGCGAAGAGGGGGAAGTGGCGCGGTGCTGAGAGTCAACTGCTTTTTCCGTGGAGTGAAGCCGCATAGCCGTTGCCGGAGAGCGCTGCCCTTTTCCTGGGACAATTTGGCTTCTAAAATAATCACCCGTGAGTACTTAAATTTCGGACAATTGGACTTTAAATAAGGACTTGCGAGCAGAAAGGAATTGGACTTAAAAATTTACTTCAATTTGGCACTGAAACGGGAAGGTCTAAACAGGAAGTCAGCCTTCCGTTTCTTTGTAGACAGAATAAAGCAAAGACAACGTAAACTAGAGCTCAGAAAATCGCTTCTAAAAGATTAACTTTCATCATTTAAAATTGTTGAACCCCCCTTCGGAAGCAGGAGAAGAAGGGGGATCTTTTCGGACTGTTTAAACCTGCAGAAGTGAGTTTAAAGTAAAGTAACTTTCCACCGTCCTGATCCTGGAGCGGGGTGTCAGGACTGACGTTTGAAGCTCATTGACCAGAGACAAACGCTTTTGACAGATAGCTAAAAGAAGAGAAACATAGTGATTCCACTGTTCCCTTTCGCATTTTAAAGGAACAAATATTGACAAAATATCTCAAAAAGGAAACTTTGTTGCTAGATTCGTCCTTAAAAGAAAGAACAAATAGAAGTTTTCCCCCTAGAGGGAGACTGTGAAACTGTAACTAATTCCAGGGAGCTTGCAGCTGTTACAGATTACAATCGTGGGAAATAGACTTGTGACCTTGTAGGACAATGTATTCAGAAGCTCTGTTGTGTGCTCTCTGTAAAACAAATGCCCTACTGGAACAGTTAAATGAGAATACGGATTTGATGACTAATGCGGTCAGAATTTTTGAACAGGCAGTGGGAAACTATGTGGAGCCCACCCAGGAATTAAACCAGGAGTGTGCCCTGACAGAACAGATGAGAGAAGAGGATGTTGCTGAATCTTGGGCGCCAGAGATGGAGGGAGCTGTGGCCCTGCAGGAACATGAGCTTTTGGATTTGACAAATGAACTTGGAAAAAGCCAGATTTGGAAAGATAAGGTTTGGACTGGTTTGGAAATGGGGGGTTGGATAGACCCCCCTATGCAGGGATGTTTGGACTTTCCAAGTCTGGCAATGGGCCGTGAGATGTTTGGGGCTGTGGGGGCTCTTAATCTTGGAGAGATTCTGAAACATGTTTTTAAATACCACATGGAGTTTAGTCTGGACTTTGGAAAACAGGCTGATTTGTTGAAAAGGGTCAAAAACATTACCAAGCTGGAGTTCCCATGTGTGAAAGGAGAATATGAAGAAGAGCTGCGGAAGGGACATGGAAGAGACTTAAGGGCCTCGGATATAAGGTTACCAGGTTAATGCGCTAGATCAATGGGATAAAGAGGACTGACAAAACCCGGGACCAGGAGGAAGGGACGCTGGATGAAGATTGGATTGTTTTTATTTCTTTCTTTTTATTACTAGGATTGTTTTATAAAATTGATGAATGTTAGAAAAATGTTGGAACGAAATTACTTGGCTCTAGCAAAAATGTCTAAAGAATTAGGTAAGAATATTATGGTTATGAGAAGTTGGTAAAAATAAGAGTTAAGTTTTAAGTTTTAAGGTTTTCTATAAGATAAGATGAAAATAGATTAAGGTAATGTAATGACAGAATATTATGAAATATGGAAAGGATTTGCTGCGATAATTAATAACTAGGATACAAAAAAGGGAGGAGGAGGAGGTCAAAGAAAGAAGGTAATGAAAGTTGAGGATTCGAGAATGATGGATTTGTTTTTATCTGTTTGTGGTGTATTTTTGTTTTTTTGAATTTACATTGTTTGATGTGGTTTGTTTTCTCTTTGTTTTCTTTTTTTCTTTTTCTGCTGTGTTCTTTTCTGTAATTCTAAAAATTTTTCAATAAATATCATTTAAAAAAAACAACAACGAAAGACCAGATCTCTCTCCCCACCCCCCTCCCCGATTTTGTTTTTGAAGCATTCCAACTTCATCTAAGAAACAGTCCCTCCAACAAAATTAATCCTATCTTTTGATCTTCTGTTTTATCAGCTGGAACTTACAACTTTATTTCAACGTCACTTGGAATTACAGTACCTTTTAAAAAATGAAAAGTGACAAACGGAAATCCACTTGAGCAACACAACTTCCAGTTTCTGTTCTTTCCCCTCCAACTTCTCCTCCAAATTTGCTCTGGCGGGTTCTCTCCCAACCTTTCACAGCAGACTTGGGTGATGTGTTGAGGCCTTCCCTTTCGCATGTTGGGTCTCATTCGCAGATGGAGGGCTCTTTGATCCATGAGAGGATGTGATTTCTTTTTGCTGATTCCCCTTCCTTTCACAGCCCAATGCACACACACACCCCAGTCTGCTCCAGAGGATTGGAAGACACTTTGGAACACCATGAGTGGTGGCATGGGAGACAAAAGCTCTCATCCCTTTCCATTCATGGGAACCACTGCATTCAAGAGTCCTCCATGAGTGCAGGGATACCATTGGTTACAACTTGCTGCATATAAACTCAGAATGGCCCTTATTCTGATACTTATCTTGCACAAATGTTCTGTACTAAAATCAATGGTAGCTGAAGCCATGCAATTTATACTCTCACTTGTTGAGTCTAGGTTAGTTGAATACAGAAGATGTTCTATGCAAGCTGTTAGAATGTCCTTATGTTTCCTCCAGCTTCCTCCCGTGCTTCCATCAGTTGGGATGGGTGCCTCTTCAAAGTATGCCGCTAGCTGCATATCAGCTACCTAAAGCATACAACAGAGTAACTGTTTCCTAAATGCAGTTTTGCATGGTAAATCTTTGTGGATATGATTAAATTTACAATCATCTGCCAAGGGTGTCCAGAAACATTAGAGGAGTGCAGGAATGGAAGCCCAACTCTGGCCAGAAGTATCATTTTTTCTCACTTTGACTGCTCTTAAATTCTCTGCGTAAATGTTGCGTGTATATTCCCCTCCCTGCAAAGTACACATTAAGGACCTGTGTTCTGCATTACAATGAGAGTGTTTCTCCTGCCATATCTGAGAAAGAGAATGTTGAGCCAGATTTGAGTATTGTGAAAGTGGCTCGATAGCACAGAATAACTCCTGTGACATAAGCATATTTAATTGGTACAGAAAACATGTACAAAATAATTATCTCTATACAACACGTGACACCGGCCTGTTATTTGCATTCATTTTGTCTCATATACTCTCAGAGCACCACATTAATTCAAATGAATTCAGTGACTCTCTTTCAGCCTCAGCCCCACCCCACGGCTCCTTATACCTATGTGAGCATCTAGCACATGTTTTCCCACCACCACAGCATTGTGATGAGAGATTATGTTCCTGTGGAACTTCTGTCTTCCTCAGATGTTTTCCAGAGACATAAAACTTATTCCATTTGGTGATAGGTAGCATAATGTTTCAGCCAATCCTTCTGTTAGAAAGATCCATTCTATTCCTGTTCGGGTGGGCAGCTTGGGTAGCCATTTCCCAGAATTCTTTGGGAGAAGTGCTTTGAATGCATGGTGTAGATGTGACTTACAATGCAGTGCCTTTATTCATTCAGTCCCAAACACTGAGGATCCAACATGCTGCCTTACTTTTGAGGTTACCCAACTTGTATAACCTCACCAAACCTTTAGTGTTTGTTTGCTTTTTCAAAGTACCATATTACCATGTCAGTAGCCATCAGTGGAGTGGAGCAGAGCCATGGAACCATGCTCCTGACACTGCCATCGCTACAGCTTATCTGGACTATGCTGGTGTGAGGCTGTGAGGGGTGAGGTGAGGGCTGGGGTGTGTGTGTGCACTGCTGAAGTCAATCTGGCAATCCTACATAGGCCTGGCCTTCATGGCCTAGGACCCTCGTACCTACGGGACCGTCTCTCCTGGTATGTCCCACAGAGGATCTTACAGTCTTCAAATAACAACATCTCGGAGATCCCGGGCCACAGGGAAGTTTGGCTGGCCTCAACCAGAGCCAGGGCTTTTTCGGCTGTGGCTCCGATCTGGTGGAATGCTCTGTCACAAGAGACTAGGGCCCTGTAGGACTTGACATCTTTCCGCAGGGCCTGCAAGACAGAGCTGTTCCACCAGGCCTTTGGCCAAGGCGCAGTCTGACCCCCTCCTTCTGTAATCCTCATAGCACTCCAGCCCAATGGTTGCCATTAATTTGATTTTGAATTAATTTTAGAATGAATTGATTTTAGAATGTATTTCAATTAATTGATTATGATTTTATGAAAACTGTGTTATTTTTACTGTTGTTAGCGGCTCTGAGCCCAGCTTCAGCTGGGGAGGGAGGGAGGGATATAAATAAATTATTATTATTATTATTATTATTATTATTATTTTGCCCTGCTCCAACCCAATGCTATTCAGCTAAGCTGCTGCAATGCCGTTACTGGGACGGCAGCTTCATATTCGCCCCACTATAATGGGCGCTATTACTGCTTTTAAAATATTTTTTAATAAACATGCTTACATTGGGCTTGAGGTTTGGCACATGTCTGCGACAGGCTCAAGGGCTGATGTTTCCTCCAAAGTGCTTAGATTGCTTTGGCTCCATGCTACCCATGCAATAGAGAAGCCTCATTGAAAGCAAGCAGATCCCTGCCCTGCAAGAGACAGCAAGAGTGAGGCACTCTGAATGTTGCCTTGCCTAAGTAAGCAATGTGCTGGTATTGTTCTGGACTTCTGGGAAGAAGCCATGACTGTTTAAAGTGGAATGAAACTGCTTTAAATGTGTAGCGCAGATGAGGCTCAGATGTGTACAGTGATACCTTGGTTCCCAAACTTAATCTGTTCCAAAAGTCTGCTCCAAAAGCAAAGTGTTCTAAAACCAAGGTGTGCTTTCCCATAGAAAGTAATGCAAAATGGATTAATCTGTTCCAGACTTTTAAAAACAACCCCTAAAACAGCAATTTAACAAGAATTTTACTATCTAGTGAGACCATTGATCCATAAAATGAAAGCAATAATCAATGCACTGTACTATAAAATAAATAAGACGGTATTGTGGATGATAAAAATTAAAATTAATTTTTGTTCTTACGTGCATTGATGATAGTCATTGTTTGGATGGGGGGCTTTTATCCATTTCTGCAGCCACACAATCAACCAACCAGTAGCTGAACTGGGTTCCACACAGTCACAAAAATGAAGTCACAAGCCACAGTCACAAGTCAGTCCCATAAAAGGAAGAACTAGTGGGTCAAAAAAATGAAAAAGCGACATAAACAAAAACACAAAAAACAAAATGCAAAAGCTCCAAATATCACCTCTGGGTGCTCGGGACTCAACAGCCAACAGACTCAACAGGAAGATTCTGATTAGCAGCAGGGGACTCAATTTAGAAATGGAACACTCTCAACATGTTCAGCTTCCAAGGCGAAGTTCACAAACTGGAACACCTACTTCTGGGTTTGCAGCGTTCTATTTCCAAGTTTTTCATAAACTAAGCTGTTCTAAAACCAAGGTACCACTGTATAGGATTGCAGTCTAATTCTCACAGACAGCAATGAGGTGGTAAACCTGTATCTTAACTGGAGGGGGGCATTCCTACAGATATTAAACTGTCATGCTAGGCTAGATTAAAATCCTCTCCCTGACATTATCATCTACATAGTGCATAGTTGGTTAGAGCATGGTGCTGAGAATTCCAAGTTTGCAGGTTGGATCATTGTATGGGCCAGCTGCATATTCCTGCATTGCAGGGGGTTGGACTAGAATGTTCCTCCCTGCCGTCTAGTTCTACTGGTAAGAAACATCTGCTGAGAGAATTAGATCTCTGTAATGCAACCTTTCAAATCAATGCCTTACATTTATATTTGTGCTCCTTCACAACAGTTTTATTTTTTAAAATGCCATTACGTCAGGCATAGGCAAACTCGGTCCTCTAGATGTTTTGGGACTATAACTCCCATCATCCCTAGCTAACAGGACCAGTGGTCAGGGATGATGGGAGTTGTAGTCCCAAAAATATCTGGAGGGCCGAGTTTGCCTGTGCCTGCATTACATTATAACTATTAAGTGCTCAGGTGTCTACTCAAGTTTCATGCTAAGAGCAGAGAAGCTCAATGTTTCTAGTTGAATTCTGATGTTGAGGTCTATTAGAGGACCACAGAGGACTGAAGCCCCAGTGTTTGTGGACTGTAGTAATGAGATACAACATGATAGTATATCTGATTTTAGCATGGTGCAGATGTGTTTTAAGAGTATGCCTCATTTCATGGTTTACATATTTGATTTCGTGCAGCATTGCATATAGCTTATTTGGGCTTGTTTACTCCTTCCTGGGCTCCTATATTATGCACATTGTCTGAGCAGAAGGAATTTGCTGCTTCATCCTCCTTTTGAAATGTTTATTACGTTGCCAGAATTGCACAGATGTGCACTTGTGCGATGTTGGGAAAATGTGATTGTGACAGCTTTCAAATTACTCCATTAACATCTTGATTGCCACTGTAATTAGCAACAATCTTGTGGTTTTGGAGTTCCACAATGTGAGTCCTACAAGTCAGTGACTCACTGCAAATTTGTTTTGTTGATAGTTCGACTTAGGCATGGACAAAAAGTAGGAAAAGACAGACGACAGACAGGCAGACAGATACGTACACTCCATAAAACTGTGAATGACCAAGGTGTACTTACTGATTTATTTAAATAATTCATAAACGATGCACCATTTGAAAATATTGAGGCAGTGTAGAAAACAAAAAGATAAAAACAAAATATAAGATTTTAAAAATGCATGTTTTATCCATGCATAAAACAGATATGAGAAGGGAGAAAGGACACATTTGCAGGACCATAAGGAGAATAATAATTGTGATAGGATCTTCCAGCTGTAGTTCTGGACAAGCACAGTGGTAATAACTGATTCCTGGCTATGCTTATACAGTAGTGGAGACCAGGCCTTAAAACTGCACCTATCAGTAGTATAGATCTTAGGAGTCAGCTGATCTTTCTCATAAGTATCTATCTGTTCCGCTAATTATGCAGATACACGAAATGTCAGGCCTCTGGCCCATATCTGACCCCCTGGGCAATCTTCTCAAGGCCTGTACACAGTCCAGCAATTCTGATTGTTCAGAGAAGGCCTGGATGAGCAGCCACAGCCTGGAGATCTTAAATTGCTCCTCCAGATTTAATGCAATTAACTCTTGTATATGATTGGGATCATGTACAGTAAAACCAGCACTTTATTAAATATTAACAGAAGCAGAGGTAATTAGCTTTTTATCCTTTCCACTCTGCTTTCGCCACTCTATCCTGAATTCACCAGGACATGGTTAGGTCTTGATTAATATACTACTATATCAGTTGTTTACTGAGGAAGGGGGTTTAACTGTACATTCCTCTCTCCCTTTCTTAATTTCTTTACTATACAGTTGTCTGCTTATCACATCAAAGTAGAAGTGCACTGAATTAAGTGCGTCTCTTCATCCTTATGCTATTTCCTGACACTTTCCCACAGGTTGGTAAGGTAACAGCTGAAGATTCACAGTATGAAGCCATGACCCCATTCTTCCAGGCCTGATTTGGGTGCCAAGAAAGGCGCCAAGGAGCTAATAATATCAAGATTTACATCCTTCCACTTGGCAGAACAAGTCATTTTTAGGAACTGGGAAAGGCCGGCCCCCAACAGCTGCCAAACCTATTGTGTCTAGCTGTTACTCGAGTGCAACAAAGCAACTACATCAGATGAAGGTTGGTGTAGGGGACGGGTAGGAGAAAACAGAGAGGGTGCAAAAGAAAATGACCGGTAGACTTTTTGTTGTATTTTACAGTCATACCTCTAGTTTCGTTAGGTTCAGGTTGCGGATTTTTGGGTTGCAAACGTGGCAAACACAGAAGTGTATACTTCCAGGTTTCGCCATGTGCGCACACAGAAGCATTCTGCGCACTTTGCACATGCGCAGGAGCACTCTATTGTGTCACGTGCATGTGCAGAAGTGGAGCTCAACTTAGAGATTTTTCGGGGTGCGAATGGCACCCCGGAACAGATCACGTCTGTAAGTAGATGTACCACTGTATTTAAAGTATTTATGCACCTGACCTTACATTCAAAATTCCCAAGGCAGTTCATAAGAACTAATACAAATCACTTTAAATACAGTAATAGGCAGTACCGAAAACGATCTATGTACAGGGGGTTAGGCAGAGGTTAATAAAGCCTGGGGAGATAAAAAGGTCTTTGGAAGAAAAAGGAGGAATGAGTAAAAGCTTATTTATTTGTCACGGAGAGCATTGCCATACTCACTGTGAAATAAGCAGTGATGCTCCTTCCCTGCCTGCTCCACAGAGCTGTGAGTGCCATGCAGCCTGCCCTGTGCCCACTAGGCCAACCTGTTGTAGTGACGGACTGTTTTGTTAGCAGTGAAGTTTCATCTGCCAGTCTGGTGGGCCTCTGTAGTGTGGTCTAGTGGTTAGAGGATCAAGGAGAGCAGTGTTCAAAGCCACTCATAGGCCCAGTCTCTTAGCCTAACCCAAGGGTCAGCAAACTTTTTCAGCAGGGGGCCGGTCCACTGTTCCTCAAATCTTGTGGGGGGCCAGACTATATTTTTTTTTATGGGGGCGGGGAATGAATAAACTCCTATGCCCCACAAATAACCCAGAAATGCATTTTAAATAAAAGGACACATTCTACTCATGTAAAAACACCACGCAGGCCCCACAAATAACCCAGAAATACATTTTAAATAAAAGCACATATTCTACTCATGTAAAAACACGCTGATTCCCGGACCATCTGTGACTGCGCCGGATCTGGCCCCTGGGCCTTAGTTTGCCTACCCATGGCTTAACCTCTTCTACAGGCCTGTTGCACAGATAATGGGGGAAAGAGGCATGTATGGGGAAAGACGAGGTAGAAACCTAACAAATTACTAAATGCATAGGATGGGAAGGGTGAATTCTCATCCTTGGCCTCAGGTGGCAAAATGTCCTGCACTAGCCCTCAGGGGAACAGCTCAGCAGGAGACTTTCAATCTCAGGCTTGTGGGTTTGAGCCCCATGCTGGACAAAAGATTCCTGAACTGCAGGGGGCTGAACCAACTCTACAATTCTATGAAATGCACAAGCCCCACTGATGGTCACCACCACCCCCGTTTTCGCCAAAGAAAGCTTCCTTCTTGCTTTCCAAACGCAGTAGCCAAGGGAAGTGTCCCCCAAGCGACTGGGTCCCCTCTGGGTCTCTGCCCGGGCGCCAAGGGGAAGGGAAAAGGGAATGAAGGGGCTGAAGGCAATATAAGGCGAGGAAGCGAATAATATGCGACGGAGGGAAAGTGGAGAAAACAAACGAAGGAATGAAAGAAAAGTTGAGGGAGGGAAATGGGAAATGGCGCAAGGAAGGGGGTAAAGTATGAGTGGCGAAGGCTGAAGGAAATAAATCTGAGGCTGGGGTGGAAGAAATGGAAAGGACGCGAAGAGGAGAGGGAAGGAGGAAGGGAAAGGGCCAGGAGAAGCGAGGGAGAATCAGGAGGAGGCTGAAGGAGAGCGGCGGCGCAAAAGGAAGGGAATAGGAGGGCGAGAAGGGGAAGAAGGAGCGAGGGGCGAAGGGGAGGGCAGGCGCCCGAGGGAGGGGCAGCGGCGAGAGAGAGAGAGGCGGCCGGGCGGGGAGGGAGGCGCGAGAGGGAAGAGCGAAGCCTGACGCAGCGGCGGCCGCGCAGTGAGCCGAGCCGTCCCCACCGCAGCCGGCCGCTGTGAGCGCGCCACGGGCGCTCTTCCTTCGCCTCCAGCGCTGCGCGCGGCCCCCTTTAGGCCGGGACAGGAGCTGCCGTGGGCAAGGCGGGGGGGCAAAGGGAGGACAGCCGCCGCCTCCTCCTCCTCCTCCGCCGCCGCCTCCCCTTCGTCTCCGCTCCGCTCCTCCCGCCCCGCTTCTTCCTCAGCATGATGTTCACCCAGCAACAGCAGCGGGAACCGCCGCCGCCTCCTCGGGCTTGAGGCGCCCGCCGCCTGGCGAGGGAGGGAGGGAGGCGCTCGGTCCCTCCTTCCTTGGCTCCCGGGGTCTCCTCCTCCTCCTCCTCCCCCCCGTCGTCCATCTCCCCTCCCGGCCAGGAGGGGCCGAGGCAGCAGGGCTGGTGGCCGGGCCCCCCCGCTCCGGACTGCGGTGCATGTTCGCGCCCTGCGAGTGCGTGAGGCGCGGCGGCAGGAGGACCATGAAAATGATCCGGTTCCGGAGCTCGAGCATCAGGTCTTTGAGCCAGGAGATGAAGTGCACCATCCGGCTGCTGGACGACTCCGAGATCTCCTGCCACATCCAGGTGCTTCTACCCGGCTGGGCTGCGAGGAAGGGGCTCTGGAGCGGGCACCACCCACCCCTTGCGCCCCTTGCAAAAAAGGGGGCCGGCTGGCGGACGCCCCCCGGCATCCCTGCTGGCTTCGTGCCACCCCCTTGCCCTCCCGCCGTCGCGCAAACTCTCCCTCTCTCGCGCGCAATTCCCCCGAGCGCATCAGCGCAGGGAGAAGTTACTCGCAGGCGAAGGGCTGGGTACCACCAGGTGGATGGGTGGCAGAGCCGCGCTTAGAAATGGAAAATTGGTGCTAAAAACCTGGGAAGTTAACCAAGGAAGGGCCTTCCCAGGCTACTGCTTTGCAGCGCAGCGATTCCGTAGCTGCTGCGCATTCCTTGCGTGACATCCAGACGTGCTTCCTCGAGAAAGCCTTTCTGCTTTGCAGGGGCTGCAGCTCTGCAATAGCAAAAGCTGCGTGATATTGTTGCTTTTGGGGAAGGGGAGGGGATGTGATCCTTTTTCCCACTCAGAGGGGCCATTGTGGGTTGGGGTTATCTCTGGATGGCATGGATGGCACAGCTCTGGTTGGGTGAAGCCCATGACAATGCAGATGACGGGAGAAGCAACTTTTCTTCACCATTTCTTAGTTGTGCTGTGTTTTCTACTACAGGAAACTTGTGAATTTGACTCTTGGTCTGTCTGGGTGGTACTGATGATTCTAAGTCAGGGCGGTCAGCACTTTTTATTTTTTAAGAGTTGAGCACCGCCTTACTGTGCTGTTCAAGTATTGTACAGGAGTGGTCATGTAGTCCTTTGAAAGAAAGACATAAATAAAGCGCAAGCACCACAAGAGAAGACTAAAGTATTCTGGTGATGAAATAGTGTGCCGACGATTTTTGCTCATTGAAAACAGGCTGTTATGGATAGAGATGAACTCTTGCTGTTCTACTTTCCCTTTATGCTCCAGAATAGTGTATGGTATTTCTAGGGACATAGAATTCAACGGGGTGCTGGGTGGCTGGTCCTGTTGCACAGGAGGTTTCAGAAAAACAAGGCTCTTGGTATCTATGTATGGTGTCACTAGGTATATTGCAGCACAGTAATCCTCAGCCTTTAGATGCTTACTTATATTTACATTTTGCATCTGTATATTGGGATGGTTAACAGTATGTGCAGCAGCTTTCCCTTTTTCCTGTGTGGTTAAAAATAAATAAATCTTGGACCAATACACAACCCAGCAACTGAATTAGGAGCTAGGGAACCCCCTGGCAGCAGCTCTAGCTGTGTTCGGTAATAGAAAAATATTTATGCTGTTTGTGGGGCTTAAGCAAAAAGAATGATCAGGGCTGTCTGGCAACCAGATAGAGAATGTATAGTTGATTCCTGACAGGTTAAATCAATTAATGAATTGATCACATGGAAATAAATTTTGAATATTATTCCTTTTTGAGATATTGAAAGGAGTACAATATAGCTTATTAATTAATAAACATAAGGAAAGCCAACACTCGCTGTGCAAGGGCCATTTTTAGTTTTCTCATTTTCTTGAGCTCTTACATGAAAACCAAAATAGCATGGAAAAATAAATATCCCAGCAAATTAAAACTAATTATCACTTATTAATCAACAAAACATTCAGTTGATTAATCTACTAGCCTAACTGATGAAAAATTTCAGTTCTATTCTAGAAGGAATGTATGGGGAACATAACCTCTGCTGAGAGTGGCTGGCAGACTGCATTTTTCAATGCCTCTCTGACAAGTGGAGATGGACAATACAATTAAGAATCTATTAACCTCTTCCTCTCTCTTTATTTCTAACTGCCAGGAATTTTGTTCTAGTATGTTGTGCTGTTAACACACCCCAGTGGCTTTTAACTGGAGGATTTAGTAGCAGGCTTCATGAAATACAGGAATGGCTGAAATCTATTGAATATGAAAGCTACTATCTAGTTCCCCAAGGGGGGGAAAGATTAGTGAAGCACTATGCACTATATAGAAATGGTTGACTGAGTGTGTGTGGTGTAGAGGAATTTATTTACCTGTAGTAGGAAAACATTCATTTGATATATGTGTACTACAGAAATGTTGATTTGATAGATTGCCAAGGAATTGTAACATGAAGTGGTGGAGTTGTTGATATATTGGTCATTTGAAAAATAGAGTACATATCTGATAATGTTCAAGATGGTTTAGCACAAGTGGATACCTGAAGCAATTTGAATAAGTATTTCTGCTTCAGTGGAAGAATATTTTGAAAGAGATAGTTGTTTCTTTGTTACTTGCAAAGGCTTGGAGATATTAAGTAGGTGAGGCTAACTTTTGTTTTTGTGAGTATATGTAGGTGAGGCTAACTTGTTTTTGTGAGTATATGTAAATGTCTATGTTTGATAGCATTTTTTTCATAGCGCAGAAAAGAAAGAATTTGCAGTTATGACAGCAAATTTACTTATAGCAGATAAGTTACAGATAAGCTGAGTACACTGATAGGGAGGGGCTATCAATTGCTGTACAGTGGTACCTCAGGTTACAGATGCTTCAGGTTACAGACGCTTCAGGTTACAGACTCCGCTAGCCCAGAAATAGTACCTCGGGTTAAGAACTTTGCTTCAGGATGAGAACAGAAATCGTGTGGCAGAGGCGTGGTGGCAATGGGAGGCCCCATTAGCTAAAGTGGTACCTCAGGTTAAGAACGGTTTCAGGTTAAAAACGGACCTCTGGAACGAATTAAGTTCTTAACCAGAGGTATCACTGTACTGACCCAAGAAGCTGATGCCAAAACATAGGGTTTGATCCTGTCCTTTGTACATAAAGATGGGCTTAACTGCAGGGAATGGACCATTCCTAGGTTTCCTCATCACAGTTGGATGATCAAGTATAGGAGGCCAAGAAGACCCTATTCACTTACTGGATGATGGAGAAGTGGGTGAGGATATATTGATCTGCAGTCCAGAGTCTACACTGGCTGGCCAAAGTACACACCCACATGCATTGATCTCTGCTCTGCTTTGGCCCCAATCAGGTATATGGACCTGCAGAATCCCTTCCTCACACAAACCAATCCCCAATTGCTTAGACTGCCAGTGGATTAATTACACACTGCAGGCAGGAATAGCCTTGGCTGCTGGACACCACGGTTGAGGTATGCGATCAATACTTTGCTATGGCCGGCTAGGAATCATGTGCATATGATACAGCAGCAAGTGGGCTTCTATCTGTACACTATGCCTAGTTGAGAGGCGGGAGTCAAAGCATATACTCCTATTCATATTAGTTGTCACTCTGCACCATGATATCTATAAATATGGGGTAGAATCTGGATCATGCTCATAACATGGTGGAGTGGATGACCCAGCCTGGGTACTTGGTACAGCAGCAATGGCCAGGGAGACATAGCCATGAAACTTCATTCTCCTTTGCCAGAACACTTCTCCACCCTGGGGCAGGATCTGAGGACCTGCTTCTGGTGTTGGGCCAACAAGACTAATGGGATGCAGCTTTGCTTGGCTTCTGATACCAGTTGAATGCTTACTGGTTACTCTGAGGGTAAAAGTTGTTTTTATTAGATTGCTTCAGGAGGAGTTATGGGGCAAGGTGCTACCAGTAGGCTGATGACACTCAGCTCTACTTCTCCATAACATCCAAATCAGGTGAGGCTGTGGCAATGGTGGTGGGATGGATGAGGAAAAAGAAGCTGAACTTGAATCCTCACCAGTTGAAGGCACTGTGGGTCAGTAGTTCCTGTGTTTGGGAACTTGGTCAACTGCCTACCCTGAATGCAGCTGCACTCTGCTTGAAGGAGCAAGTTTGCAGTTCCAGGTGATTCTGGATCCAGCTTTGTCCCTGGAGTCTCAGGTGCCCTCAGTGGCTAGAAGTGCCTCTTACCAACTACGGTTGGTACAACAGCTTCACCCATTGCTAGACCAGGAAGGCTTGGCCACAGTAGTTCATGCACTGGTTACCTTAAGACTGAATTAGTGTAATGTGCTCTATGCGGAGCTTCCCTTGCACTTGATCCGGAAGCTGCAGTTAGTGCAGAATACTGCAGCACAATTGCGGAAAGGAGTGAGATGTTATTAGCATGTAACACTTGCACTCTGAGATCTGCACTGGTTGCTGCTTTGTACTGGGTCAGGTTCAAAGGTTTAGTATTGGTACGTAAAGCCCTTAAAAACCTGTGACCCATCTGTCTGCGAGATTGCCTTACACCCTTTTGCTCTGTGAAACTGGCACTGTTACAGGTGCCACGTAATACCTGTTCTGCAGTCGTAAGAAATCGATCTTTTAATGTGGCAGAAACTATACTTTGGAACTCCCTGCTTATTGGCATCTGGCAGGTGGCTTCACTTTATTCTTTTCAGTGCCTTCTAAAACTATTTTTGTTTCAACCAGCCTACCCAGATATTTAGAATGCTGATGTGTTTTTAGTTTATTGCTAGTTTTTAATTTTTTGAACGTTTTAATTGTTGTTACTAATAATCTTGTTGTTTTATTCTTTTTGTAAGCCACGTTGAGGTTTTCTATAATCAAGCAGTATATAAACTCTATGTAATAAATAAATATTGTATATTTTATTGTTTTCCAGTGGTTTGTACCAAACTGTTTTGTTGAACACCGCCTTAGTATTATTTTAATAAAAAGTACATAAAATATTTTGAATTACTACTACTGTACTATTACTACCACAAACTATAGCAACAGCAACGTTGCAAAGTTTGTGCTGCATCTAATGGAGTAGAAGTGCAACTTTCATACAACTTTAGTCAGTTTTACTTGGGTTTCAGTCAGTTTCGTTTCATTCAGTCAGGACAGTTGGAATTCAGATTTGCTGGTGTAAGGGATAGCTCAGGGATCACATTCTTCTCCAGTCTTGGGGAAATGGTCCTTTTTCTGCAGATGTTTTAAAAGCAGGGTCCATACAGACTGTCATGGCCGCTGGTTTTTAAGAGGTTTCACATCAACTTTTATGTTTTTTTCTATATGAATGGAAAGCATTCAGCATGTTTCTGTTAAATGTTCTGTTAAATGTTCAACGATGCCTTATGAGGAACGGCTAAGGGAGCTGGGCATGTTTAGCCTGGAGAAGAGGAGGTTAAGGGGTGATATGATAGCCATGTTCAAATATATAAAAGGATGTCACATAGAGGAGGGAGAAAGGTTGTTTTCTGCTGCTCCAGAGAAGTGGACACGGAGCAATGGATCCAAACTACAAGAAAGAAGATTCCACCTAAACATTAGGAAGAACTTCCTGACAGTAAGAGCTGTTCGACAGTGGAATTTGCTGCCAAGGAGTGTGGTGGAGTCTCCTTCTTTGGAGGTCTTTAAGCAGAGGCTTGACAACCATATGTCAGGAGTGCTCTGATGGTGTTTCCTGCTTGGCAGGGGGTTGGACTCGATGGCCCTTGTGGTCTCTTCCAACTCTATGATTCTATGACAAGTAAATGAAATAAAAATGCACGTGTGGTTATGTGTGTTTTACACATTGTAAGTTACATAAATAATTTTTTCTGACTTGTGTTATTTATATTCATGTTGCATCCTATTACCAGCAATTCAGAGTTTGGATTCTCTTTTGGGGGAATTCTCCTATCTCATGCAAATTTTTGTGTGCTGCTATTGATAAAACAACCACGGAGGCTTGTGTAAACATCCACTCTTTACGCTGCCCGTATGAATCTAATGACCTTAGTGGAGTCATTTGAGGACACTTCCTGACATTTTATGCTAAAAGAAAAGACATGTACTTTAGGAGGTTCATGTTCTTGTAGCTCCAGCTGGTTCTGTTCCATGTGGACTAAATTCTCTGCAGATAGTGCTGTGAAGCATCATGCGCTGGCATGTGTTCACTGACAGGCTGCCAAGAGGGTAAATGAGTATGGAACTTGCCTCAGGTTTAGTGGAATGCCAAGCAATAGAAGGAACAGTCTCTGAGACATTGTATGTATATCAACAATTATTTCATAATGGAATGTTATAGTGGTGACCTCAAAGCTTACATGAGAAAGTGCGCATTAATGTCCTCCATAATGCCATTAAATGAAGCATTATTAGAAAAATAAAGTAAAGCAGTCTCTAAAGATAGGATTTGAAACCAGCTTTTCAGCTGTGCTTGTTTGGCATTGCATATTACTAGACTGTGGGCAAATTCATGTTGATGCACATAGAGAATATGGGATTTGGTGCTCTGGGAGCTGCGAAGGGAGGCATATGCTGGGAAGTGAGCATGAAGTGACTGGCTTCCATCCAGTGCAGACTTATATTATCCCTATGCACATCTTGCTTAGATGTGTGTGTTGTTAAATATAGAAAACTGTTACTTTCACAGTCACAAAGTCATTTTAAAAAGAGAAGAAGCAGGAGAGCTGTGAAACATGGTCTCTTTGGTTCAAAATATTCTGAATTACCCAGTCTGCTTTCAGGTGCCCTTCAAAGCCTCTGCAATAGCCTAGGGACAGCAGCCAATATGTAGGTGCTTCAGAGTATACTTTCCTTTTAAGATTTTGATTTACCCGTTCCAAGCAGAAGCACCACAAACGACTAACTTCCAAAGCACCCTTATGCTGTCGTTTAGCCTTTTATACCAATAATCTTTCAAACCAAACATCTGCAATGACTCTTATTTGTAGTGCATGTGAAGTTCCAGATAAACACTTATTCAAAACAATCCCTCTCCAACATTACAGAAAGTGTTACAGCAGCATAAGGAGGTATAGCTCAGCTGGTAGAGCATGAGACTCTGGATCTCAGAGAGTCGTGGGTTTGAGTCCTAAGCTGAACAAAATATTCCTGGGTTGGACTAGATGACTCTTGTGGTCCCTTCCAATTCTACAATTCTATATTTCTAATATTAAATCAAAGTAGCAGGCTATTAAACACACCAGAAAGGACATTACTGGTTATGTGGGATGTCTTTAGTTTATTCTTTTTTTTGAAAAGCAGCAACAGTAGCTAACCTGATCCAAAACACCCACGACCTCACTCATACACGAAAACAAAGTCCACCACAGCCAATCACAAGCAAACAGTCACACCCTAGGCCAACCCCAACCTCTCTCACCACCAAAGGAACACAAGTGAACAACACAAGCAACGCTGAGACCAAACTCTACATACATTAAACATAATAGAAACACCGCCACCCGACCCCACCCCCATCCATCTTCCCTCTCTCCACCCCCCCTTTCTTTTTTCTTTCTTTTTTCTTCTCCCCCTAATGCCTCAACAAATGAAACGGATTTGTAAAAATGTTACATGAAAAAAACAAAACGAGGCACTACACTTCTGTAAAACAAGAAAATCCTTAATAAAATATTTTTTTAAAAAAAGAAAAAGATAGACAGCTGGGATAATTAGTTAGACGTTATTAGAAAGGTATAGGCTTTCTAGGTATAGAAACTAAGGATAAGAAACTGACAAGAAAAATTATCTGAAACCATAAACTTGTTCATGCTTATAAAATAAACTTGATTATTTGTTTTTAATGTTTTTTTTTAAAAAAAAGCAGCAACAGTAGTTTGCCCTCTTTCCCCAATGTAATTTTTTTAGTGTTCCTGTGAAAGTAGCACTAGCACTGGAATGTTAATGTTCTTTGGAAATTGGATCTTAGGCACTCAAAAAGGAACGTAGTGCCTAACACGGGTGATGAGGACTCCCTTTGTGGAATCATTGAGTGGGCTGAGGAATGTCTCAAATGAATCAGGCTATTACAGATTCTAACCAGCTGGTTAAAAGGCAGTAGCGTTATCATATAGGTTATTGCATGGCTTAGGGCTAGGTTTCTTGACCAAAGGTCAACATTCAATATGCTGTTTTTTCATACATGGGACTTGATGATTAGCAATTAGGTGAACCAGGCAAGTGGCAGTGGAAAGGGTCAAGACCCATGGCAAGACATAAGCAATCTTTCTGATGACATAGTTGCCCTGGTGTTTGATTTATTTCTTAAACCCCCTGGGACTCAGCTGCTTTGCAGCATCGTTGAGTAAAACTGCAATGGCACAGTGGAAAAAGGAGACAAGTAGAATGGAAAATAACCTGAAATCATAATGGCCACAGTCTGTAACACGCAGACTCTTTGTAAAAGATGGTTGACCTGCCTGACCAAACGCAAAGCTAAAAGGATTTCAGTGAAGATTTAAAGAGCAATTGTAGACAGACGTAGCTTAAAGCAGTGGGGGATTTTTTCCAGTCAGTTTGGCAGATAGATAGTCCATGTCTGCAAATACAGGAATTATAGAAAAACAAATCAAAGACTTCTTCTTCTTCTTCTTCTTCTTCTTCTTCTTCTTCTTAATTGAATTTATATACTGCCCTATACCTGGATGATAAGTTTGCCAAACCCATGGAGAATACATATATTTCAGTGCCTGTAATATAAAGACCTTACTCTAGTGTGGGCAGTCTTCAAACTTATAGGATCTTTTTCTTTTTTAAAAAAAATAAGAATGGTGGCCCAAAGTCTGCCAACTAGAACCAGGTGCACGGCAGTAATTGGTGTGTGTGCCAAAGGCGCTATTGAGGGGGTGATGTCACGTGACATTGTGAGAAGTGCTGACATCACCACTCAAAACTGACAGGTTCTCAGTCCTCTCCTTAAGAACTTGGGGGGGGGGGAAATGCTTCATCCCCCCCAGCTGCTGCGCCAGGTATGGGTACAGGTGTACACTTAGAATTAAGAAACAGAATGCCTGTGGGCATGATTCTGTGCTATGATATTCTGTGTGCTCAGCCCAGGAATTTGTTTTCAGCTTACAGTCATTCCACTCCCAAATTTTTTAGATTTCCCATTTTACTGGGGCTTTTAATTTAGATTTGGACCAACATACTTAGGTTGCTTCCAGAAGACTTGTTTATTGAGCATTCATCCTGATTTCTTTGCAGGGAGATTAGACAAGGTTGATGATTTAGTGAACATTCAGTCTGATTTGTTTGTAGAAAGGCAAGACCTTGTTAAATCAAAGCAAGTGTTATCCCACACTTTCCACTGCACACACCCCCATCACTTTTCTTATCACAAAATTCTGACCTTTTGGGGAAGCGTGTTTGTTGTGCAAGTCCTCCCAGTCAACCTGAATTTGTGACTCAATCTTACCCCCAAAAAGTTGCAGCCTGGGAGTGCCTTTGAGTCTCACTGCTCTTTTGAAGAGTTCCTGCCCTTTGTCCCACCACTAAGGCCAGCCAAGACGTGCTCCTGACATTGACAGTGAAGGAGGGCAAATTCATAGCGTATAGTTTAATATCAAACAACACCAAACTAAATGTAAAGCTTTCAGTGCTTGGTGTTTAATGTTGCCATATTTTTTGGAGGGATGTGGTGAGGAATCCACTTTAGAAATAACAACAGGGCTGTGTAGATTCTGCACTAAAAAAAATCGCAACAGTACCCTCAAAGCTCAATTTTGTGGTTAATATTCATTACCCAGATTAAGAAAATGTGACCATATTTGCTTGTTCTGCACAACTTAATCTGTTCCTGCTGAATCTCGGGGAAAGGGTTCTGAGATTTCATGAGCCCCGTCCAACACACTTTCAAGAACATTGTTTTGTTTGTTTTTAAATAAAAGCTGTGATTTTCAGAAAGTTAAATTCCACGTCAGTGCCAACTTCTGTGTTTATGAAGTGGTCCAGAGCTGCAAAATGCACACAGCCATGCATATAATTCAAAGTCATGTAGCTTTTTGCATTGTGGGAATGCAATTCAGTCTTCTTTCCCTTTCCTCTCTCATTTTGTATACTTAATTTAAACTATCGTCTTATGGCTGTGTGCGAAGAAAAGTTTTGTTTTGTTTGGAGAATGCACAACTTAGCTGCCATCACCAAATTTGAAATAGAAGTTCTTAAGGAATTTGAAAGCACCACTAGTATCTGCGGTTCAGGAGAATAAGCCCTGTTGAGATCACATTTCATCTGGCAATGGAGGATGTCCTCACAGTAGTTAATAAATTTGCTCCAGAAAATCTGGACTGTAGGGAATTCTCATCACAGATGGTAGAGTGATCCAATCTGCCTACTCACTTTCCAACAAAGGGGACTTAATGTCTTTTTGATTATGTGCAGTCTGACAGGTGTTGTATACCAGTGGTTTAGCAGCTCGCTCTGGCAATTCTTCATGCAGATCAGCCTTTTGGCATTCACCACCCAACTCTTGTTCCAGACTTCCTCCTCTAGTTTCCCATTCAGGTCTGTGTTCCATGCCAGGGTGTGAAACCTGCATTTTCTAATGAAAATATCTAATAAAAGTAATACTTGAATGAAAGGGTTTTTTTTGGGGGGGGGAGTGAGTTTTTCCAAGGCTAACTGAAGTAAGTTAAGAAGTGACTCTGACTGATTTACAGAGAGCAGGGCATTTTTGTAAGACTCTTGGTGTGTGTGTGGGGGGGATCTGATTTTATTAAATCACCATAGGTCATGTTTTCAATGTTTATATTGAAGCCTAACTTTATTCCTTGCTTGATTATTTGTAGCAATTATTCTGTGTGCTGAGGTAGGTTGCCTGGTTTATGTATGCCAGCATAGTTGTAAAACACACGTAAAAAACTCTCCTGACCTCCTTCAGTAGCAGATGTTGCACCAGAGTTGTGCTTTCATAAATATAATACAGTAGTATTTAACATTCTTATAGGTTCATTATAGGTTATTTCTACTCATTCTGCTGTGATTGTATGTTTAAATTGTTTTCCCTTAGGAGCAACCTGTGGTGTAAAAAATGAAAATGTAGGATATTGTTTTGATATACTGCTAGTTATTGTACAATTAATGTGAGATTATCTAGTTTTCTATTGGTTTTATGCAGTTTTATTATGTGCAGTTATTATCTTTTCTACACAGATTTTAATTGTTTAAATGTTCATTTAAAAAAACAACAACAAATCATATAATCAATTACATTTGATGGTACATTTTCAGAACCATTTCCTGTAAACAGAGCCTCTCGGCAGCGCACCTGATATCTGCTTGTACCCTGTGCTCTGAATTGCACATAGACTGATCTTTTCAGCTTGCAGGGTATCCTACTGGGCAGGAAACTATTTTGGAAGCAAATGTAGGATATGATGACTTTTGGTGGCATCTAACTCTGTTTCTGACATTAGTGTACCTTTGAAGAGTTCACTCAAAAGCCAAGTTATTTATCTGCAAAACGGAACTTCTTATTACGTGTGTTCCATGAGCCCTTTACTGCAAAGGGTAAGATGCAGGCAATGACACAGTTGACTTCTGTCATTTTCATCTGCACAGTTACTATTGTAATCACCTACTCAGATGGTCAATAATTGTGTCATTTCCTAACTCCCAGTCTCTCCCACCTCCCCGACCTTCAGCATTCATGTGATATTCTCTTTTAAAAATATATATTTAGTAGTATGTGCTAGGCTTCGTATCTTATTGATAGGTTCTCTTAAAAATTAGTTCCCTTTCTCCAGAATCTCTTATTTGAAGTTCCTCCCCTTAAGTGATGCTTCATCGCAGCATATGTTGACGGCAGCCTTGAGGCACAGGGCCAGTGGTGGCTGGGAGATGAACCCCACTGTCAAGAGGCGACAGTTTGAGAAACAAGGAAGAATAGGAGGACAATAATGGGAATAGAGACCTATGGGGCCCAAGTGTATGTGTGCAGAAAAGTGCCTTGGACATGGGAAACAAAAGGTTAAAGGATTATGCAGACAGCACAGCAGGCAGGAGATTTAGTGAATTTATATTTATCCTGCAAGTGATGTCAGAACCTCAATAAACAAGAGCTCTGATCTGCTGTGACAGTTAGCTCATAAATAGTAGCAATAT